TATTTTACGGTTACCTGTCTGTAGCAATTGGATGCAAATGTAACTTACCTGAGAATTACAGTACACATGAAGTGTTCCAGAGCAGTACAGTTTTAAGGGTATTTTTAAAGGTGTGTGTTACATATGGTATTGGCATTGTTCAGTCCAGAGAGTTACAGTAAAAGGACTATGAAAATACAAGCGCAGAAATATGAAGAAGAAAAAACTCAATTAAATACAAGTAAAATAAACCACCGTGGCTTTAGTTTCTAGAAAAAAATGCATTCATTAGGTAAGCGAGGGTTATAGGCTGAAAATTAAATTTATAGGAAATGTCCAATTTTCTCTTCCTGCTCCAGGAGTTTCTGTCAGTTCAGGCAGTTAAATTCAAAGTAATGCCACAAGAAAAATTCCTGGCAAGCAAACATGCCCAATCTATATGGCTAAGGACTAAAAAGGAGTCTGTATGTAAGACAAATACATTTTTCTGTTATTTCAGATTACAGTAAGCCATATATGAATATATAGTCACCAAAAGGAAAAAGGAAATATCTTTAGCTTTTTAGGATTTATCAAAGCAAAATGAAACTTGTTTATTACTGGCTTCATACCTTTTACCTGCATTTGCTGATGATTTTAGCTGTGATTTATAGCAAAGTAGAATTTCCAAACTCTTATTATATATTCCTGGCTCTTTCTTCCATAGGACTTAGTTTTGGATCAAATGAAATTTTTGTAAATGGAAAACTTTGATCTATCCAAACTTTTCTGCATTTAAGGAGTCCTAAGAGAAAAGCCATATATCCCTGTATTTCCCTCTTCTGCTGAATGCGATTTTGATTTTATGGATACCTGACACAGTAACCCAGACAGCTGATAGTTTCATTTTCTAGCCATCTTCTGTAGAACAGCCTTGTGAAATCTAAGCCTCCAGCTGCAGAGCAGAGAGATAGCTTGGGTGTGTATTGCTCTCCACCTAGCATGCAGGTCTCTTGGCCACTTAGCATACAGACGTAGCACCAGTTTTGTAGGTAACAGGAAAACATATCATGACTATTCATTGTTGTAATGTAATAGTAAGAGGTGCTGAAGAGCCTCAGCTGCTGTACCCCAGAGCTGTTAGCTCTGGTGGACTCCCATACCTACTTGAGCACTTGGGTAAGGGGGAAGGGGCTTTATGACACTGAACAAGAAAGGGAAGTGCCACAGCTGTGTCAGGTGGAATGGATTAAACAGTTGCAATGCAGTCAAACATGGCATCTCAGCTCCTAATGCATCAGCTTGTGAAGAGAACTGTAGGAGGGATAAATTTTTCAGGCTTCTGGTTAAACTGAAAATATTAAAGGGGTGGAAACACCAAATTGCTTCATCGTTGAGGATTTAATTTCTTGACAAATGAAAAATTAGAAAAAAAAAATTAGATGGAACTGTGTATCCCAGCTAGGAAATACCATTTTTGAGGCTTAAAAAGTATTGTGTAAACATCCTAGGCAACTATAAATATGGCAGAAAAATGAAGCAGAGGTTTTGGGGTATTTTTAGAATACATTAGTATGTGAAAAGCTTTATGTTGATTTATTTCAATGTATTGTTCCTGATCACAGCTAAGGTTACGTCCGCATGGCACAATCTTATGCCCTGATGACTACTTTCAGTTCTGAATGGGTTCATTTCTCAGGATAATGAGCTCAGACTACACTGCTTCTTGTATCTAGGTTAGATTTGGTATTGTTATGTGAGACTAGCTGTGTACCATACAGACATCTGAAATGCTCTGTCATCAAAATCCAGTTGGGCTAGACAATGTCTCTGAGAGTGTGTGTTTGCAAAAAATGTCTATATTTATGTATTTATTAGGCACTGAAAATTCATTAGATTTTCTGGGATTCAAGAGTCAGTATTCTAACATCTCATTTGTATTTGTCTTTAAAAATATCATTGCCTTCTCTGCTTTACCAAGACCCTAAATAAAATAACTTACATTGAATGAAAATCGTAGCTTAGAACCGTGAGGTATTCGCAGGTTTTGAAGTGTTATTGATAAATGAAGTGTTAATGATCTGACAGATACAAAATGATGGGTAAGGTTTTTTTTCTAAATAGAACCATCTCTTGAATTTCCTTAGTTAATGTGAATTGATATTTAATTTTCAGGGAGGTTAAAACTGGCAGGCTGGAATTCCTCTAATTATTCTGTTTGTGATTCTGGTGCAGATAGCCTAACTATGAGCTTCCTTATACAGGGCTGTTAGGAACTTCTAGTCAGATAGATGAGTATTTCTAGAAATGAGAAGTAATTGAGTGTCAGCACTTACAAATGCCTTGTGTGCTTTTTGAAAAAGACACCACCATCTGTGTTGTGTTGAATTAATTGTACTTATTTCAGTGATGTGCGTGTCTGTCCAGTTAGAGCAGAAAATAACATTTTAATTTCAGGGATATCTGTGGGTTGATTTTTAACTCACTGGAAACAGGAAAAGCACTAAAACTCTGCCTCTGCTCTTATTAGGTTTTCAGTCCAGAATTGAAAGAAGTATATTCATAATGTGTACATACCTCTCAGTATAGTGCTATGCAGACTTCGACCTGAAATACCTTGGTCCTTAATTTGCAACCTATGTTCAAGTACCCTATGAGGAACTCTGCATTAAATAGATTTGAGATGGTGATGTTTCTGGTATCTTTACTAGGACAAGCAAAGCCTCTACTGTTTTGTGAAGTGGTAGAGAAGTTCTTTCAGTACATGTCGATATTACATATCTCAGAAGGCTTTTAGGGATTATGCCAAAAAAGTCCAGTGGTATTGTTTGTTCAGGGACAGAATTGAGAATTACCGCTATATTGTTATGTGAATCAGGGCCAAGATGAGATGAAACATTTTAACTTTCTGGGCTAACAACTCCCAAATGTATTTTTTGAAAGATTGATAAAGGGACAAGGAGATGGTGTGGCTTTGGCCAGATGTGGACTCAGCTGTGTATGATCAAAGTGGGAAAGCTGCCCAACTGTGCGCCTGAACCATTCACATGCTGGGTCAACTTGTACTCATGGAGACTCAGGCTCATTTACGCCCCATGTTTCTTCTGCTTCTGCCTCCTCAGCAGATATGTGTTTAAACCAAGTACTTGAGTAATGTTCTGTGTCAAAAAATAGTGCATCAACACAAGCCAATGACAGCCCTAAGTGTCAGGAGATTGAAATGTCTCCTTTCATAGGATAAACCATATAGTTTGCTTCTGGAATGCTTGTCTTCTCTTATAAGAGGTTCATATGCAGTGAAGGTTGCGTATTGCAAGTACTGTGCTTCTGTGAACAATTTAGACGATATACAGTTATTTTAATGTTTTTGCATCTTCTTCAGCAAAATAGCCTCATTATTAAGGCTGAATCTGAACTGAGATGTGAAACATCCATGCAGGGTGGATGGAGGTAAAAATGCAGCGTTTCCTTACAAAACTTGAATAAATTGGGTACTTCCCTGAAGAAGCCATTTTTCCTCTTTGTATGCATATTAAGTTATCTATAATGCAGTAAGAAATTCTAATTCTGCCGTGCCCTGTGTGCATATAAATATTGTGTACACACAGCACTCCTTTACAGCATTTTCTTAAAATTTTGTACAATCTGATTTTGTTTAATCTGTGCTGTTTCATGCCAGAACAAATGACTATGGATTATTCCATTATATGTAGTGGAAAATGGTTCAGAAGTGTCAGTTTGGAGATTTTGGTAAAAAATGGAAGATTTGTAGGTGAAAAGTAATCTTTAATACAACATAGTTCATAATTGTTTTGGGGATGTAAAGCTCAGCATTTTAACTAGGCCTTTGTTGAGATTAGATTTAGTATTTTTAGCATAGTTTAAAAAATGTTGTAAATGTACACAAACATTCCTGCTGATTCTAGATTATTTATTGCCTCTTATGGAAGTAATTAAAGCTTCTTTCTCATGCCTGGAAGTGTTCAAGGCCAGGTTGGATGAACAACCTGATCTAGTGAGTGGCACCTTTGCCCTTGGCAGTGACTTGGAGCTGGATTATCTTTAGAGTCCCTTCCAACCCAAGCATTTCTATTATTCTTCTCTATCTGCAGGCTATTAATTGAATCATAATGCACTTCTAAACCATGCAACTCTTAAATAGTCCTAACAAATTCTTCCCTGAATGATATCTGGATATATTAAATTTTCAGACTTGCTTTATTGCACAGTGAATTTTATCTGATAGTGTTCAGTGGTTTAAGGAGGGAAAAAAAAAGTGAGACAGGTTTCTGTGTCATATAGTATCTTACTGTGTCTGTTATGTGAAAAGTGGAATTTTGAATAACTTGGGTACAATTAGTTGATTCTGTGATATTTCCCCCTTACTTAGTGCATAGTGATATATTTTTCTTTAATATGATTTATATATATATATAATATATATATAGTCCAACTGCCTGATCACTTCAGGGCTGACCAAAAGTGATCTTGCAGATTTTTATTATGCAGAAACCATTGCAGGGAAACCAGAATTAATATATAAATTTTGGTATGTCCTGCTGCTGAACATGCATGAGATACAATGTAAGCAGGTTAAAAAACTGAACACCTCCCTTTCCCCCCAAAACATGAACAGTTTTGACTTTGTCATTTTGACCGTAATTGCTTTCTGGTGCAAAAAATAGCAAAAGATTTCTCTATATTCAGCAAGCTTTGCAGCTACTAATAGCTTTTCTCTGCTCTCTTAAATATTTGTCAATGTCTTCACTTAAAAAATTTATTAAATGTAGGAAGAAAGGGGAAATTGACTGCACTGAAAGAATATAGTATTTGCAATACCATAACAAAAATCCCAAAGTGAAGCCTTAGTGCTGCATATTTGTCTGGCACTTTTGTAGGTGCTCTGTCTCCTTAACATGTGGTCCTTGAAATCACACATGAGTCTGTTGTTTAGAAATATATTTGCTATGGCCATAATCTTCAAAAACAACCTATTACTCTAAATATGCATCTTATAAGACTAAACCATTTGTTTTCACCAGGATGAAACACCCTGAACTCCAGAAGCAGTCAGCATAAATCCCAGGTAATTTTCATCTATACAAACCAGACTTCTCGGTTTAACCTAAACTTTAGCAATGCCAATCCAAACCTGAACTTTAGGAGTTTATATTTGAGAGTGGAATGGAAAGTCTTGAAGTTTTCTGTACCATTAACATATAAAGAATTCTGTCTCTTGGTTTAGGCTGAAAGCAGTTTGTGCCTTTGTTCTTAATACTTTTTTTTCATATTTTCAGACCTTAACTATGTCAAATGTTTTATTTTTTCTCATCTTTGAAATGTTTCTTTTTCTAAGGAAATGTATGCTTTTAAATAAGCTCTAAGGATGTTGTGTTTGCACACAAGTACTTAAAAGTCTTTGAAGTTTTTTTTTTAAAGAGCACACATTCCTTATATCTTTGCCTGATTACAAAGCTGTGTAGTGGTGAATGACTTTACTAGATAAAGTTCATAATCATGACCTCTACAAAATGAGAAATATACAAGCTACAATTTGGAAAGAAAAATGATCTTAAAATGCTGGTTCCTCCAACTGGTCCTGTAATACCTCCTTGCTCATTTTACAGGAGTAAATACTCTGCACCAGTCGACATAAGGATATCTTTCAGCTTCATTGCAGCTGGAGTCAGTGACTTCATACTGAAAGAGGCTGGTTTTGAGACTACAGACCTTGACAGTTTGTAACAGCCAAGGAACGTACATGTCTGTGTAAATGTGTAGCCATGTATACCTGTAAGTAATACAGACTTGTCTGTATCTATGTATGCACAGGTTTAAACTGCAGCTAGCATGATATGGAAAGTATTTAAGGAATTTTATAAGCTTTGTGGAAAAGAAGTAATTCTGAAAAATGTACTAGCGGTTACACCTACTGGCAAATAAGAATAGCGTGCTTTTTTTAGATCAAAAAGCTCTATTATTGGGCCAACAAAGTTTTGTGATAACAGTTTTGGAGTCATTGATGCCTGGAATCTTAGAACTGGGCAGTTTCACCATAAACTTAGAGTCAATGTTCCCCTTTTAATCCTGTTAATTTTACTACATTACTTATGTTGCAAATTAACTGCATCACAGTATTTTAATTGTGTTCATAGTCATTTTAAAAATAGTTGATGGGGATAGGTCATTTAATTATATTTTATCAGTAAGAAAGCATTAGCTCTGCTGTGACTGATAGCTAGCAAGGCCATCTGCAATGCTTTTTAGTTCACTCACACTGAATTGTTCAGATAAAGGCTGTCAAGTGCTGCCTAAAAAAGGAAGGAGCCGTGGTGACATTAAGTGCAGTGGAGGACACAAATCCAGGCACGCTGGAGGATCTGAGCTGTTTCCTGCAGCTGTGAACCTTTTCAGAGTTTTCATTGTTGTTTCCTGCAAAGTATTAAAATGCGAGTGTCTGTCATTCAGGATCTCAGGGAGGATGAAAATGAAAATGGGGAAGAAGAAGAAAAGGTGGGTTAAACCCCAATAGCTTTTAAAAGTACTTATTTCCTTCTGTTGTTACTCTTTAGGACGATAAACCTAGAATGATTACCTTTCTCTTACAGGTCTTCCTCAAGCCTGTTATTGAGGATAGAAATATGGAACTGGCCCGAAAATGCAGTGAATTAATAAGTGATGTAAGTGACGGTGACTATTTGCATCCTTATATTTGAATTTCTTTTTTCAAGTGTGTTTATATTTATGATACATATTTTCTCAGATATGTACAATGTAGCATGTACCCATCCAAAGCTCAGATATAGAAGCACACAAAGTAATAGAAAAGCACAGATTATTCTAGTACCTTAAGTTATCAGCCATAGAGGGATGAGCTTTTCAGAGCACTTTGATGGTATGAAACACAGACCCTAGAAAGGAGAATGTTTCAAAATGTCTATTGGGTGTCTGCCATGAGAACACCTTGGCTGCTTTCATCAGGAAAATGCAGTATTTGTTCTGATTATAGCCTATGTAGTTTTATTGGTTTGAACAGAACTGGGTTCAGTACACATAGCTGTAAGGAGGGAGGTTAAAAATGGATTTTGAATGTTATCTATTGGTCTGTGGTCACAGATGCTCAGAACTGCTCAGCATATTGTATTGACTACGCTTATAGGACAAATCCATTGAAATGCTAGAATATCTTTAAAATTATTTAACTAGCTTATTCTTGACTTAGTTACTACAGATTTTTAAAACTCTTTATCAGTTATAGACATTATATAAGCATCATAGATCAGATCCAAGAAATTACTGAGCAGAGAATGACTTTAGAATATTTTAAAGAAACTGAAAAGTGATGTCAGGCTCATGTTGTGTTGTAATCTATATTTAGATTTGTGATGTTTATTTTGTGGGAATAGAACATATAGAATCTACACTTTAGGTATAAATTTTTAGGGGTTATGTCTTAGAAAAAAAAAGGTAATTCAGAAGAACAGTATCTGGGATGTGTAAGTGTTACAGTGCTGGCTTGAAAGTGTGACTTGACAAGGTCAAAGTTTCCTCTTTGTCCATATATCTATTTCAGTTTTCACAGAAAGAATGCTGGAAATTGGATAGATCCTTAAGAGAAGGTACCAAGATGGCTCCCTTGTAATCTCAATCTACTTTAGGATGTAGTAGAGATTAATAATATTTTTTACTGATAGCTATCCACATGCTTTCTTTGGGAAAAAATAGCATATGGTGCATTAAGTGCCTGTCAACTCATGTAAAGGCCAATATGAAAATGGACCTGGAGCACTTATCTGACCCAAAATACATTTATTGCTTCCATGCAGCTTCTTTCTTAATGTGATTGCTGTTCTTAAAGGCAAAAACTTATTGAAAAGTACTAAAGAAATATTTTCTTTAATTGAAAAGGAATTATTGCTGTGCTATGTACCCATTAGGAGTAATGTTGGCTTTGGCTGTTAATTAACTGACAAATGGAGTGGCTACATTTTCTCGGATTTTCTGCAGGGCCTTGAGAGCTAGGGTGAATAACTAAGTCAAGCCAGATTTCTGAAGCTTGTAATGGTTCAGGGATTTTTTGCTGTAAACTTGTAATATGTTTAGCCTACAACTGTGTTAGACTTTCCTTGAGATATGTCAAGCATAATGGCAAAGTGTCATTAATGCTTTCAAAGCAACAACAGTATGTACAGGTCCAGACCAATTAATTTAAAAAAAAAGACTCTGTGTTTAAAAATAGCTTTCAAATTTAGGGCCTTATTCAGCCTCTGATGAAATCAGTGCATTAATAGAGTATGAATGTTGGTTCCCAGAATTTTTACTATAATGGAATTTCTTATGTTCAGTGAAGTCCTTCGTGCTGGGGGATAAATTGTTTACCCTGCACACTTCATTGTGGAGACCAATAAACTGCCAGGAGTTTGCATTCTTACCTTTGATTTTTGACTCTTTTATATATTCCTTATCCTTTTTACCATGAACCTTTGCAGAAACTACTGTTTGTGTGGATGTATCATTGGTGTACATCTGTATGTTTTATGTGTACAGTGGTTTTATGGCACTTGCAGTTTGGCCCTAAGATGACCTTGGGAGAGCAGCCTGTGTCCTTGCTGACCACGAGACTGGGTGATTGTCTTTCTCTGATGGTGGAGCTGTCAGCACAGCTCCTCCATCAGAAAGCAGCGCCAGGAGTGCACATACCTGAGATACTGGGGTTGCATTATGCTTGCCCTGCATTCTTTGCTGGCTGACTTTAATTTGGCAATATGGTTTTAAAAAAGTGTTATGATGGCAGTCCTTAGTGCATGCATAGCTGTCAGCCTTGAGCTGTATGTAGGGGAAGCTGTGTTAATGTGCTCCTGTTCTTGAGGAAATCCCCAGTTTCATTTTAGGTTGGCAGTTGTTTGTTCTGTGGCTGTGATACCCCTGGATTGTTTCTCTCAACAGCCATTTCATTTAATCTCCCTTCATGATGCAATTTAATTCCACAGATGTTTTCAAAACTGTCGTGTGTTTGACTTATATGAATTACCTTCCTTTCCAGGCCTTTTCTCTTTCATATTGAAATTGCGCCCATCCATTTGCTTGTGGCGTATTTTCATATTTGTTTTGATTATGGGGTGTGATGTTGTCAATACTGTTTATAAGCAGAGATGGGAATTATTATACATGATATTTGACCAAACTATCATAATCCTTTTCAGTAGAATGGCAGACACTCTGCCACTGAGAATTCTGCTCAGTTTTGGTCATGTGTGGTAGCAGTGCATCTTTTCCCCTATATAAAAGTAGAACTACTTGCCATTTAGCTGTCCTTGCTTTATCATGTCTCTGTTATAAAGGCCAAAGAGACCTAGAGTCAAGTGGAGGAGCAGCGTGCCTTTCCACTCGTACCAACAGGGTTCTGACCACCTAATTCTGGGTGCAGGTGTTCCACTTCACTCGCCATTACTAGCCACACCTCTAATTCAGGAGGACTTTGAGGTCCAAATTGCTGGAGACTACTAAAATACTGTGGAGTAATAGTACTGTACGCCTACCATTTATTTTCTCATGCTTTTCTCTAGGTTGCTGCAACCACAGAGAGAGGATTTTGTATTAGATGGATCCGTGGTCCAACACAGTTCTTAGTCTTATGGGAGATTCTAAATTAATTAATGTAGGGTTGGAAAGTGAGTCCTTAGTGGAAAAAGTTCCCTTTTGTTTTAGCATAAAAGCTAGATAGGAAGCTTTGTTGTTTTTCCGAACTTAAATGGGCATTTGAGACATGACAGTTCTACAGTGGATCTTGGCATGATGACTATTGACATGGTTATTTATATTAAAGTTAGATTAGTATGTGCCCCTGAATACAGTGGTTGCTGCTTGGATTAAGCTGTTACCATTGGAGCCTTTCCTTTAGTCCACAGTCTCCCTCTGTGTTTCTCCCTTGAAAAGGCTGATGGAACAGGCCATGGATGAGATGAATTTTCTTGGCAAACTGGAAAGCTTCAGCCTAAAGGTTGGATGCCCTTGTTTTATAAAGTTGATCTTTCCATATAACGTCCATTAAGAAACAAGTGCAGCTTGAAGCTTGCTGTTTCGATGGTTGTCTAGGAATTTTAATCCACTTTTACATGATAGCTGTGCTACTGGTTAGAGTTAGTTTTATGATGAGTCAGGGAGAAGAAAAGAATGAGAGAAACTGGACCTTTTGAAAGAGCAGTGGCTCCAGGCCATCATACGCAAATTTTTCCTATTTGTTTTTTTCACAAGGTTTACCGGATCTGCTCAGTCTAAACAGCGTATTTTGTTATGAAGGGCAAGTCACTTGCAGGCAAAATTTCTTATTTAGTATTTTAGACATTTGAATGTTTAACTCCAAACCTTGAAGAGGAATGTTAGCTTCTCTGCCTATTCCTTCCAACCATTGGTTATGTTCAGTTGTAGCCAACCTCTTGAGCATCTTGGTTGCATCATTTACAATAGATTTGTTTTTAACTGCAGATGTCATGATGTCATTATACTTGTTGCATATCATCTTCCATCTTTCTCTTTCCAAGCAATGTGGACAATTCTGTAGCAGAATGGAGTGTGTTGGATCACAGTTTGAACAAACATTTTGTTATATGTCCTTTCTAAATGGTCCATTTGTGTCCATTTTGTGGCCTCTGTGGGTTACCATAATAAATGTGAATAATAAGGAGTAAGGGGGTGGCATTAGTCCTTTACTGTTTTTGGGTAGTTTGAAAGCATGACTTTTGCAGCAGAACAGTTTTGATTGTTTCTTCTGGTCATGTTTTGTCATTGTGTCCAATTAAGATACACCTTAGGAAGCTTTTATGTTTGAGTTTTGAATGTAATTATTGCTCTGTAATTAAAATGGATGTAATTACAGTCAGCTTTTGATATCTATGGGTGATTTATCTAAACTGTGAGCAGCAAGACTCTACCAGAGTCATAGTTTTACAGGAGTTCCTATTGGGAATGCCATCAAACCTAACCAGTAAGCAGTCAGCTCCATGGATTTCCCATGCATGTGGGCAGATTGAACAGTGCGTGCCTGCTCATGTGTTCATAAAACTGCACTTTTTTTGTATATTGCTCTGTGATTACATTGGAGTACAGTGTCATACACAGGTTACATGAACCACTGGCTTTGTGATCCCTGAATAAAATCATGACACAGTAATGTTACACTCATTGTTCACCAAACAGTTTTTATTTAGAATAGACCGTAATACACAAAGGCAGACAATATGATTTGGTAACGAGATGTAGATTCTTTCAGTAGACCAAATGTGGGTAAATTCAATATTAAAGTTGTTTACTGTGTGAGGATTAAGTAATCATGAGTTTGAGATGAATTCAGCATTATCTAATCCATTTTGCAGTGTACAGAAAGTTTGCATCAGAATGTACAGGAGCTGATTTTGTGTAAGCTGCCATCCTTCTCATGAATTTTCCAGGTCCCTGTAGAGAAGCATAGACTAGAACTTGTGATATCCATTAAAGATTCAGAGAGAGAGGAAATTAAGACTGCATATTTCTGTAATGCTCGGATGCAGATCATATTGCTTCTGTCAGTGCTTGTCAGCAAGTCTAGAGTGCATAAATGCAAGCTGCTGTTATGCAGAATGTGAAAATGGGGTTAGAGAAATGGTAGTAGATAATAACCATGAAAGAGCTTAGTACTAAATAATTAAATTTGCATTGATCTAAACTATTGTATGTACAAAGAAAGAAATATCACTAAAAACATTTAAGGCTATCCATGTAAAGTGTCTGTCTTTAAAACTTATTTAGTCCATCTCATCATAATTCATCATCTTTCTTCATGAAGTTCTTATATAATAAAGGTACCTACCTGTTAATCATGTCCATAGATTTTATCCTTCTTATAGTCTCACTAATACAAATAAGTAACTCTGACTTCATCAAGTTGTGTGGTACCTGCCCACACTGTTTGCCCATGGTAAGAAAAAGGTTAGTTGTTAAAAAAAAAATTGTGTTTCTATTTTTTTTGCAAAATATATCACGGTGTTTTGTTTCAAAAATTGTTTCCTTTGTACATACACAATTTAAAAATGGCTCAATTTAAAATTTATTTTGTCTTAAATTCTTTTAATCCTTGCATGTCATTTCTGTTGGGTGCTTTGTAGGCAACGGTTTGGCAGTGGCCTTCTGAATTTATTCATTGAACTCTTGGATTCAGAAAGGGGCATTTGATGATGTTATACAGATTCTGTGCTTGCTATGTCTGTGTTAGAAGTTTAACAATTTTATCTTTGAGATCAAGGATCAAGGAGATCAATTATTTGATTCTTCTTTCTTTAGACATACTAAAACATCTGCAACGGTGGTGAAAATGTGCTGTAGATATATAGAAAAAATCCTATCTTTTTCATCTTTATTATTAAAGAGTTCTGTGACTTTTACATAGTCCTGGTACTGTGTGTGAGAACTGGGTGTTTCCCTTTATGGTTTAATTTGATCCAGCTAGAGGTACTTGCAAGCCATCCAGAATAGTATCCATGAATAAAATAAAATAATAATAATAAAAAATATTTAAGTAAAAAATAGCTGTTGTTTATTTTTCTCTGTGTGTGTGTGTGTGTTTAAGAACAATTAAACTTTTTTTCTTCTCTTTGTAGATACACTATAAAGAAGAGTTTAAAAAATCTAAAGGCAAGTGCATATTTGTACCTGACACCCCGCAGCTAAAACATGTGAAAAGTGTCGGTGCTTTTATTTCTGAGGTAAGATCTAAAAGGCTGAAGAATTTTCTTGGCTTCTTATCCTTCTTAAAAAGTCTCTCAGTTGGATACTGTGACTTTTAGCAGGGGAAGGACAGCTTCTTTCAAATAACAGTTCTGTTTATAGCTAAAGTGACTTAAAAGGCTGTAATTAATATATACCGTATATGTGAGTAATAATAATTTGGAATTATGCGATACTTTTATTTTGGGATTTGAAGATACTTTGTTAATGGTTCTGAGCCAGTCCTAGCTATCCCATTTTATGGGTGGGTAAACCGAGGAATAGGAAAAGAATTTTTTTGTTACTTGCTCTGCAATGATGAAGTTTGCAAACTTCACCTGTGCAAAGTTTCCCTGCTGTGGAGAATTCACAGCTTGATATAAAACAGGAGAGAAGGGAACTGTTTCCATGTTATCATCCCTGTCCTTCTTCAGCGAGGGACCTGGGGCAGACATTGGGTCAATGCCATCTGTGGGTTGCCTGAGCACTTGCATGCCTCCCTGTGTCAGAGTTTTTAGGTCTTCGTGTACACAGACATGCACACACACAGGCATACACACACACATACACGCACAACTGTAGTGGCAAAGAAAGAGTAACAGCTTCCAAAATGCCAGAGCAGCATTTACTGCCAGCTCTTCGTGTCCTAGGTACAAGGTGCTGTAGAATTGCATCTCTGATTATTTTCCATAGGTAAGAAGAGCAGCAGGAGTTTTACATGGCAGAGAGTTGCTTTGTTTGGGAATCACTGCTTCTGGGTGATTTTTCTGTCACTGTGACTCTTGGAAGATGTAAATTTTTGGTGCCTCGTTATTTGTGTTACCTTTATTATTATGATAAAGAATGCTCCAATATCTCTGTCTGAAGTTATGTAATTTATATACATTCTGTAATCGCTTTCTGATATCCAAGAGTTTGCTGTGTGGCTACATCCAATAGAAGTGCATCTAGTGAATATTTTTGTTGTATTTATCTTTCTGTTTTCTAAGAAAGAGTGGCATTACTCCAAGGGGAGTAAATCTGATGCAATCACACTTTATAAGAGGCAGACTATTGCAGTCTACAAAAGTACAGTATATAGCGAATATTTATCTAATCCATCTGATTCCAAAGAAAAGCTGCTAATTATAAATCAAAGATTTAGAGATATAAAGGTATTTTAAAATTTTTAAACCCCGTATGTTTTATGTTACCACACTGTTGAGCACTCTTATCTGCTTATTGCAGCATTACCTGAAGCTAATGATGTGATGGATGGTTTATGTTGTAAATTACTGACCTCTAGTGTCCCATAACCTGTTTTTGCAAAACTTGGACACTGAAATTCTTAACAGCATGTCCACAACAGTGAAAAAGAGCCCTCTGGCTTGGAAAATTTATTAGAGCAAATTATTTATATAGATATGTACATATGGGGAATTAACCTCTAATGAAGAACTGTGTATTGCACAGTAAATTAATGACATTAGACAGTATAATTTAAAATATTTTTGGTATTTATGATCACTTTCACAGCTGTACTTGACATTGTTTTTATGAATTTGAAAAACTTATATATGAAGCAGAAACCTCACAGATTTTGAACTATTATTCTGGTCTCTCTTGTGAAGCCCTTTTGTGAGGAATTGCTAGTACTGAACACTGGAGGAAATACAGGATAAGTAAAAAGTAATTAAAAAATGAGACTGTAATATGAAAAGATTAAGTAGAAATTATGGTGGACATGCTAATTTCAATGTTCCCATCCTTTCCAGCTACATTTAATTGCTGATACTTATTAATTGGTAAAATATTTGTTGTTGGCCTCTCATTGCTCCCGTTGTGCAAAACTTGTGAAAAGAGAAAGAAAAAAGATAAGTTTTGATTTTGAAAATTATTTGAAAAAATATAAAAAAATCTGCCTTGCTACCTTATTTTATACTCCCCTCCAAATGATTGAATTTAATTAGTAGATATTTTGCATTGTTTTGTGAATTAGACACATCCACTTAAAGTATTATTTACATATGGTTTTGCTTGGAAGTTAATGACGGCTTTAAATTTTTCCAGTTCTAATGGTCTATGTCATTTTACTTACTAGAAAAAATAGGTAATATGTTTACTGTGTCTTAATTTTTGCATTATATGTCACCTTTTTCTGCCCTCTAGGTGAAGTACAAAGGAGCTGCTAAAAAAGACCTTTCCAACTGTCTTTATCAGCAGATGCCAGCCACAATTGACAGTGTATTTGCAAAAGAATTAATGCAGCTTCAGAGCAAGGTACAATTTTTAGAATTGCAAAATGATTTTTAGATTAACTGTGTGTCAGAGTATGGCCAATTTGAACAAAATATTTGCACAGACACATGATTGCTGGCTTGATTTATTTGAGTGAGTTTATCAACCACAGTTTATCAGCATAACTTCTTAACTTCAAGAACTACTCAGTTTTAAAATGTTGACAATCTTTTGACATTGTTATGTTTATTAAATATACATTTAAAAGCTGCTAGTGCATTCATAAATCCATTAGAAATCCATGAATGCAATAAGGAATTAACTGAATTCAGTGACATTGCACTGTGCTTATAGAATAGATGAATCTTATATAACAACTATTTCCTGTTGGGTGTTGTATTAGCTATATAAAATGTTTGATACTGAAGGCAAAAGAATAAAATCTTTAATGACTTCTATAGGCACTTACTGATAGCAGAAAATGTATTTGTGATGGTCTACATACTAATACAACGAATTTTATAGAATTAAAAATATGAAGTATATTAAAGATAGCGTAAAGCATGTAAACAACCAGCAAAATAGTAAATTCCACTTCAATTGCCTTCGGGGGCTTAAAAATATAATACCCTAAATGTAAGCAGGTGACCCTTCACTTCCATTGATCTCAGTGGAATTGTGAATGTTAAGTATGTGTAATATGAATGGAGCTAGAGATTTTCATTGTTACTCATGAGAATTACAGCTGATAGATGGTCATTGCTTTCTGTCCACCAAACATTTCCACATTTTTCTTGTTTTTACTTTCTCCTCTCTTAAAGATATAGTTTAATACAGCCAGTGTGTGAACATGCTCCTAAATCCATAATATTGACTGTATTTCAATAAGCATTCCTCTAATGCAGTGATATTTTTTCAGACAAAGGAAAATACCAAAAGAAAGGACTGAAATCTCAGGACACATTGTAGAGAAATGTTTTGATATAAAACAGTGTTTTAATCAAGGCTATATTAAGCAAATATAATAACATATATTTTAGTTTTCTTAGTTTGAAGTGGAACATATATACACTCAGGTTAAAGCAGCACAGTAGCTGAAATGTCATTAATGTGACATTTCACTGAAAAGTGAGTTATTAGAGGAATTACAGTAGAAATAAATTAGGAATTAAACTTGTATAACTGTTAGCTCGATTTATAAAACATGAGTTAACTATTTTGCCACAGATTCACTCCCGGATTCATTCCAAATTATTATATTCTACATTAGTTTACACAAATGGGATTAATTAACATTGCTGATGTGGCAGAAGAGACAAATAACTGAGACTAAAAGTGAAACCATTGATTCATCAAAAAAACCCTTTTAAGGAAAAGACTGACTTTTATTTGATAGTTTTTGAAGGTTTTCTTCAATCATACAACAGTCATAGAGAAACAAATATGCATATAGGATGAGATACTTAAGCAGAAATTTTCCCTGTAAAATTCATACCATTCCCTTAGGAATAGTTGCATTATAAATCATAATCTACCATAAAACTTAAAGATATGCTGACACATTTTTCCAACTTGTGGTTACAGTTGCAGTGGACCTGAATTTAATGCTACTTTGAGAGAGATCTCAGGGGATTTTCTAGTGAAAATGTTCTCCACAGTATTCAAATCTAATCCATATTGTGCCTATCACTGTGGTACCTAAGTAGCTAATACAAGGATTTCACATTCCAGCTGGGTCAGGATGTGGCAGAGAGGGTTTTTGCTGCATCTGTCTAGCTGGGTTTGTGAATTTACAGGTCATCACTTCAGGAGGAGACTACAGATATACCATAGGAAGGAGTGAGAGCAGCACCAGCTGGCCATTATGCCAGTCCTCCTGCAAAAAGGCTGCTGCAAGCACAGAACTGCAGTCTGTTTCTCAGTTATAGTAAGCTGATTTTACGTAGGTGCTGATTTCCTGAGAGGTGGAAAATACGAGTACATATCCTCCTTCCCATCCACGTTGGAACAAATTTACACCTTTGACTCCTTTTTCATGCTTCTTGGATGAAATGCTGGGCTTGAATGCTTTTGTAGCCAGATCAAGCGGGAGTTTTCTCGCTCTGTGGTGCCATGTTCTTGGCAGATGCATCTGCCAAGCACTTGCATCTGGACTAGGGGATCATGGTGCAGAAAGAAGGAGAGCCACTGACTCTCCCTGCTGCTACCTGCTAGCACAGGCTGGCATACCTGTTCTGGGGGATCTCCTTACACAGGTGTGCTCTCGGCAAAGGATCTCTCCCATGATTTGATGTTTGCTCCTGAAATGGTGCTGCTGCACTGCTGCTGCCCAGCAGCTCTGTCTTCAGCCTACCTAGATCTAGCCCAGTTTAGTAATTTGATACACTGTTTCAAATCACACTCATCATTTAGGAAGTTGGGGGCAACTAGGGGAAATTTCCCATTTTTCACAAGAAAATGGGATTTCACCTACACTGTCCTCTCCAGAGCAAACAGACTACCACAGCACCATTGACCACATTTGCATGCAACTCATATGGCAATTGTCAGTAACTTCAGCAGAGCCAGGACCTCATTCTGTAGGGTTGCAGCCATGCAAGGTCAGCACTGGCATATGGATCTTGCCACAATGGAGAGTACAGTGCCCTGACAAATGTGGTTCTCTTCCAGTGGAGTTTTTCCCCCATATTGACTGTATTGATACATGCTCAATTCCCCTTCAAGATACTCAGGAAAGCCTAAAACAAGGCCATCTCTGTTGGCTTTTTCATGAAACCCACATTTGTTCTTTTGTGTTTTATGTAGAACTGGCACAAAGATGTAAATAAATACCCACAGAGAAGGACATCTGTCTAAAATTGTAACCAAAGAATCATGACAGTCTTTATGGGAAAAAGTGTTTCAGGAGAATGAAAAAGAAGTTTCATAGCCCCACATACTTGGGTGGCTTTTCTCATTTTCATTTTTTTCCTCTACACAGGAAATTTGACTGTTGACTTCTAAGTAGCTTTCTTGAGGGTGAGCAACCAGATTTTGCTCCCGCTCTCACTTTTGTCACCATTGTCGCCAGGGTAAACTAGAGAGAGAAGTCCCTGTCCTCACTGAGTAACTTCACCTTCCTTGCCAGTCTACAAAAGCTCTCACCAATTTCCCTGTTCTCTGCAGTGAGAAAATAAAATTGATGGGACCAGTCTAGGCAGGGAGCCTTCAATGTTGATTTTCCTGAGAGGAAGTGGACATATTTTTGAAAAATTGCAGTTTTCCTGTGGAAAATATTTCTTAAGGAAAACTTCTGATCATTGCTAGCTCTGTGCGAAGTCTTTTTCTTGTCTGAAGATCAGACAAGATTCAGTATACTGAATACTTCCTTACGTAGAATGATTTTTTTTTAATAAGGTGTCACAAACAATGATAAAGGTATTTAAAATTGCTTGAAGGGAAAACAATGTTGGAAAAAAGTAAGTGTTTCATCACTTTTTTCATCACTTTATTTCTGCCATAGGAAGTGATTGCACTGTTTTTCCTCTTATCTGAAAGGAATAATCTAAAGCAAACTGAAGGCAGTTTAATTTTCTCCTTTGCACAGGGCAATACCTCAAAGAGTAGCTATATGTCAATGCTTAACGGTATTTTCTGTTTGGTTTTAAAGATGATGAGCCAAGTGAATCTTAAGCAATATTTACAACTTCCAGAGAAAGTTTCAGAGGGTTTTTTTAACTACAATAAAAATTTTGTGATTTACTGCATCACTTACAATCATATTACACATTATCAGACTGTTTAATGTAATTATTTAATTTTTTTTATGGTATGAAATGTCATGTTCAAAATTTCCTCTGTTTTATGGTGGCAGGCATTAGTCTCCTAGACTTCTGTACTTTTGTTTTACATGAATACACTTGATAATCTAATTCTCTGTGTAGAGATTAAATTGACATTTTCTGTGTTTTTGAACATTTCCTCCTACAAAATCCTACTTTGTGGATTTTAAGTTCAGAGCTCAGCTTACTGACTATAAAGGGAAATATATAAAAAAATGTAATAGTGTTTAAAGTATGACAAAACAGAGGGTCAGAGCTAGGTTAAAAGAGCACAAAGCCTTCCTTAATGCAGCTTCCTATTGACACACTGGTGTACAAGAGAGATAAGAAAAATAAAAAATGAGTACTTACAAATTAGTTCAATCTGAAGTCATACCTACTTAAATAATTACCTTACATTTCTCAAGTTAATAAATGGTGCCACTAAAGGGTAGAGGTTATGTCAGTGACCTGTAATGCTTGATCTCTCTCTGGAGTAGTTTCTTATGCCGATTTGATAAAGGAAATTCAGTTTAGCTAAAACTTGAAAATTAACATGAGTTGAGAAATAAATGTACGCACGCTAACCTGTAAAATAATGGTTGTAAGACTATTGATGAAATAATAATAATTATTCTTTCATGCTTCCTTGAAACTGATTTACAAATCTAGGAATAGTTTTGCACTAAAATGTCCAAAACTAAACTAGACAGCCTTTGAATTCCTCCTAGCCTGTGACTGCTTCTAGATTACTTCAGTGAGTTAATTGGAATAATCTGAAATAATAGAAAGAACACAGATGCCAAATAGCAAGTGAAATCTTACTGCCTTAATAAAGAAATGGTCATCTTTTCCAAGATACTGGATACTGAATTGTAATTTCTGTTAATTTTCTCACGGTGGGAGTTGATGTGCTGTTGTGTTTTGATGTCGTCGTTATGTAACCCACTTGCCAAGAGAAAAATAGACATGTTGAACCAGCAAAGTGGTAATGTAATAAAATATTTGTAAATTAGTAGATTTTGGAAGTAACTGTATGGGGCTGCTTTTCAGAATCATGTTAAGTGGGGGGGGAACATCTTAAAAGTGACAGTGTAAGCAAGGAGAAGTTGCAGAAGAGTTTTTGTGGCATATGTTTGTATAGTAATTACACTTTTGCAGGGAATCATTTGTTAGCGATGCTTCGGTCTTGTTGAAGATTATGTGCTTTTCCATTTGCCAGATGTAGGCAAGTTATGGATTCTTTTTGTTTCAATTTAAGTTGTGTTTGTTTCTCCAGAGGCCTGATCATGTTTCATTGTATAAGGAGGTGGCACATTTTAAGTTTCCTGATTTGATAATTTCATTCACATAGTAGCAGTGGAAAAATACCCCCACCCCCTCCTTTTTGTCTTAATCTCTCAGCCTATATATTATTTTGTAATCCAAGATAGTCAGAGCAGATACTAACATATTGCCTTGAGTACCCTACTCTGTGACTCAGACGAAATTGTGCTGCTTTAAACAGAAACAGATACAGCCTTTTCTCACAGTCCTAAGAGTCTGAATCACCGTAGTTGAGAGTTCTCTCAAAACTTTCACAGTATTCTTCTATTGCTCTCAAGGGTTTTAGTTTCAATACTACTTCTGATCATCTATCAATCTTATTTAGTATTTGCTGTTTCCTTGGGGATTATTTTAGTGCTTGTTCATGAGAGCTGTTAGAAAATGAATTTTCTTGATGCTTGCTGCTTTTTAGGCATCAAAACCTGGTGAATTTTCTTAATATAAGCCTAAAAGCTTCTGACAAGGATAAGTGCAAGATCAGCTTTTTGGGCAGTTCTGGTATATGAATATGTGTATACGTAAGTATAACACAGTACAGTGAAAGCTGGATAAATGCCCAATGTTGAGCTCCATTTCTATTATAAAAATAAATGTGTTTATAAACTCACAATTTGATTACATTTTCCTTTACCATGATGTGAATTGAATGTAAATATTATTTTTCTTTGTGAACGTGGGGGCTAGTCAAAATGCATATTGTGCTAGTAGTTTCCTAGCAGCAGGAGAAAGAGAAGTTTGGGCTATGAGTATTTAATGTAAAACTGTTTGTTTATGAAAAATGCATAACCTTTTCCCCCCCCCCCCGAAAATGATGTGTTTTGAGCAAATAAAAAGCTTTTGCTTATCCTTTTCCCCGATCTGTCTTCTCACCTTGTTAAGCTTAATTTTCTGTTTCTGTATGTTGCTTTTTCTTCCCCCTGTCTACTCATACCTCTGTTGCAATAACAGTTGCAGAGAAATCTCTCTGCTGACTCTACCTTATATGTCTCTATTTTGGGTAGAAGCTGCTCTCATTTCATTAAGGAGCTGGTTCCACTAAGGAGTTTAATTATTTATTATGTATCTTCCTCAATACAGGCACACTATGACACTGGGTTTAATCCAGCTCTTGTTATTATACCTGTTCTACTCGGGTCGCAAAAGTATAATATTGCTTCTTTCAGGTACTCTATAAACAAAAACATGATGCTGAGAAAGGAACTTCAGATTACGCACGAATGAAGGAGCCTCCAGATGTTAAGCATGCCATGGAAGTCAGTAAACACCAGAGTGATGTAAGTACTCCCCCATCTGAAATGAGCGTGCTTGTTTTTCGGTAGATACATCTGCTACAGCTAACTGAAATGAACTGGGCATGGAATATTTTCATATTTTATTAGTTGGTATTTTTTTATACACTACTTGCTCTGAAGTTATTTGGGACATGATGTGTGTATAAAATATGTTGAGTTAACAGTATGTGACTTTTATCCTGAATTGCAGTGAAAAGTGGTTGTTACTCTTTATCAGTTATTTTATCAGTTATCAGTTTATTTTAACTGCTATTAGGTGCTATCACTTTGAAATAAAATTGCAAACAGGTTTTCTGAATTCACTTGTAGCTACTTGTACTTTGAAAGTATATAAAGCTCTTCATTTACATGAACGGCAGTGTTATTTCAGTGTCTTATGCTGTCAATACTTGGATAGTTCTTCAGGGGTGCTGTACAGAGGAGAGAATGGGGTCATTTCTACTCTGCTCTTGCACACTTTTATATGCATGAATAACTTTGTTCCTGTCTCATAAATACATATCAAGTAAGTTTCAAAGAATTTAATAGAATAATTTATGATTTATTTTGCAAAATCTGAGCCATAGAGTCCAGTTTGATGCCTGGCACTGGTTTATACCATTTGACCAAAGTATTTGTTCTTGTAGTATTATTTAGATAATTTACAAATAATTTACAGATACTTAGGAGTGCTTAGCAATATTTTGAAAGTTGGTTGTTTTTTTGTTTTTCAGCGGCTTGTTATCTTCTTTAAGTTTTGTTAGGTTTTCACAGTATAAAAGCCTAATAATAGTATTTACATTTTATATTAGAATCAAGTCAGGTTTGATTTCATGGTTAAGCTAGCTTATAGTAGCTCAATGCACCATTGCTTGGGGCAGAAATTCTACTCAGATTAGTGTCTTAAATGATACAAACATAACTTTGAAGAAAAACGTATGTTAGTTTTAGGTTTTGTAAGAGCTTACTTATAAGAAAAGTAAATTTTAGGAGAAGATTGGTTAAAATAGTGAGGTCGTTTTAAAGGGTACACAAAGCTATTAAGAACAGCTGATGTGTAATTACCTTTAAAGTTATGATCCATTTCCATTCCCGTTAGGTAAGTCAAGTAGACGTCATTTTGCAACTGTTTTTTCCTTAGATACATGGGATATTTTTTTGCTTCTAATAGTATAGAAAATGAAGCTTGGGTGTTCATTTTGAATTATCTTAAATTTACCCTATCTTGCCTACTGACAGTGTAACAAACACTCCTAGGTTATGTAGGCTGAAAACTAAATGTCAATATTAGATATCTGTGTGTGCAGAATCTTGACAGCTGGCTGCTGATTAAAAGGCTACTGGAAAACTTCAGGGAAGCATTATGTTTGAGGAATAACTTTTTCTTCTGCTGGGAAATACCTACATTGGAACTCCCAGCAGTAATTTGCGACCTGCCTTGATTACAAAATTCCCTCTTCCTGTCAAACTCTGTCCATCTCTGCCGTTGGAAGCATCAGGATGTCACGCTGACAGAGCGTAGGAGCTGGAAACATGCATGTCTCTCCCCATAAACCAGAGGGTTTTTCTTACCTAGCAGTAGAAATGATGGTGGACTACTAGGGAAGAAAATAATGTTGGAAAGAGAGATGAGAATCACCCTCAGAGAAAGTGGTGGGACCAGGAGGAATATGAGATGAGTTTCTGTATCGAATTCATCATGGTCTGAGGATTAGTACGCTAGTGCAAACCCTATTCCCCTTCTACAGCTGTACATCACCTGCTAACAGAATTAAGGAGAGCAGGGTACAGATGTGAGGATAAATGGAATTCAGTTGTTTCATCTTCTTTCACTCCTAGAGCAAGCAAAAAAAAAAAAAGGAAATGAAGGCAAATGTAGGAGGAAAGGATATTTTGGTAATTAGGAACTTTTAACTGCATGTTAAAAATAATGAAAAATTATGAAGGAAATTATTTTCAGCCTGAGTAAACTTCAAAAACATCAAACAAACCATCCATATCCAACATAAAACTAACCAGTTAGTTTAATTGTTTAAGAACAAATTCTTTCTGGTTGCTTGTGAATAGCTGCAGTGCAATGGGCATATATCTTTATCACACATAAAGGAGAAAGTTACATAAATCCAGTTACTGTTCAGGAAAGTTAAACAGCTGCTGTTGGCTTCATGGTGAATAGCTGTGGATTCCATGTTTTGTAAGTACAGGTTTAATTAAGAACTGTGTTGAGTTTTCATCTTTGAGTCATGGGATAGTGAGCATCCCAAATGTGGAGCATTTTTCTTTTCAAACTATTTGAGCCTATGTGTTTAGTCACAGCTTTGGAAGTACAGGGAAAAAGAAGGGAAACTATAGAAGGGCTAGAAGGACAAAGCTCTTTTATCCACCAGTCAGTACAGTTTACCTATGGTGCTCCCATATGCATGTTTACCTACAATGCTCTTCCAACTCAATTCAACCTTTACATGGAGGGTTTGTATCTAATAAGATTAGGATGTGTTTAAGACTATTTTCTCAGCCTTAAAATAAGGCTGACATTTATACTCAACTCTGTGAAATGCATAATTTCCTTTAAAAATTAAAACTATATTCACCTTACAAAACAACTGTGCTGATATTTTGAAATTGTCTTGAATATCATTAATATGCTTATCTATAAGTGTGGGCAGAAGCTGTGTACCAGGGAAATACTGTAAAATCTCCTGAACAATGTGATCATGTATAAGAAAATAGTTTTTCTGTTTTTCATATTAGATTGAAGAAAATTGCTCTTGAAGAAAAGCGACTTTTTTAATGATAGGAAATATACTTGAAAAAGAATTTAAATACTACAGAATGCTTGGACGAAAGCGTGTTTTTCCAAACCAGAGTACTTTTCTCTATAAATTGTTTGTGTTTCGTGAAGTGAACGTTAATGATGTGACTTTGGCACACAAAGTCATTTGCAGAACAATGAAGTAGGGACCATCAGCCTACTGATGTCTGTGCTTGACTGATGTCATTTAGCTCATCTGGAAGTTTCCAAACTTGGGACCAAAACTAGGGGGTGACCCTTAAAAAACCATCAGGTGACAAAATACTGTTTTGCCTTGTGTGTAGCTGAGGATCATGTGGACAGAAGAAATGTAATTGGACAGTGAAATGACATGACAACGAAGTTTCTAAAGCAAAGAATTGTGCCTACATGGAAGCTGCATGTAGCATTTGATGAAGATACTCAAAGCTGTGGATCACAGTTTTGTGTGTTCCATGCCCTGGTGCATCACTGGGCTTTATGAATAAGAAAACACTGTTAAATATTTGTACAGCAATTTAAACATTCTACTTGGTTAAAATTACGGGTTCTCCTCACAGCATTACATGGTATGAAATAAGGAAAGGGTTCTGATTTTACAAAGAAGAAAACTGCAATAGACTCATATGTGGACATTTAAAAGGCAGTTTGCAGATCTGAGGTTGGAGCTCTGGTGTCTTTTCTCTTTTCACTTTTAAAATGTTAGTTGACAGTTGGGCAAACTTTTGATGGATATGTATACACTTTCCACTCCACATAATGCCAGTAACAATAATTTATAAGTTTCGCTCACCATCTAAATTTGAATATTTAAGAAGTCTATATTGTCCTAGGAGTAAGGTTTTTTACTTGTTCAGGATATTGTGCAGTCACAATCTTCACACAAAAAAAAGTACATTCTTTCTGATTAAACCAAATCTGCAGATCTTAAACCTGATGCACTTAAACACCATCAGTAACATACTTGAATGTTGATGTTTGTTTTGATGCAGACCATGTTAAAGTCAAGCTTCTCCTGGCTCTCTGTTCAGCATCTGCATTAGAAAAATCACCTTTGACTGACTAACTTTCTGCTGACGGTGGTTGTCAACAGTGGGTCCCCCTGGACCACTTCCAACTGGTGCTGAAAATGATGTTTACTCCTGATGTAATTGGGACCAATCAATTTTCAAGCCCATTACTGGAAAGGATGACTGCATCAATCTGTAATGGGCCAGAAATGTGTTTGTCTCTTCTACTCAAGCCGGAAAACAGTTTTCAACATCCTTTGAGTGGGGATCAGAAAAGCTGTTGCCAATGATGATTGTCACCAGCTAGTTATTTTCTTAGTGTTGATGGACCCCAAAGTGCAGATGAGAGAACAGGGGGCAGAGACACAGCTGACAGGCTATTAGTTAGTGGACTTACAGCTCTTAGAAAATACTAAGCAGGGACAAACAGTAAGAGACAAATTCTCATGCAGATAGGTGTGCCCAGCTTCTTGTTGACTTCTGTGCATGCATCTTAAGAGGACAAAATGTGTTCATAGCTGCTTGTGCATATTTGAATAATTCATTACCTATAGCTTGGAATAGTTTTAATATCGGAAAAGGTGAGAAGATAAAAGATTGAAGGAAAGTTCTGAATCTCTTAAACCCAGGTTTGCTTGGCTCATCATGTAGAAGTTTCTCTTTGTTGGCTGACAACCTGAGGTGTTTTACAGCATTTTAAGAAATCTGCTTATTTTATAGCATTGTAGTGCATTCCACTGGCACCATCATGAAAGGTGAAGCACGTTCAAGACCCTCAGCTGGAGTAAATAGATCAGCATGTTTATCCTCAGTGGACCTTGTGCCTTTTTATAAGAGCTGCATGGTTGGCCCTAATAAAATCAGTCTAATTATGAGCAGGCCCTCAATATTTTCCATGCTTTGCAAAAGCTAGTCACAATTCAGAGTATGTAATCACATTTGGGATTAAAGATGAGAAATGTCTTTTGTTCTGATTATAATTTTTAAAAAATATTCAAGTATGTAACCACTTTTTATTGTGAAATTGGGGTAGAAACCCACTTTAAATTTAGTTGGTATTTGTAATTTACTGTTTTCAACTTCAAAACTCGAGATGGTATTTTTTTTTTCTCTTTTGATCCCTGCTTCTTTCTCACTTGCATTTCCAGCTGATCTGATGTAACTCTCCATTTAGGTCTTCCACTTCTGCTCTAAAGTTGTTGGTGTCTCAGTTATTTTTTACTATGCAAAGGCCAGTTGGAGCAGATTTTTTGTAAACCTGTGGTCCTCATTGCAAGGAGCAATTCTTGAGCCTTTGGCAATGTTTTTTGATAGGGCCTGAGCAACGCCTTGAAGTGAATATTGAATAAGGGCATCGTGTAATGCCTGGAAATTCCAGTCAGGGTATGAGCCTCTTGGTAAGGAGCTGAACCAACTCAGGAGAAAAGATGACCCCTTTCCTTCTGCTGTTACCTTTCTTTTGTTGCTTCTCCCCTCTTGTAGTCTTCTTCACTTTCCATCTTCTTGATGCCCACGGGTACACACACCAAGCTGGTTGCTTTACCCTGCCTACATCTGTTCTCCTGCTCTCTCAGAATAGCTCTGGTTTTACTGTTCTAACATAGCACTATTAAAAAAAAAAAAAATCACTAGACGGAACAGAATAGCAGCTGTGTAATAGAGGCCAGCACAGTGTCCCAATGGGAAAGGGTCAGCATCCAGGGACTGAGGTTATTCAGGAAATGGGAAACATATTTTTTCTTTCTTTGGCCTACCTCTGACAAACTACTGTTCTGCTGCATAACATTTTTATTCTCACCGGAGTATGACAAGCTGCAGAATGGAGCAAATATATATTGCAGACATTTGTAAAATGCTAGATGACTTTCTCTCCGACATAAGTAATAGGTATACTGGTTTAGGTGCAGGAAGAATAATAATTCACTCAGGGAAAGGTATAGCAATTGGCCTTGCATCTAATATAATTGGAAATGGTGAAATATAAAGGACTGTTACTGTCTTATTTCTCCCCCCCTTTTTTTTCCTGAAATTAACCACAATCCATTATTTCATGTACTATATGATCATGTCATTTGGGAGCAATAAGTGACCACATTTCCTCAACTTCATCACCACTGTTCTTGATTCTCTGATGTTAAATTCACTATATTCCTAATTTCTATTTTGAGCACATATGCTGGCCTTTAATTTGCAATTTACATGGATGATAGGGTGCTATTCAGAAACCTGTTTCTGCTGCCTTTGTGGTTTTCACCTCACTTCATGTGGTCATTAGGATGAACAGCATATAATTAACTAAATTCGTGTAAAGTCCTGAATTGCAAATGCCTCTCTGGACATCTAGTTTCTTAAAAATATCTAAACATAACCAAAATAAATCTTCTAGTGGTTTAAACCAACTTTGAAAATCAACTTCTGTTTTCTAGGTATGTGATACTTTGGGCTGTATTCATCCAACCTATTTGTTTGTTTAATTTATCAGTGATTAAACTTGTGTGTCAGTCATGGCAGATTAAAAATTATAAGATCTATTTGTGGGCAAGCAGCCAACAGCGAAGCCTGTTTAGCTTGTCTACTTAGCTGAAGCCATATGGACGCAAAATTACTTTCCTGTTGCATGTAAAATATTTGCCAAAAAGAGAGATTTTTTCTTTTCTTTTTGCAATAACATTTCTACAAATTATATTTGTTGCTGACTGCTGCAGCTTATGAGTTTGTTGCATTGTACCCAGAGTGAAACTTTACATTGAAAATAGGACCAGAGGTTATGATGAGAAGCTTCAAGCTGAGAACTTTCTTGCTGGTGAAATACTATCTTGTGAGGTTGATAAACTTTGTGAAGCAACAGAAGAAAACCTTAAGGATTTTCCAGTAAAACAGGAATTATTTTGATACTTTCTATTTCCTGGAAACTTTATTTTATATTCTCAAACTTTTGCCTGAAACTTCAGTTAGTCAGACACTTTGAATACCAGGGATGATTTTCCTAATAATTCAGAATAATTGGAAATTGGCTTAGATTGGCACATGTGCTACAGCAAGGAAAAAGTTCACAAACCCTGAAGAGGGAAAAGAAGAATAATTTGAGAGCTCTGTAATGTCCCTGAGGACTATGTTGTTCCTGTGATTGCTTTGCTAAATGGAGAATGTTTGGACTCTTCTACCTGTAGTTTAGCCTGCTGGCCAAAGTTTTCTGAGCCCACTCATTATAATAGTTGCTTTTGCACAAACAGAGATTCAGTCTTGTACTCAACATGCTGGAACACTCAGCCTTCTTGTTCCCGTTATTGTGTAAAGGAGCAGATAAGTGGCGTTGTGGGGATGCTGAGGTAGAGTTGTATCATTGAATTACGTACCAGCTACATGGCTGTCTAGTATAGAGAAAGACATTCACTGTGGAAGAATTACAGTTTCTGTTCAGTGGAGCTGCAATCTGCTAGGCTGCAGTGCTCAGTAACAGAGGGGGGTTAGTTTATATTAGAAAAGAGTACAACATAGGAAAAAAAAGCTGTACTCTTAAAAATCCTCTGAAATTTAATGATAAAACCTAATATTTCAGTCTTTTCTACTATGCTTCTAGGCAAAACCATTTTTCATTTTCATATTGTATTTTATGCTTCTGAATTTCTTCCTTACCCTGGTAACCTGTGTGTGGGTCTTACTATATAATCTCTGTCAAGCAGAACTGTGTTGGAATAAATTAGGAAGAGTTCTATTGAATTTGATGGCTGAGTTGATAGGTCATTCAAAGCTTATTTATAAACTTCAAATATTTTTGTTTATTTTAAACAAAACTGTTTTTTGTTTCACAGGTATCCTATAAGAAGGATGTGCAAGATACTCATAGGTACACTGAAGTGCTGAACAGGCCAGACATAAAGATGGCAACTGAGATAACAAAGATAATAAGTGATGTATGTTCTCCTTTTACTCTATTTGTATGTTTTTAGACATGTAATTTTTTAAATCCAATTTCAATCAGATTTTTTTAGAATGCTGCTGAAACTCTCCAATGTCATGAGCAGAAAACCTACAACCCCAAATCTGATAGGAGATTTGATTAAAAAAAATCAAACCCCGACAAAAAAAACCCCAGTGTTGCCTGATATTTTAGAAAATGAAGGATTTATCCTTTTTTGATGTTGACAGTATGATCTTAGCAATTATTGGTAACTGATCTAAAGAAAACATTGAAATTACTAAAGTTGGGTTTTTTTCACCTTTATTCATGATAACCATTTTTAAAATAAATCATATGCTTGTATGCTATACTTCACTTCAGAAGACATGGCAAGCCTTTTTTTGCCTTGGTGCAAGAGAAGCTTGCATCCCAGGACTTTGCTTCCTTTTCCCATCTCAGCTGGCAGCGACAGGAAAATGTAATTCCCCTCTGTCCTTCCAAGAACTGCTTCTTGCATGCGGGCTCTAACTCCCCTCTCGAATTCTGACTGTGGCTAATGGACAGGTGAAGGAGCAGTTTGAGAAGCAGCAGTGTGTGATGCAGTTTAATATTTTCTTTTGACAAGTAAACAATGTATATATTAAAAGCCCTGAGTCAAGCTTGTAAGTAACTGATAATAATTAAATGTGAGACTGACTAGGCACATATGGAGAGACAGTTTTAGGAGATCTGAGATTCACCTTTTAATATTCAGGACTGTTTGAAAACCAAGAGCCCCTATTACACATTATGCTCAACATGCAAATTTACTAATTGCTGTTCAATCTCTCTTGAGTTAGAGTGGCTTTGGGACTTTTATTTCTCCCAGTCTGTTGTTTTGACGTGTCCTTGCTGATTCACAGTGCCTGAGTAATACAAGAAGCCTATTTTAGGCAATGGATAATTTAGTTTGTGGTATTGCAAAGCACCTATTGTTGATTCATCTGTGCTCTTTTCTAATGCATTGTGGGAAAAAATTGCAGCAATTTGCATGGAAGGCAGTTCAGCTGGAGGGATCACATAACACCAACCTTGTGGGACTAATTCTGCGCTGCTACACCAGTGCAATCTCACTGACACCCAGCAAGATCACAGTGGTAAAACTGCGAGTGGAAGTTGACCTTACATTTCAGAAAAAGCTGCCCCTCAGCCTAGTTTTATTTCAAGACTACTTTCAGCTGCTACAAATAATCTTGCGTTAACGATAGACCCTGTCATAAGAAATGCTGAGCCACTGTAATTCATGCTGTCTTGATCAGGAGGACAATATTTCTCAGGCTGAAGCTGTGCATTTGGTTAAAGTTGAATTTTGTGAATGTTGTGCACTGTGTTTTACAATAGGTAAATTTTATGTTGTTAAGAAGTTGAACCCTGAGAAGAGCTTTATTCAGAGCTGATCAGAATGGTAGGGTCAATATAGATCATTAAATGAGACTTTTTCAACTAGCTTTAATGCTTACATTTCTCTTGATAAAACAAAACCAAACATTTTATTAGTGATTCATATTCCTTTTTCTTTTTCTTTGTTTTTTTTTTTTTTTTAAGGCTGAGTACAAGAAAGGAAGGGGAGAGATGAATAAGGAGCCTGCTGTACTTGGAAGACCAGATTTTGAGCATGCCAAAGGAGTTTCAAAACTTTTAAGCCAAGTAAGATTCTCCCTTATTTTACAATGACTTCATTCAGATATCTCATTCCTAGAAATATTTAGATTTTTAGATAATTATCTCTAATTGCCTGAGGATTATGTTCCGAAACCTTTCATATAGTATTGCGAGGACTGGTAAATTTAGGATTCTTAGGAAACCAAGTACACATTTTTATGCAAAAATACAATGAACTTTGACTGTTACAACTCATCTCTTGTGGAGATGGTGTATATTTATACACATTATCTAGGATTTCTAAAATATTAACTGTATGTAATTTAGAGGCAAATTTTGCTACTTATTCAGTTTGAGTGGAACCTTACCCTGTGATTAATCCCACTGAAGTAACTGAGGTCTTTTGTGCAATTGCTTGGTAATGTGAGTAATGGGATCTGAATTTGGCCTGACATGTAAACTACCCGCCTTCCCTCCCCCTGAAACTGAACCTTTTATGTACTACTGTTATATATTAACCTCAAAAAAAAAAAAAAAAAAAAAGAAGAAAAAAAAAGAAAAAAAAGGAAAGGACAAATTACTTTAGTCCTTAATTAAAAAGAAAGCTGAAACAGAAATATTCCCTCTTCCTCTTAGTAGTTTTCTACTCATAAGATCTACACATAAGACTCTACTACAGATCAACCTCACATTGTAAGAACAGTTTTGACTGCTGACCTGTTTTTGTTACACTACCTTGCATAATCCTCGCTAGTAATCCTGTCCAGCTACCCTTGGAGCTTTTGTAAACCCAGGAACAAATTCTGCCCTCCTGTGAGAGGAGGATAACATTCTTTGATTGGAGAACACTGTGTTAGCCTTCCCAGAGCTACAAAAAACCCCAAAGTATAAGCAGTGTATATACTAGAACAGTCTCAGCATCAGTGATGTGTAATAAATACTTGTGATTTGGCTAGATGCTAAAAGTCTAGAACTACCATAAAGTGAGAATAAAGTGTCATAGAGAACAAGCTGCAAAACAGTGTAGTGTCTGCAGGAGGTTGAGCTCCTTTTGCTGTTATCCTTAGATACCTGCTGCATGGTTTCCTCTTTCACACTGGACCGTCACAAACTGACTACACAAAGAGAAAAAGAAGGAAATAAATGGTTTTTATTGCTTTGTTGATGATATGTTCAGAATCAAAATGAGTTTGTCTTTTCCAAATAGATTTCTGTCTTCCATTTTGTAATGGATCTTGTACTCATTCCTCTGCTGATGAGCAAGTCTGCTAAGAGATTATTTTGTGTTTAGCATCGTGCAGGCTAGGAAGTCAACTAGCGCTTTCTAGAAAGAGGCAGAGTGATGCTGCTTAGACCTGGGTGTCAGTTATAGGAAAGGGAGCTGTCTCTCATTTAGCAAACACCTTTAGTGGTTTTTAAGAGGGTTCATATCTAAATTTAGTGTGTAATGTCCTTTATTTCTACTCAGTTGCTGCCTAAACACTCCTTTCCTTACAGCCTATTTGAGAATCTAGTGGGCTGGCAGCTGCCTGTTGTTGCAAATGGCACCAAACTGGATCCCCTTCCAACAGCCCTCTCCATCTGCCCAAGCCTAGTACCCATGAGATTGTGTCCAACAATCTCAACAAGCGAAAAATATCATCTGGATCATGGGGTCTTGCAAGCTGATGCTGAGCCAGCTGCATGGAAGGCTTCGTCAATGCATGTTTTATCTCATTATTGTTAGATGTGCTTTTTCTCTTGGACAATGCAAGCTGCATCTGCAAACACTTTTATAATAGAGTCTCTTAACTGCCAGAGACTGGGATGGCAGCAGTTCTAGTTGAGATCTTTCTGCAGAAGGCAGCACTTACTGTGCATTTTTAACTTCTTTAGAGAGTCCAAATAGTGCAGAAGGTGTGGTAGGAAGGGAGGAGCGGTTGACAAAATGTATCGCTTGTGGTGGTCCAAACTCTGCAGCCACTGGCCCTGGATCCTTCCTTGTCTTGTCGTCTCCTCAGTCTGCACTGTTGTGACTGGTTGCAGTGTTTGTGATGGGGAAAGGGAGGCAGTGCTGCCGCTCTGCTGCCAGCCGTCTGCCTGCAGCAGCACGGAGGGTGTAAATACCGGGTGGCTCTTAGCAGCAGGGAGGTGCACTCAGCAATTCCCCCACCTCCTCTGAAGGGAAGGCAGTGGCCATGAGTTGTCTAATGTTTTTATATATTATTTGAATCATTATAACACTTAGACACACTAATCATAAATCAAAAGCACAGAAAAATGAAGATGACCCCTGTGTCCAAAGAGCAGGGTGGTGGGGCAGGATGAAGAATGCACCTGTGCTGGAGGAGAGGAAGAGACCTAAATATGAGTCAGTCATGTCAGTCCTCTTCACGCAAGGATCGTGAAACAGTCTTGTAACAATTACAAGATTTAAATAATAGTAAATTTAATGATCTCATTATTGTATCCAGACTTTCTGGCTTTTAGAGTTTCCATTTATTTCTCAGCAAATGGAAGGATTATAAACTTTTTGTGCTAAAGTAGATAATCTCCCCTAATAGCATGAATCTATAAGCTGCGACATGCAGAGAAATATTAGTTATTTGACCCTCACAGTAAATTTGCAAAGTTGGCAATTCTGATGGATGTAATGGGAAGAGAAGATGATAACATGTTTTAATGTGGTGCATATGGGTAGGTAATTTAGGGAGTATAGAGAACAGGAGCAAGAAGAGGTCAGGCAGCGTGGGTGTAACTAAGGGAGAAAGCAATCAAGGCAAGCAGGAAAGCAAACAAAGCAAAGAAAATAGTGTTAATGTTTGACTGGCACTCAAGGCTTTACAAAAATCAGTGTTTTCCCTCTCTCTCTCTCTCCTTTTTTTCCTTTTTAATTTTTTATTTAACAAAGCTTTCAAAAACAACAGCAGCAAAAATAATAGCTCCCAGAACTAGTGTATTTACCCACAGCATGTGGTAACCCTTTTCTGTTGATTTTAGAGCAAATTTGAAACAGAAATTGCGTTAGCTCTGTGAAAACATGAAGCTTGTCAATTTGCCGAATATACATTGTATAATTTGGGCTTTTTTTTTTTTTATTAAACAAGCACTTGTTTATGTACTCTTTATGTCTTCTAAAGTGTTTTATTAGCTTCTTCAAAGAGCTGCTGATATGATGTATTCCCCTTATGGTGTTCAATAACTGGTTTTAGAATGAATAATTTTGGATTTTCGTATTCGTTGCTGTGTCTGGTGCTTATTGTTTCAGGGATAAAATTGTTAAAGGTAGAACGTTTTTCAAAATGCACCTTCTCTGAGATTTTCAGTAACAGCACAAAGAGCCTAGGATTTTCTTAATCTTTCTTTGCTTTAAACTCTGCTAGTGCTTTTAGCTATGAATATTTCAGTTTTTCTCTTTGTTTATGTGACATTTCCTTCAATATATTTGTGTTCTAACAGGTTTTTCCTTTTTTAAAGACGTTTTCATATGGTCATGAGGAAGTGCGTTAGCTGTGTCTGCTTCATCCTGGGATCCCAGTGGCTGAATGATTCAATTTTTGTAGTTTCTTTGTAAATCTGAACAGTGGGTGATGTCATCCACTTCTGAAACTGAACACTCCCTGTGTGAACAGCTTTGAACTACAGATTTGATTTAGGAATGTTGCTGCTAAGCTTCAAAAGACACTGCTCTGTCCAGCTGCAATTTTGACTTTTATAGGTTTTGTGCAAGGCTGATGAGAACTTTGTTTATCCAGGCCTTATTTAATTCCAGTTTGGTTTTTCAGGGATGTTGTTGTGTTAAAAGCCTGCAGAGTCTGCTCTTTCTTATGCAACCACTAAAGAGCAAGCTCCATGCATTTCTTTTAAATTAGCACCCACTACATAATCTCTAAAAAAATAAACAAACTTAAGACTTTAATGAAGATGGTAAATAAGTAACCATCTTTTTAAGCCCTCATTAAATTAAACTCTCAGTTAATGATGAAATTGGAAGATAAGTGTCCACTAACAACTGTCAATTCTACTCCCACTTGTTTGCTCTTCCACCATATTACAGCATTGTTAAGACCTTCCCCCTTCAGATGGTTTAGAAATCACATGAAGTGTTTTTCTTCATTGTTTTTATTCAGAACCCTTTCTCTTAGGTACATTTTCTCTTTATAAACTGCGTTCATAACTTCATCCTGTTCAAAAGAAGGATAAATACCGGGTGTGTTCTTTCACCGTGACTCATCTTCTTTCTTTATCTTCTCCCACCCCACGCTTCCTTTCAAAAGGGGGAAAGAAACAAGAAAATGTTGATGAAAGAGAAAGTGGATGTCTGTCTAGCTTTCACTGAGACAAACACCCTGTGACAAGTCAGTTAAATGACTGCTGGAAGTGCTCTGGAGGTGCTGCCGGGGTCATTGGATATCACTGTGTATCCTCCATTTTGCTCCAGAGCGACCTGTGCCATGGTGCAGGGGAGGCAATAAGCTGAGCAGCAGGGCCTGGAGTTACCAAGACAGCCCTCACTGCAACAGGAACATTTACAGTCATACTGTTTGGGCTATCCTTAAATTTGGGACCTTCCTGCACTTTGGCATGAGGACACATGGCCCTGAAGGCACGGCAAACATCCTGAAGACTGGATTCACTGGCCCCCCTCTTTCCTACATTAGCAGCAATGTGATCTGAAGTGACACGAAAGAGGAAACTCTAGATTGAAATGCATTGCTAAAAAAAATCTTTTAAAAGGTGGCATGAAACATCTGCTGCTGGGAGATGGCAAACTAGTTGTGAGGAGAGGTCCCCTTAACACCAATGCTCTCCCATTTAACAAGGATCTCAAGGACCAAGATATTTGGTATGTGTGTACTGTTTGTGGCCATTTGTTGACCGGGCAGAAGGCAGCCTGCAGGAGCTGGATATTTGAAGTCTTGTGCATGATATGGTTGTGAAATGAATAAATGAGTAAAACACAATTTTGCTTGCTGTACTGACTTGATCCCCAGTTTCAGAGGCTTTTTGAATAACATATTCCAGCACTGCCTGATTTTCATTAGAAGGCACGTTTTGGATACACCTTTTAAAAGAGAAAAGTCCTCTGATTTATTCCTTCATTGCTCATACAGACCATGGATTTGCCTTTGTTTTTGTATTCAGATATATGCTTTTGCACTTGATCCAAAGCCAAGGCAAATATCAAACAATATGAACCAGATGAATCTACCAGAAGGCAATAGATACTCTCTTCTAGAGCTAGTGTGAAAGATTATGAAGTTCATCATGTGTTCAGATAAAGTTTCTCTTTAAAAGTAACAATGTTTTAGAATTTCCTTCCTTAGAAGAATTAACCTAAGTGCTGGAATTATGAAGTAGTTCTTGAACATACGCAGCTAATTTCTGTTTGGGTGGCTTAGTTTTGGTTATTAATGAAATATTGGGCATTGTGACTAATGATAATGAGGTTGTATAAGCTTAACCATGTTGAGGGTCTTTTGAGGTAAGGAAGAACTAAAAAGGAAAAAAAATCACTCTTCTCACAACTAAAGCTGAGAAAAAAAATAATTTTTTGAGGGAGATTGTTTGAGGTGGTTTAACCACTTTATTAGACATTCATGTGGGAATAGAGAAAAAAGGAGAAGGGAAAAATCCGTGTATTTATTTAGTGCAGAGCGTGGTAAATTATAATGGATGTTGCATAGGCTCAGATATCAGGTGTCTGACTAACATTCATGAAAGCAGCATAATTCAGACTGAACTTTATTCTCCTCTGTTATGCCCAGCTGTTGGAAAGAAGCAAACATGTGTGCATAGTCTCCAGATGTTTGATGGTAACGCACAAAGGGGGCAAAGGAGGGAGATACACTATTTGTTCAATTTTATATTTTCAGATTCTGAATTCAGTTCTTTAGCATGTTTTATGGAATTTTTGTGATAGAATTGCTTTTAATGCTGTTGTCTCAATATTTATATATTGCTCATTTCCTCTTACGTGTGTTGTCATTCCCCCTTTTTCTTTTGAACAAGAAGAAAAGAAAGTGAAAGTAGTGGCAGACAGGCATTTAATTATACTTTCTAGCACTGTAATGAGGTGGGCATTGTCCCCAGGAAAAGGCTGTACTACAGAGAGATTCCTCAGCGTCTCATGGGAAATTTCTGGTGGAATCAGAAGTAGACCTGGGGGCTCTGGTGACAGTCTAACAGCATGGCTGACATGTGGACCTGGTGGTGGGAAGACAGCTGAGTAGGAAGTTTGATTCTGACTTCCCACTTTCAAGTGGTTGAAAAATTCACAAATGATTTGTTTTATAAATTTTACAATTTATTCATCTTAGAATTTATTTATTTTTTTATGTTAGATACAAATTGAATGATTCTCAGTGAGGAGATTATTACTGCTAGTCGAACAGTTCTGGTTTATTTGATTACTCAGGTGAATCATATGGTTTTAGTTCTGTTTTCTTTTTATAAATCCTTCAGCGCCGGTAATTGCATATGACAATCTTAAAATTTTAGTAAAATTGGATACATAAAACTTGTTTTGAAACCAACACAAGACAGTCACAGGTGTGGCTAAACTGAGCTTTTTAAAAGATTGTTTAAAGATTTATGAATAAGGCAATTGCCTTCAATAAGTGTCTTTGTAGTCTGAATTCTCTGTGCCTTTTTTAAGTGCTATGTGTTAATATTAGACATATTTGTTCTGGTGAAAGGTGAAATACAAAGAGCGGTTCAGTAAGGAAATGAAGAGTCACCAGTACAATCCTCTTGACAGTGCTTCCTTCAAGCAAGCAAAGATTGCATCCGCCTTGGCAAGTGATGTAAGTTAATTGGCTTTGTATTTTACATGCATTTACATCCTGAATAACCTAACATTTGTTCACAAGTAGAATTTCTTTTGTCATCTTATGAGTTAGTCTGAGCTGCAGTCTCTGCTATACAGTGTGTAGCAGGTACAGCATGTTATCCATTTCTTCCTCCACTTCTGACAGAGGGCTTACAGAGTTTTTCATAACCATTTTAGATGAGATTCATCTTGCTTAATTTTGTGCGTTCAAAGGCATGAGTGCTTATTGCCCTGTACTTGGTCCCTTTGTTTTCAGGAAAGAAATAAACAGGTTTGGAGGGAAATTCTTCTCACCTGTTGTAGGTGCCTGTCTTTGAGGAGTGAAGGAGGTTGCATGAGCAGTTAAAATTTGGATGTCTGTCTTTGAGACTTCATTCTGCTGGTTGATCTTCTCAGTAGTTTTAGAAAATATAGCAGTCATTATGTTGAGCAATGGGTGTCTGCTGCTGGAGCCAGACTGGAGAAAACCTCTATATAGAGTGATAATGCTGTTGGGATGATATATTTAAAAGTGTGTCTAATGCTAAAAATGTGAGCTCTTCTTTGAGGCTGTAATCCCAGATAGCAAAGAGTAGTAGTTTGGCATTTCCAAAGTGTGGGGCACCATGCAATGGGAACAGGAGAGACCGGCTCTGGGAAGGGTACAGTAGAATATGTAATTGTTTCCAAAATCTACATATGAAGTAAACAATTAATTGAATTAATTAATATTGTAAGAAATGTGCAAATTAAATATCATAGATTTAGAGTCTGCCTAAATTAGTGAAGAATACATATGTGGAGGTATTAGTTTAAAAGATTTTTCATCCAAGATAGGTAAGGTGGCTAGTTTTCTTCCTGTAAAGGTGGGCATCCAGCTATGAGAAGTATGGAAAATCCTGCTGTAGGCTGATAGGAAGTTATCTTCTCCTACTTCATTAAGTGATTGTCTTTTGCCTTATGTCATGATATTACTTATATTTGCTGAAAGCAATCTGCTTTAGATAAAAGATCCAGGAGCACTTCCCTTTTTCTTCTATATATACAACCTTTTAAATTAGACAGTTAGTGTAATGCCTGAAGCAGGAGAAAAAGAATAAGAATTAACGGTGTTTAAAATGAATAGACTCAAAGTATTGAGGAAGATCATCTTGATTTAAGTGGGGGGTGAGAGGGGAGGGGAGAGGAAAAAGGAAAAAAAAAATTCTAGTCTGAAAAGTCATACAAAGTGTGATTTTGTTGAAAGTGTCCTTTTTGGAGGAAAAGTTTGAGTAGTTCCTGAGTACTTCCTCTGCAGAATGAATCCTATACTGATTTTTCCTTTTCTTCCAAATAACAGTAGATGACCACCATCTAGTGGCTGGTACAGATTGCTCAGGCAAGCACTTAATGCTTTTTGTTTCTGGATGGCCACACTGTAATACAAATCTGTGAAATATTTTGTTAATCTTTAGTTTGCATAACCTGAATTCTCTTTCCAGGTGAATTACAAGAAAGATTTGGAAAGCCTACATGATCCAGCGTCTGATCTACCAAATCTGCTATATTTAAACCATGCTTTAAATATCAGCAAAACGCACAGTGATGTAAGTTGCCTTTTTAAGAATGACCTGAAAGATAAATGTAGTAAGGAATGTAGTATGGGTAGTCACTCTAGGAAACAAAAATTTTTGGTACTTGCTTCATGGTCTCATATGTAGTAGACGCATATCATGGTTAGGCTTTGCGAACGAAGATTTGGGAAGGGCTCTACCCACATTTGTCACAAGTGCGCTGGTGACTAAAAAGGCCAATACAAGATAGACACGTCCGATTGCAAAAGGCACAGCAGAAAGACTCCTTAGGTGGTATATTCTGCAAGACATGATTCTTTCTGCGTTGTCTTTTCTCCTCGAGAGTGATCCTGCGTGCGTTCTCAAAGGCATCAGCAGCGTTATAGATGGTGTGTCTCCAGACCTCCCGGTTGGAGGCCAGAGTAGACCAGTTATGTTGATCAATATGGCCAAGACTAGAGTATTGTAATTATAGTAGATGAGGAATGAAAAGCTGGTTTTTAGGAAGACATATTTCAATTATTAGAATAAACAGTATACTATGGAAGAATCACACAGACTTCTGATATTGAGTGTTTATTCTTATATGTCTGAAACCTTGTCTGTTTTTAGACTTTGTTTTCTAAGGTACTTCTTTCCTTGCAAATCTTGTTTTGTCTAAGATCTTACTTTCACCTGCAAATGTCTGTACAGAAGGGGGCATTATGCTAGTTTAGTATTTGGACTTCTTTCATGAACAGCCTCTCAAGTGCTATCTTCCCTTGCAGTTTCTCTGCCTAAACCTTTTTTCCCTCCTAAATGTCTGAGGCTTCCTACACCAGGTCAGAATAGGCACATGCTTCATTCTGACACGTAATGAGACAAGCCCCTTGATGGGGCTGGTGGTCTGACGTATGATAGCGGTGGGGGTTGAAGTAGGAAGGACGAACTAGGAAATCCCTGGCTTCTCTGCCATGATAAAGCTTCTCTCCCACTCTAAGAGCACCTATGCTGCATGCATGGTGCCTGTAGGCTGGTTAACTGCATTTGTCATCTTTACTCCTGAAACCACAGAAGTCCTGCAGAACTGCTGTGGAGAGGCATGAGTGGGTAGTGTTGGGAAGGAAGATTACGGCGGCAGAAGTTGAGCAGATTTCAAGATAGATTTGTCATCTTATCTCTAATGAGATAGAAACCTGGACCTTCCCTTAAGCAGATCATGTCTTGCAAAATTTATTTCTTTCTTTTGCCCAGGAAGGGTTGATTCATAATGTCCATATGCTGGTCTGAGGACTCTGTAATACTAAGTCTCTGATTTTTGCATCGTCCAGATGCTGATGGGTATTTTTTCTTGCTACAAGCAGGAAGCAGAATGCTTTGCCAATCCTTAATCTCTCCACTAACTGTCTTCTGCAGAAATCCTGTTTTCACAATCCTTCTCAGATTTGACCTCCCCATGTCATCGCTTTGATTTTAAAATGGTTAGTCTTCTGCCTTTTCCCCTGCTTTTCCAATACCTTCCTTGTGTTCTCCTCCTTGTCTCTCCACAGCTCATACCAAATCTGTCTTGAAATCTGCTTCCATTGTATGAAACAGTCTTCCTGACTGTACTGTTGACTGATTTCCAACGACTGATCATCTGGTCTGTTTTTTTTTCCTTCTGAAACACAGAGCTGCTTGCTAATTGCCCAATTTTGCTGTTTCCCTGCAGTATACCTTTCTCCATTGAACTTTGTGCTTCTCATTATCTTTTGCATAACATAGCTACACCTGCACCGATGCGACAGATTGAAACCTGTATGGTTAATTAAACTCAAAAATTAATCTGGTTGATTGAATGAATGGGTTTGCTGATTGACCTAGAGTGTAGGAGTGTGTGCAAAACTTTATGAAGCACATATACTGTAATATCAGTGCAAGGCTGTTATACAAGTCAACTTCCACGGAAATAAATTCCATCAGTTAAGAGGAAAGGTTGATAAGCATTTTTGGACACAGATAGGCTGATTTTGACAGGCTGAACTCATGCTGTTTTTATTATTTTGATAAGGAAGAGAATTCACAAGATGGAATTTTCCCCTCATACAGTATTGTCCTGGTTTCAGTTGGGATAGAGTTACTTTTCTTCCTAGTAGCTGGTATAGTACTGTGTTTTGGATTTAAGATGAAAAGAATGTTGATAACAATTTGGTTGTTAACCAAACACTGATATTTGATTATTGCTGAGCAGTGCTTACCCTAAGTCAAGAACTTTTCAGCTTCTCATGCAGCCCTGCCATTGAGGTGTCTGGGAGTGCATGAGATGCTGAGAGAGGATACAGCCAGGACAGCTGACCCACACTGGCCAAAGGGATATCGCACACCATATGGCATCATACTCAGCATATAAACTTGGGGGAAGCTGACTGGGAGCTGCTGCTTGGGAACAGGCTGAGCATTGGTCAGTCAGTGATGAACAATTTTTTTTCATTTGTGTCACTTGTTTTTTCTTGATATTTTCTTTATCTCTCTTTCTTTTTGTTATTTTTCTTTTACTATCTATTTATTATTAGGATGCTAAAATTTTATTTTATTTCAATTATTGAACTGTTCTTATCTCAATCTATGAGTTTTCTTATTTTTACCCTTCTGATTCTCTCAACCCATCCCATTGGGCAAAATGTGTGAGCAGCAGTGTGAGGCTTAGTTGCTGGCTGTGGTTAAACCATGGCAGGTATACATGTAGCATAAGCTATGGAGACATAAAATGTAACACTTTGATATATGTATAACAGCTAGTTTATTGCTTTTCACATTTTAAATCTGTGCCTGTTTTAGAGACTTTGAGATGCTAATGAACTACAGGCTAAAAAAAGGTGAACTTAGATGTATTTCATTTTATGGAACAGGGTGAATAAATAGAACTTAAGAGACTGAATCTAGTGCTTGTAGCTTAATGTAGCAAGAGGTTATGAGATTTACCTAATTTGATTTTATAGAATTATTTTTTTATTTTGTTCCATTAGTTGACGAATGGAGTAAAGGTATGAAATCAGTATCTGTAGATGGAGATAGTTTTCATTTTTTCCACTACAGAAGTGATTTTGTTGTGTGACATTTATAATTCTTTCCACTAGGAGGCAAACCCAGACCGTCATATGTGTTCCTTTGCACGTCAAATGTAAACAATAACGTTTATTTTCTATCGAACATAAACATTTGACTTTTGGATTACCAGGGCAAGCATTTTCTCTAAGAATGTACAAAAGTTGTTTTTTATCTTATCCTTTCTTCATTTCATCACAATATTTTAAATTCAAATTTGTCAGAACTCCTGAGCTGGGAGGCCTAAAATGTAGTTTCTTCTATGCTCTTTCTTCCATACTTATTTTAAATGGTATTTAAATTCCAAAACCTTCTGGATTTTGTTGATGAAAACATGCTTGGATATTTTTTATTTCAGTTTGAATATAAGAAATCATTTAAGCAAAGAAGGGCTTCTATCATTTCACCCTGGGTACCGCTGAACAAATCCATCACAAAGCAAATGAGGTGCTTCAAAGTCAGGAATACACAACCACAAACACATCTTGCAGAGAGAAAAATGCAACATTCTAATGGTGATTAAATCAGTCACAAAACTGCATGACAGATTACAGTCATGTACAGCACATAGTCAATCAGAAGCACCCCAAGAGAAGAGAGGAGAGTGTTTTTGCAGGACCCAAACCTAGTGCAGAAGCCTGACAGGGAAAGAGAAATTCAGACATCACTGTTTTTGAAGAGAAAAATAAATTAAAATGACATTGCTCTTTATGAATATAATATTTTGATTTGTAGCTATTTGCTTTCTTTTAAGGCTCGTGTAGAATACTCCATCATACCGCACAATGATTGTTTGAGATAAGTAATGTGTTTGCCCGTCTTAATCAAAAGAGCGTGAATGAATGAGTTCAGAAGGCTTCTCCAGGTTTCCAAACAGAGTGTATTTGCTTTGCGAGTTAGCATAAAGTCATAAGTTGATGTCTTAACCCTGTGTCCTTCATTGTGATTTTACTGCTAGCTTTAAGGTCATGGTCCCTGGTAGCTGTGAGGGGAATGTTGGTGCAAGACCGGACCCTACTGAGGCATTAGTTTTCCTTCCCTTCTCCCTCCCACAGGTACAAACAAAAATGCATTTGAGAGTGGTGCTCCTGAACCTGAAGCAAAGACCTGTGGGGCCTGGCTGTGAAACAAAATTTTGTTGTTGTTCCAGTAAATGTGTTGTTTTATGGGAAACATGGCAGGGGATCCTTATTAAAAAGCTGCCAACTGTTCAGACATAGGTCATTTGGCCAAAATCATGCAATTAGTTTAAGGATTGTGATTGATGCTCCTCACTCCTGCTGTCTTCAAAGCTCACAATTGTTAGGTTTGACAATTTGAAGAAAAGGAATAAATGACTCCAGAAAACAAATTACCTTATCTAGCTGCCCTGTTTCTTCAACAGGTTAAATTTGGGAGGAGTCTTCCAACTCAAAACTTCTAAGGAGTATGGCTAAGACAGGATTTGTCTGTTGCTGAGGCAAGCAGTCAGATCTCACATTCTGTCAGCTGCTAACAGACTTTATTTTAATTTTCCTAGGTCAAGTACAAAGAGAGTTATGAAAAAGCTAAAGGCAGATCAATGCTGGAGTTTGTGGATACACCAATGTATCAAGTTTCAAAAGAGGCTCAAAAGATGCAAAGTGAGGTCAGTAAAAATGTGTGCCTGAAGACGTAAAAGTTAGATCAACAGAGAAGTTAGCAGACATCTTGTACTCAGGTTAAGAAAATGTATGAAGCAGAGTGTAAATTTAGGATATGGTAGAATTATACTGCGTAGTTATCTCTGCTATTCTGTAACTCAGTTCTTCCTTCAAATTTGTTTTTTTCTCAAAAGGCCATTGGTGCTAACACTAGACAGAGGTTGTCTTTAACATCATATAATTGAGAAGAAGCTCAAGAGGTCATCTAGATCAGAGATTACTAATTTTTAACTTTTCCCTTTAATTCTGTCATTAGTGAGGAATGGTTCTCACATGTGAGTAAGTGAAGCCATAGAACCCAGACCAACCCCATGCCTTAACTGAAACATGGTCCTCAGCAATGGGGAAGGGGTGTTCCAGAACAGCACTGGCTGTCCTATGTCAGGCCATGCTTTTCTGACTTTTTAAAAAAACCTTCAAATGATGGAGATTTTGTGACCTCCCAGGCAATCTAGTCCAGTGCTTCACCATCCATCCTGAGCAAGAGTATTTTCCCGTGTCCCCCATGCTGCAGTTTGATTCCATTACTTTTGCTGTGTCATGGAAAACAGATGACCTCATCCTCTTGGTAGAAACTTTAATGAGTTTCAGACCATTACCTTGTGTGCTATTTGTCTTCTCTTTTCCCTACCAAGCAAACTGTTTCTTTCATAGTTCAAGTTCAACATTCTCTTTGGAAATACCACACACATATTTTTGTCTAGATTGTCTCTGTCTTGTATAGCTAATCTAGGTAATGAAATGAGTAATGAAGTTGCTTATTAGTGTGATGACTAATTTATGACATGGTTAATTTCTGGGTCTGTTTACAGTGTTCTTTCTGAAATATGCTTGGAATTGTGTATGTATGTATGTACCACTAATTATTGGTTTTGCTTCAACAGAAAATGTATCGCAAAGATTTTGAAGAAGGGATCAAGGGAAGACCCTCACTGGATTTAGACAAGACCCCAGAGTTCTTGCATATAAAGCAAGTCACTAACCTTCTGAAAGAGGTAAAGGATTTTTTGCTGTTGTTAAGCTGTAAATGAGCAATAAGCAGCATCACTACAAGCTACTGAGTGCTGAATAGCTTAAAGTTAACTTGGTAGCTGAATACAGGTCACTTCATGAATAAGAATTGCTTCACATCAATTTTTATGAATAGTTGTGTAGTAAGCAAATTTTAAAGCTCAGCACACCTGAACCAGAAAAACAGAGTTTTTAGATAGATGAAGGGGTGTAAAGGAGGATTTCTGTTGGCATCCAGATGGCAGTTTTTCCTTTTGAGTTATTATTTCACATCTATGATAGTCTGTTGTGGTTATATGGATACCTTGAGCTGTGTATGGTCACTTTTAACTAAGTTAATTGAAATAATTATCTATCATGCATGTTATGGATGAAAATAAAGAAGACCAAAATTCCATAATATAGCTGTGATATTACATAATTTGCTTTAAGCACATTTTGTTAGATGGTACAGGTTTTCTATATGCCCTCTGTTTCTTTAAGATTTGTTAAATGTTCTCAGTTGTACGTGTCACTACAAATGAAATAAATTTTTTTCCATAACTGAGAATCCTTTTATCTTTAGTCTTTTTATATTGTTATTCAGAATTGGTTTCATGTTAGGTTTTGAGTATTGGTTGGTTCTGTAGATTACGGTTACTATTTGACCAAATTTAGAAGAGCTAGAACTGCTAGAAGAGAAGAGCAGAGCTGATAGATATCCTCCTTTTGAATCTGGGAACCAGCAGTACCTTGTTTGTATTTATTGTTTTAAGAACTGATTTTTTTTCCCAAACAAATAAAGATGCTAGAATTAAAAACCCTTGAACCTTGTTCCTTTCCTTGCTGTTTATACAACTTATCCCAGTCTGCTAGACTTCATATGGATAAAGAAAAAAATTTCTTTTCAGATTTTCTTTATTATTCATCCTCTAATAAATAATTTATTCTGATAAGCCTGGCTGTCAGGTAAGCAAGTCTCAAGCTGGGTCTAGTTTTTGCAGTACCATTCTGTGCGTGCATCTCATGTATACCTACTCACTAGGGAAAAATGCAAATGCTGTCATTTTGTTTAATCTGCTTGCTGAATGCTCACAGAAGTTGTTATTGCATGCATAGTTGTAATGTGCTATAAATGTTCATGTTTGAAAATTTTGATGTAGCTTCCCTTCATAGTGCTGTATGCATTAAGATATTCCCTAATTCTTACCTCCTCAAGTTTTATGGCTCATTACTTAGGGAATAAGCCATGCTTGTAAGCCAAAGGGGAAGAATATGAGAAAATGGGAATGATATTTTAATGCAAAACTGCATGAATTTTGTATGGTTTTATGTCCATATTCAAGGAATATATTCCAAACCCAAAGATTACACAGGTCAAATTTATTATTATCTTTCACAATTCAGCAAAATTATGTATTTCTTCATAGTCAAGGATGTAGCTCAGTATCTTTGCATTAAGGTTCATAATAAACTTTAAATAGATAATGTATGGAACAAGAAGAAGTTACTAAAAAATGAATCAGTTTTTCAATTGCTTCTTATTTCCCCCCCCCAAGTGTCAGCTATGTTCCAGCTTATTCTGTTGCCTTCCCACTGTAGATAATTCTGTACGTATTTCCTATTTTGTAACAACATGAACTTTCTTCTTTGGAACCACATTCACAACTCCTTCGGAAGAGACAGATGAACTAAATAGTTCTAAATTAATAGAAGTTGTTTCCTGCTTGTTGTAGGACATGCTTTTGATGACAAAAGAAGCTTCTTTAAAAATACCTGTTTTCCTTTTATTTAAATAATGAGCTTATGGAAGATAAAGGTGCGCACTGCTACTTATGAAATTTAATACATAATTAGGAGTATTAGTTCATGTCTGTGTAAATCCTTCTGATATATATTTTCTTCAATGTTCTTCTAGTTTCTTTGCTTAAAAAAGCCTAATCCTCACCTGGAGATGGAGCAATTAAAAATCCTTACAAAACTTAAAGACCTTGAACTTCAGTAGGCTTACATCAGCTCTTTAGGACCTGGGAAGAGGAAAAACAACCAAATGTCTGTGGGCAGGTTCTGGTGTGCTTTGAATTTTATATTGAACATTTGAGTACTCTGGAGGCTGCAGCTGCTGAATGCTGATAGATCATATCAGTGCAGTGTCTAAAAGGCACAGGAGTGATATGGTAGGAATATTGCTTCTACATTATAATTTGTCAAGCAGTTGTTTTAACAGGTCCTAGTGTGTTGTTCAGGGAATCCATCCTGAATGGGGTGCCATTATTGGAACAGAGGTAAAAACTGCAGCACAGCATATATTGATCTGCAGAAAGAAAATGCTACTGCAGTAAAAATGTCTGTCCGAAGAGAGTCAAGGCCCCTAAACATTGTGCTAGTTCTGTATAGGGAGGGCTGGTTTTCAAGAGCACAACAAAATATATGACGACTTTAAAATTTTTTCACTTTTTCAGTGTTGTACCTTTCGATTTCACAATTTCCAATTCTATTTTAACTCTGAAATCTATACTACAGCTAATTCATATTTCATAGAAATTTCAAAGAGACCCTTCAGACTTTTAATAAGTGGCATTTCTTTTCAAGATCTTGCACGCAGTATTAACTGGAGAAACCTCTTTCACTATTTTTTCTTTTTTTTTTTTTTTTTTAATCCTTAGAAAGAATATCGAAAAGATTTGGAAGAAGGGATGAAAGGAAAAGGAATGACAGTGTTTGAAGATACACCAGATTTGATTAGAGTGAAAAATGCTGCTCAGATACTAAATGAGGTATGTTATGCTAGTCAAGGTTATTAATGTCACAGAGGGTTCACCTTTTACATTAAACTCAATGGAGAAGATTCAATTTTAAAAAAAATTTTTACATAATCTACAATGAAATACATAAGTATTGAAACTGAGGCTATTTCTGTTTTGCTTTAAAAATATAGTAAAGCTCTGGATAAAAATCAACTCAGGACAAATATTTCAGATTTCAGATTTTCAGGCAATTAAAAGATTAAAGGAGATTGTTAGTGGGGTCAATGGATACAGCATTTAGAACTGTGCTGTTTAGAACAAACTTGTCTGTTTAGAACAGGCTTTCTGAATGCATGAGTTCCTCAGGGTGGTCTTCCAAAGACTGTCTCTGGGAAGCAGCAGTAAGGTTGGAGGGTGTGGGGAGGGAAGAGGGAAGACTAAGCTCATACTGCACGTTATGCCTTTGGGCATTTTATATTCATTTTATACACACACGTGTGTGTGTATATATATATGTATGTGTATATATATATATATATGTTTATTTGCACACATATACATACTTAGCCATAAAAACCAGAGGGGATGACATGCATAGGGCCAATCTGACCACTGTAAAGAAGTGCAGGAATATATAGCTGTAACTCCCAGGATTATCTTTCCCTTGGTGTTTTACACAATATGAAGCTCGGAGGAAACATCTGCTGTCCCACTGCTGCAGAGAGGAATTGAGGGATGATGTCTTCCCACAGGTTAACTTACACTTTTTCAAAAGACTATGGTTTGCAAAGTAAAGAGTTGTTTTATCACATTTATGTCCATATCAGAATGAGATAGAGATGGAAGACTGAAAATCTTTTTGCTTTTGTTCTTGTAAGTGATCAGACCGTTGCATCGAGTAGAAAAATATTCTCCTTCTTTTTTCTAACTAATGCACAACCTAAAAAATAATTATCAAACAAGAAAATTAAGGAAACTTTTTAATTATATGTATTTATTTTGAAAAAAAAAGGTTTCCACAGGCAGAGATGAACTAGAATAGAAAAAGAGTGATTACTACTGTAGTAATAGGAATAGCACTGGCTAAGAACATTTTTTTAAATAAAAAAAGGGTAATTATTGTATACAATATTTCAGTATTACATTTTAATATATTTTGCTGATGAACAAGGAATATATCCTTGCTTGTATAAGATGAAGATGAAATATTCATTTTGTTTTCAAGTGATTGGTTATTTATAATTTATGTTGTGAGGAAAAAGGAGCAATCGCAGATGAGTACTGCTACTTGCCTAATGGCTATGGTTCAGGAAAGACCTATTAAATGAATAAATTACAACTTCCTGCTCTGGAAGTTCACTGGAAGCAATTCTGTACGGTATTAGATTTCTAACATGTAGTCTTTTCATAAATAAAATATTTTCTTAAAAGAAAATGTGTTTCAATTAGGCTGGCATCAAGTACCAGCTTATTACACTATATTCTGCAGAGCTAAACTCCCCCTTTACTTTAGAGGATAATTGTAGCAAGCTGTATGGACTGATTTCCTCCCACCCTCTGCCACATTAAAATTTCAGTGGTAGAGATTTGTACAGTAGTGAATACCTTCTAAAAGTTTTCCTCCTGTAGTTTGTTATGATTTTTTTTCTGGCAACAGCTTACCAAGAGTCTTGAGAGTTGTGGCCCTTAATCTGAGAATTTTACTTGACTCTAAATCCTAAATTTCAATCTCTTTTGCAAAAAAAAAAAAAAATCTACCTGTAACTCTCTGGATACTGACAATATAATGTATAAGTTTTATCTTCACAGAGACAATACAAGAAAGACCTGGAAACTGAAATTAAAGGGAAGGGCATGGAAGTTGGTCCAGATACCCCTGAGATAAGACGAGCCAAGAAAGCTTCGGAAATTGCAAGCATGGTCAGTACTGTACCTGGTCCAAGCTTTGCATTGGACAGCATGCAACAAATTATTGTTGTTGAGAATTCCAGGTGGTGACCAACCTAGGCAGTAGCGATACCACAGATTTCACCAAATAGCTCATCTGTCGAAATGCACGGAGTCTGAAAGTTGCATAATCAGCATGGGAGAGAAAGTTAAGACTTCCCAGAACTGTGACTTTTCCATCATCTTTTGCAGCTTGCTCTTGTTCCTCACGAGTTATGCCTGGCCTGGGTTGTGTTCGATTGCTGTGGGCTCTACTGCTTTTAGGTCGAAATAACTACTTATTTAGTTAGGGCCAAATGATAAAAGAAGTTAGAGAGATGCTAAAACCTCATGACCCCAGTCTTGCAAAGCATGGCAGAGGGAAGAAAATCTCATCTTACTTTTGTCTGTGATTGCAGCTGCCAAAACTGGAAAGATAGATAGATGTGAAAGGCTACATCAGAGCTTAAGTGAGCAGTCTCTTAAAAGAATTTTTTAGCCTGTCAGCAGCTACAATGTGGGTGTCACATGGATAGATTCTACAGAACTATTACCGTTGAATCAATACTTATTTGGTGTTTTGTGAATGCTGCTCAGTGGAATTGCATAGATTAAATTGGGAAAAAAATTAAGAATTTGACTGTCAGATGTATTTCCAATGCTATTATTTTCAGAAAGAATACAAGAAAGACTTGGAGAATGAAATTAAAGGAAAGGGAATGGAAGTGAGCACGGATACCCTTGATATACAACGAGCCAAAAAAGCTTCTGAAATTGTCAGCCAGGTGAGTACACAATTAATCGCTTTAAGATTACTTTGGAAGTAAAACACAATGAGATGTTAAAAACATAAAATCTTCTTGAACATTCTTAGGCTAAAAGCTGTAAGCAGTGCACAAAAAAATAATTAAAGAAATTGAAGAGGTTTTTTTTTTAAAGTCTGACCAGTACTATCAGAATAGCTTTGAAGACAGAATGTATGGAGAATTGTAGTATTAGTTATAGGGTTTTTTCCCTTTTATTTCTTCTTCAGAAAGGATATAAAAAGGATCTAGAGACTGAAATTATAGGAAAAGGAATGCAAGTTGGTCTGTGTACTCCAAAAATACAATGGGTCAAAAGGACTTCAGAAATAGCAATCCAGGTAGACATGGTCAAAGGCTGAATGTTTTAATTCTGTGTAACATTGAGTGCTTGACATACATTGCTCAAAATACTTCTTCTGTAGCTCTGTAGAGGCTTTCATACCTGTACTAAATTAATTTACATGTAGTAAAATGTCTTAACTACCTGATTCTTATTTTTATCTGGGCCTGTTATACCATGACAATTGAATTTACTTGTTTACATCTACCTGTAGTTCTTTTTACACTACCTAATGATATGTTACATATATCCTGACAGTAAAGAGAAAATATATATGAGGATATATAATATATGAGGATATATATATTATATATATGTATATTATATATTTTTAGTGTGGGGGACAGTGTTGGGTGTCCCGCACGGGCAATGGTAACAATATCATGGAGGAGAGAGGTTGAAATAAATACTGGACAGGGATGAGGAGGCTCATCAGCAATAGGCATCTTTTGTTGTACTTTTGATATCCTCAGCCCCAAAGAAAGAAATAGACATTTAAAAATTATTTTTCAGAAAATGTACAAAGATGAAGCAGAAAAGATGCTCTGTAACTATTCTACTGTCCCTGACACTCCTGAAATGGAGAGGATAAGAAATACTCAGAAGAACATCAGTTCAGTGAGTAATAGTGCTTCTCTCTTTGCTTGTAACTTTTCAGATATTTTTCATTTTAAATAGGCTCTCTTGTGCCACAGCATGAAATAAGGAACTTATGAATAAACGTCCTTTGCGCCATTTGCATAATTTTCCTGGCAAAAGCTGTATCACTCATTTCTTTCAGAAAAAAAAATACTCAGCTTTTCTAGGTGAGACACTATTATTTTGAATTTCTAAACTACTTATACTACCTTGCCAAGCCACACTTATTTTTAAATGAAGATTTTTTTTTTTCTTTTTCCATCAAGCCCCAGGAAGTACTTTATTTAAAAGGGAAAAAAAATCTAAGGCTTCTTAATGTGCATATAAGATTTTTCATCTGTTTTCTATCATACGTACTGTACATCAAGATTTGGTTATAAAATTAGAACAGACTGGGTTTCATGAATATATATATCTAATGATTTTATGTTACACTGGGTATATTTTTAAATTTTATGCTAGATTTAAGTTTCAGTATATCTCTAAATGTAAATTATGAGCTTACATTTCTAAAATTGCCCAGTTTGGGATGTATTACGTTCCACTTCCTTTTTGGACCCATTAATTCTGCTGTTTGTAATTCTGCCTTTGCTCGTAATATAACAGAGAAGAGGAGTAAATCTAGCTTCCAGAACAAAAGACCAGTTAGTGGCTGCTTTTTATGACAGACTAAGTAATACTAATAAAACCAATGATTTGAGGGAAAGGAATATAGGTTACTTAAATATTTTAGTATTATGGGACACAGATGTTGTTCTTTAACTTAGAGATATCTGCAGCTTCTCCAGCTCTCAGAAGTACGAGCTCAGTTAGTTTCTCTCAGAGCTGTTTGCCTACAGCTATCCTGTACAGCTGTGGCATCAGCAGGGGAGTAAGAGCCTGCCAGGAAAGCAGAGAAGATAACTGTTTGAGGCTTCTCTAGGTGGTGGTCACTCCTGTAATGTCTTCCTGCTCTTTTTCTTCCTTTGGATGAGGACAACTGAAAGCTACAACTTTCACAGAATCACAGAATATGCCAAGTTGGAAGGGATCCACAAGGATCATCGAGTCCAACTCCTGGCCCTGCACAAGACCATCCCCAAGAGTCACACCATGTGCCTGAGAGTATCATCCAAACACTTCCTGAACTCTGTCAGGCTTGGTGCTCTGACCACTTCCCTGTTCCAGTGCCTAACCATCCTCTGGGTGAAGAACCTCTTTCTGGTATACTTCCCCTGACACAAGTTCAGGCCATTCCCTTGGGTTTTGTCACTGGTCACCACAGAAAAGAGATCAGTGCCTGCCCCTCCTCTTCCCCTCAGAAGGAAGTTGTAACTGTAATGAGGTCTCCCCTCAGTCTCCTCCAGGCTGAACAGACCAAATGCCCTCAGCTGATCTTCACACAGCTTCCCCTCAAGGCCCTTCACCATCTTTATTGCCCTCTTTTGGACACTCTCTAGTAGCTTAATATCTGTCTTATATTGTGGTGCCCAAAACTGCACACAGTTTTCAAGGTGAGGCCACACCAGTGCAGAGCAGAGTGGGACAATCCCCTCCCTCGACTGGCTGGCGATGCTTTGCCTGATGCCCCCCAGGACAGGGTTGGTCCTCCTGGCTACCAGGGCACTGCTGACTCACAGTCAGCTTTCTGTCTACCAGGAGCCCCAGGTCCATTTCTGTGGCTGCTTTCTGATAGAAGCTCTTGACAGGCCCACTGACCCCATTTAGTTTCTTGCGATCTGCTGCCTCCTGGTTTTGAATGGTGCTCTGCTGCATGGTGTGATGGTGATTGTCACCATTTCTTATATCACTGGCATCCTAACATGCTACACTGAAACTCCCTGTAACAGAGGGGATCCAAGTGAGCCTCTATGATCTGCTTTCCTGCCTGCTCCAGCCTTTTGATGAAGTCTTCAAATAGAAGACCTTAGTAGGTCTGGCAGTGAGGACTCGCTGACAGTTAGGTACCAGGCATGTAATAACCTTTCACTACTTAAGCCTTGACAAGCTCCTGATACATCTGAACCCCTTGCAGCCCTTTAAGGCCAGTTTGAGCCTTCAGTGCCAAGGCTGACAATTATCCTCTTTGTTAGTGTACTAGATAATATAAAATGTTTTGTCTTCGAGGTGATTTGTATTTGATTTATTTTGTGATTGTCCATCTTCTGTTTCTGAACTGGATCCTCCAAATGTAGGAAAGCAGTTTATAGCTGTGATTGAATTACCTTTTTTTTTCTCTTTCTCTATGTCTTAATCTTCCATCATTCTATGCAGTTTAGATTATAAAGGTAGTTTACTTTTTACTGAGTTAAGATATAGCTGGGAGCAGCCTTAATATAAAAAAAAAATTATGACAATAGTCTTCTGATTTTTGGATTTTGTCTCAAGTATTTTCCCGCCTTAAGGGACACAAAAAGTGACTAGCTCTGCAGGTAAGATCATTGCTGCTTTTAGCTCACTAGCTCATTTGGCAGATGATTTACAACAGGATATTTACTTCCCAGTCATCTCTTTCATAGAAAAATTCCTGTCTCCAACATATTTTACCAATCCCTACTTGGTAGAAAAGTTCAGTCCATGACATAAATCTTTCTACCTGACATGTTGTTGCAGAAGAACTTTCATGTTCTTACTCATAAACTGTCTCTGTTGTCACATGGTAAAAAAAATTCTAAATTGTTAAAGTTTTTCTGAATATTTAAAAATTAGTTGTGGATATTCACTCTCCTCCAGAATATTTGGCAGTAGTATTCACCCTAGGTTACAGAGAACTTCCACAAAGTAGGAGAAATGAATCAAGAATGATGTTTTTATTGTTTGAAGTTTATTGATAGGAAAAGTTAAATAAATCTTGGTTTAAGAAAAGTAGAAATACTAAATGGCAGAGATTTATTTTATGAACTCCAGGATCAGACTTGTTTTTTACACTACCAGCCTGGAAACACTTACTGGAATGGCAACAGCTGTGACACCAAATACTGAAACTCAAGTAAAACTTCTTTAGGAGTTTTGCAGCATGAACTGGTGCTCCATGGTTATTTAAACTATAGCCACACTTGGAATCTGTGGAGGAGTTATTTACTGTCTCTTTCAGTAACTTTGAATGATTGATTTTACTGATGCAGTTTGTTTTTTATCCTTTGCTGAAACAATTGAAATAAACAACATGTGTATCTGAAATATAGAGGAGAATTATATGAACAGCATGTGCATCTTTTCAGAAGGGAGCTTTGTTTTTAGATGCAGTCCTCAGCTTTCTGACTTGAACCCACAAATCAAAAATTGTGTGACTTGGATTGTAGCTCTGGTTGTTTTGGTTATTTTATCATGAATATGACAACATTTTCTAGTTTGTGAAATTAGAAATAATAGTAATATCTGTTCACTTCTCACAGTATTTTAAGATCTGAAGATTAAAAATCCAAAATCGAATCTTGCATGTATATGCACGTTCAATTGAAATTAATGAAATTATTCAAGTAAAAAGTTACATTTGTAAAAGTTTATAGATTATGATAAAAATTTTAATATTATTTCCAAGTTTAAAACTGTCATTACAAATACTTAAAAATGCTGAGGTCAGTCTAAGGATGAGAATATATTATCTGGGTTACAGTTGAAAACAATGTTATCGTAGTTATTGATAATTGGTATGATTTATGAAAAATTAAAGTATTTGCTTTCCTAGCAAGATTTATAGTCAGACCAATTTGGAACTTGGAAAATTGCCCAACCCTTTTATGAGAACTTGTACTTACATTGCTAACAGTCTTATAATTACTTTTTCTTTTGGGAAAATGAAGGTATTTTATAAGAAGGAAGTAGGAGCTGGCACAGCTGTCAAAGAGACTCCAGAGATTGAAAGAGTAAAGAAAAATCAACAGAATATTAGTTCGGTAAGTGCTATTAACATTAATTATTCTTATGTGCATAAATGGTGGACAATTTTTTTTTTCATCTTGTTTACTAAAAATTCTACATTTGCGTATTATGCATCTCATTCCAATGAGATATATATTTTAGAGAATATAGGGTTTTGGATATAGAGCTCCATTCTAGTAGAGATAGAGCTCATCTCTAGTGTAGTTCTTCAATGTCCAAAGGTAGAGTTTCTAATTGAAGCATTATAAAAAATAGGAAAAACTTTTAACGAAATATTTGAGGAAAGTGTTTTGTCTTTCAAGGGTGAGAAACAGGAGATGCATCTCCTGATATGACAGACTGAACAACAGTTGTATTTGCAATTTAGAAAAATACTATACGACAGAAAAGAAAATCTGTAACATTCTGGTGGAGTCTGCATGTGTCATGTAGGACTTGATACAGTTTGCATGTCAAGAAGAGGAAAATTATAGCCAAACTTGAGCTATGTGAAAAGGTGGAGAGTTTGTGCCTCTTTACATGCTGACGACAAGTTGATTTGTGGATCTGATGAGATCGGTTTTGAATTGATGTTGTTTAACTGTGGATGTCCCATGTCTTTGGCACTTTAATGAGCAACTAAAAATAAATAAAAATGAGTTTTTCCTTCAAGTAGAACATTCTCTTCTGATAAATAAAAACTTGGAAAAAAGCAGAAAAATGACTGCCAAGCAAGAAAACCCTTTCAACTGCATTGTTCACTTGTTTGTTTTATTTGGTGTGGACTCCTCTGGGGCCATTTTTATATTTGTGACATGACTTTTCTGATGATTAGACTTTTTTTAAGAGTAAAGTTTGAAAGTAATATATAGATGTGACAGTAAGTTGTGTTTAAATATTAGTTGAGATCTAAATTAGGGCTTCTGGACACAAATTCTACTAGAATTTCCTTGGTTAACGAACACTGGTAAACACTGCATATCCCACCAAAGTAAGGTCAGGTAGGGAATTTCCATAAAATTTTGAAAAGCTTGTATTTTACTTGGATTTTTTTCTCTGCTCCATCCATCACACTTCATCTTATCATTGTGAGTCACAGTGGAAGCTATCATGTGTCCTAAATCCTGAAGCAGTGGTTTTGGTTGGGAAGCTGTTGGTTTATGTCATTTGAGGGTGGTTTTTTAATTTTGTTTCTCTCCTTTGATTGTTTGTTTTTTGATTTCCGGTTATCACAGGCATTTATTTTGAGAGTAGTCACACACACACACACACACGTACTTATTAGGAGTGGTCTTGCTCTGATGTTTTTTCACAATACCTTTCAAAGTGAAATAAAAAATAGTGTACAGTGTTCTTGCTGTTTTAGAAGTCCTAAACAGGGGTGAAGAGGGGAAAATGAAAGGTTGATCAGTATGCTAGTGAACACACTTGAACAAACACCTACCAAGAGAAACACAAAATGCATTAGTGCTGTAGTAGTATAATGGACGTAGCATGGCCTTTACCTTGCTAGTTCTGTGTGTAGAGTTAATGTTTTACCAAAGGTGTTTTATTACATGTAGCGTACTTGAAATTACTTAAGTCTTATATAATATTTATTAAAAGTGTATAATGCCAAATTTAAAGACAATGTGCAAGAATATTTCAAATTATATGTCAGCAAGAGGGAAATTATATTGTGCGGTAAGAGGGAAATTATATTGTGTAATTTACAGATGTCCCAAAGGAAGGGTAAATTACACCAATTTTGAATCCATTAGATTTAAACATTTTACGTATATATTTGAATTTAGCCAGAGGAACAGCTTTATAACTATTTTCTGAACTAAATGAAACTATAGAATGTGAAGAAAATTTGCAGTGAAAGAAACCCCAGAACACCAAACCAAAATAACACTCACTGTACAACCAACCACACAAAAAAGTCCGTTGAATCATGTTCTGAAAGTGATCAGATTTTTCCAGATTACATATATAGGAGAGAAAGATCAGAATGGTCTGTTTTCATATCCTAAAATACAAGGTGGTGACAACCAAGGAGGTTGACCTCATCTCACCTGTTATGATGATTAGTTTGGAAGAAGCAGCCTTCTAAACAGTTGGAGTCAAGATCTCACAGAACTTTCAAAGTAATCAGCAGACCCATGGACTGTAGCTGAATCTGAACTGAAAAGCTACAAATAACTAAGGAATTTTTAAATTGTGTTTATAATGAGGGGCAGGGAGGGCTGGACACAGCACTGGGAAGAAGGCTTTCAGGAGAAGATTCTATTTTTGTTTTTGTTTGTGTGAAATCCATGAAGAAACTCCTGTGGTATGTTAGTCAACACCACAAAACTGGGGTCTGTTTAAAACTCAAGTAATGGACATTTTGAAGCATTTTAAGGACTAGTAGCACTGCCAATTCTTAAACTTACCTAATAGTCTCTATTAAAAGATCCTTTTTTTCCAGTGCTTTAGTATTTTTGCCAGTCCTAAACTGTCTGGACTGAAATTTTCCATTCCTAGTCTGTGCTTTGGGCTGGTGTGGTTTTATTTATTTATAAATTTCAGCCAAAGCAGCTGCAGCTTCCAAGTATGAGCTTAGAGAAAAACAAGTTGTTTTGTCTGTGTTAAGAAATGAGGCGCTCTCCAGAAGTACCACGTCTTGGAGAAGAAAGTTGAAAATTAAATATTGCAAAAGCAACAATAAATATGACAGCATCTTCAAGGGCATCATCTGTCCAAACATCTATATTCTCACTTATGTGTCCGCATGTGTTTTTAGAGAACTTGAATGAGACTTTGCAATCATCTACCCTTTTAGGAACACATTTGTGAAAATGCTGGGTTTCTGAGATGGGCTGGTAGACTCCACAGCAAGATAATAGCAAGACCAAGTTGTTGTCAAAGTGATGCGAGTCTCCAAGCAGTATATGCAGCATCCCAATTATCATGAAGAAAGCCACAATCCCATGTGATGAATATTCCTGCTGTGTTTTAGGACACTAGGCTTGTTATATGCACTCTCCTATGCATTGCATCAAACAAGATGCATTAGAGACCCTAGCAGTCTGTTTCAGAAATTAAATATAACTGTTCCTTTTCAGGTCAATGGTGTTTGTAGATGTGGTCTAGCTGTGCAGTATGTGTAAGGGAGAGATTATAAACTGTTGTGTTTTAGTACCTATCTGTATCTTCTTTAAATTGCTAATATTTTGTAATATCTATTCTGCAGATTAAATATAAGGAAGAAATTCGGCATGCAACAACTATTTCTGATCCACCAGAACTAAGGAGGGTTAAGGAAAACCAGAAGAATATTAGCAATGTGTGCCCCATTTTCATTGCTTGCACACTTTTCTCTGCTCTATTAAATGTGTTTGTGTCTCAGTGAATTTGTCTGTGGTGTTTGTGCTAGTTCCTCTTTGTCCACAAAGTCTAATTTCATTAATTAATGGTAAAATGATAACTTCTTAGCCTTACACTTTGATTAACAACGAGAATGAAGTATTTCTGTTGACCTATCACTTGCCTGTGTTTGAGATAGAACTGCAAGAGGGTGAGTACTAAGTACTGTGTGGAAAGATGTGGGCGATTATTGAGGGATGGTATTTTCCATCCAAGTGCAGTGTGTTCTTTAATGATGTCTAGCACACTGTTGTATTTCTATTACTCAGAAGTCTCTGTTGTAATATATTCTGAAATGTTTGCCAGGTTCAATACAAAGAACAGCTCTGCAAAGCTACACCTGTGAGTGTCACCCCTGAGATGGAGAGAGTCAAGAGGAATCAAGAGAATGTCAGCATGGGAAGTTGCTCTTGTTTAATCCTTTGCATAATTTTTGAGCGCACAGGATAAGTACAAAATTCTGCCTCCAGAAGAGGCAGAAATTCTGCCTTTTATCTAGTTAGGGGGAAACTGATGTATTATAATGTATTGGGATTCAAGTAATGGAATTACTTGAAAACCCTCTTTTAGGAAACAACTGTGAAAAGGCATTGCTTCGTTTGGGAAATGGCACAAGAAGCAAGACATATTTGATTAAAGAAATGACTGCAATCCTTTGAGATCCTTGAGATGTTGTTCTCATTTTTGGATATTTACAGAAAATCTTGACCAATTTTTTTTTTTTAACAATGTCTGTTTCTAGGTCTGTTTTACTTTGCTTTATAAAAAATTAGCTACAGTTGTACTCAAACTTCTGCTCTCTTACCTATCTCATTCTGGTTCTTCAGTAACCTTTCTATATGAGTTTAGTATTTAATAGCTGACATAACCATTAGAAAGTCATATGATTTGCAGGAGCACAGAGAAGAAGGCAAGGACTTTTGGAGCGTGCTACTGCCTTCCTGTATGGATGAAATTGTACCCTGTTAATGAGTCTTTGAGAGACCAGCTGTTCTCCTCACTGGGAGCTGCCATCAGCAGCCGTATTTAATGGGTCTACAAATAGCTACAGTGTTTCCCTGGGGTGTTTTCTGCCGCATTCACCGGAATTAATTTTAAGTCACAATTCTCAAGAATTCTGTCCCTCTAAGTTAACTCCTGGATTTTTTTTTTATTTTTATAGACCTAGCTCTTCTAAAATGTATTCTATTCAAACAAACCTGTTTTCCCAAGTGATTCGAACCAGTCTGTATAGTTTTCCTACTTACATCATCATTTACTTTTCACCAATTTCTGTTTAATGCAAATTTCAACGGAAAGTTTAAATTATCTTCAGGTTACTGGAATAGCTTTGAATGAAGATTCTTAAATTTCAGCTACTTCTGGAAACATTAATTCTTGAATCAGTTTACCTTTAAAAATGTCAGTTTGCAAGTTTAATCCATTTGAAAGCCTACCATAATTTTTTCAAGACATTAATTTTTCAATTGGAATGTATTGATGTGAACTTACCAAAACTGTGTTGTGTTGGAAGACATGTTTTACTTGAGCAATACATGCTTTACTGCCACAGAGCACTGCAGAATTATGAATATAATGTATCTGCACAGTTATCCTTATCACATGAACCCAGGGGCTTATTAAAAGAAAGTGTTGTATGGAAACATTAATTTTACAAAAAACTATATGGATTGGCATAAATCTCTTGCCAGAATCTCTTACTAAAAGTTTACTACATCTGACTTCCCAGCATTTGGGCCAGGGTTAACCTTAGACTGATTGGTCCATCAATGCCACATCTTATCTTTTATCCACTTTAGATGCTGATCTGGCCTTGAGTGTGCATTTGGTTAATGCATCATTGCTACAAGTGTGTTTTGTTAAAAAGTGATAAAGGGGATATTCCTACAGTACAATTAAATAAATGCATGGTGCAATTTATGCTGGATTCAGTTGGCAGTTGTCTGATGTATTGCACTCTCTGCGTTTAATCACCTTTGAATATGTAGAGTATAAAATTTAGAACATAGATGGAAACCTTGTGGAGTTGCTGAATCTTGACAAGTATACATTTGCAGTGGACCTTGCTGAAATTCAGTTTTTCGTTGCTCTGCTTGACTTTACTTCATTATTTGTGGCCTAACCCCTTTCCAAATATGAGATATGTCTCTGTACATCCAAGGACCAATCTGGTAAACATTGGGATGTTGTGTGCATATGTGTATATATATCCACAGAAATACATTAATAAGCACCCTATACAGAAAAAAAAATCAAAGTTATATTTCAAAAATCAAGTTTTATAAACTTTAATAAACCTCAAATGCATTTTAGCTTTTCAGTTATTTCCTGGATGACTTTTTATATCATACATTTTAATGTAAAACAATGAGATATTGCTTTAGCTGAAATAGTATGTACCATTTTATTCTGTTAAATAATAGGTTCACTACAGAGAGCAGCCTGGCAAAGCTACTGCTGTGAGTGTCACTCCTGAGATAGAGAGAGTCAGGAAGAATCAAGATAACATCAGCTCGGCAAGTTGTTTGAATCGTTTTGTCATTTAGATTTTCAGTCATTGTGGAAATATAATGTGGATATGCTTTTCCATTTACATTTGACATGTCAAAGGAATCTAACTGCATCATATTCAGACTTGCCTGATTATTTTTGCAAAATAGTAAGTGGTTGTGTTGATGCCAGTAGTTCTCAAGGCAAGAGTCACTAGAGGTCAGTCATTCTTTCAAGAATCTTTGTCTCTTGTTATTGAATTTTCATTGCTAGATTGCAGGAGTGAATTGCAGTAACGAACAAAGTAAATAAGAATTTAACTTCGGTGCAAATTTCTTGGGGTTTTTTTTGCAATTCAAAGCGTGAAAACATCCATACCACTCTGTGACGTGCCATCTCTGTTAGAGCTGAGTAGTCCTAAATATGTCCCATTGCTAAATACTAAAGAGTAAAATAACATATATATTTCTTGGCTTTTATGATAGTAAAATTTAATTGCCACTACAGTGGCGTAAGAAGCAGGAGACAATTCTATTAAGGAGCAATGAAGAAGTCAAAACAGCATGGTGAAGTAAAGGATCAGACTAGTTTTGTTACAGTTTGCGTCCTCAACACTGAAACAGCATCAGTAACAAAGCTGTTGCAGATGGTAAACAGAAGAGGTTTCATGCAGAACCACTGTGTCAAGGTGGCAGAAGAGAACTAAAAGTAGTGAACACTTTAGAACTGAGTGTAGGAGTGAAAAGGAAAGTACGTTGGATTTGTCAGAAGATTTGTCTAAGGACAAAGGAACAGAATCTAACGTTGTAACTACACATATCTTAACTACTTTTTGAAAATGCTCATGAATATTTACCAAAATCAATTAGTTTTGAGGTGCATAGTTAAAAATAAGAGGAAAACTTCACAAAAATTCTAGACTTTAAATTATTTTTTAATTTTTGAAAATGAAATGCTTTTTGCCAAGTGAGTCCTTCAATTTGTTTCTCAAGCATTATAGGGATAAATACTCCACTATGTTAATAAGCATGATGAAAACCAAGCTATGTTGGCTGTAATTATTCTGTCCAGAAAATGCCTTATATTCAAAAGCATATGTAGCTGAATATATTTTCTAAAAAAATTTACTGTTTAATTCAGAAGTGTTTGAGGAATATGAAGTACCATATATTTTTGTTTCGCTGTACATTACTTCAAACTGACCTGTGAAACACAGACAAGAGTCATATTTTCATAGGTATGTTCTCTTTGCTAATATGTAATCTTAAGGAGAGTCAGACAGTTTCAATACATGGTTTCTCTCATCACAAATGCGTGTTGAAATAGATTTGCACAACACATTTGAGAAGTAACACTGTGTGAATACACAGGTAAATCTAAAATATGTACTAACACTCAATGCACAGGTTACAATGTGATGTAGGAGCTAAGAGAGGTCATTGGCAGAAGAATTCAACAAGCTAGAAGAAACTGTAAGAGTAGTCAATCCAGAACCAATAAGTAGGACCAAATACTTTTACTATTTTAGAACTACTAGTCTGTAAAAAGCTACAAAATAAGCCAAACAGCAAAAATGTGACATAGGAGGTTCTGTACTTACTGATGCACAAAACACAGAGCCTGAATATTCTTTTTGGAAACAGTGCATTCAGATTTTTCCCAGACGTGTTGCTTTTGTGCTGCTAGTAAAGACTAGCGATTGAACAGGAGCAAGAAGGTTTCCAAAGGATTAATCTACTTGTAAGAGTTGAATTCGCATGAATTCTCAGGTAATCCCATCCTGGAAGCAGACTGAGGACAGGCTCTGGGTCTGTCTGGGTAATAAGAAGGTATCTTATCATCAGCCATACAAATATGTTTTAAAGATGTCCAAGTCACAGTGGTGTTTTCTTATTATTTGTCTTATTTTTCAGTTGATGAATTAATTATTTTGCTTATGTAATTTAAACAGTCACAAATTTCAGCTTTTGGATAAATACTTTCTTTTGAGTAAGTGATTGATGGAATAAATGTGCCTTTTGGCCTTACAAATATACTAGCTCATCTGTATCCCCCTTGTGAAATAACCTACTAGCAAATGAGTGTAAAGAGAGAAACTGTTAGCATTGTAATTTGGAAAGGGTACTATTGCATGGTGTGATTCTCACCATCCTTTCTACTGTAAAGAAAAAATTCACGGGTGCTGTTGTTCGTGTTTTGCAGGTCAAGTACAGCAGTGATCAGAGGCAGATGAAAGGTAGACGTAGTGTGCTTCTAGACACACCTGAGCTAAGACATGTCAAAGAAACTCAAAACAACATCTCAATGGTAGGGTACTTTCTTCCTATAACTAGAGCATACTAAGGAATGGCACTTTACTTCCACTGGATTTTGCCTTCCATTAATATAGGTAACTAATGGAATTCTCTCAAGTATGGAAGAAATATTTTCTTCCTATGCCTGTAGAGGGAGTGTTTGCTAACTGCATATGACTGTAATGAACATTTTCAAAATACTAATAAACAGTTTTCTAACAGTTAAATGTCTGTTCTTTTGTTTTTCTTTTTTTCCTTAAAAATGTACACACCTCATTTGAGCATAACAATTTCACTGGATCAGGTGACACACTTCACCTTGTGCCTGTGCACGTTCCTGGTTTCTGCGTGACTTTGGTTCTTGGAATGAGTTGTTTTGTGTGCATTGGCTTGTGTGAGAATGTTTATCAATTTAAATCTTTGATGATTAAGATTATTTAAAAAGTAAGTATGCATAATCAGCAATACTACCTTTATAACTCTTACTAATACAGGGGTTTTGTTCCAACACTTGGTACTGTAATGCTTTCTACTCTAATGTCGTTGTTTTTAATTTTTTTTTTCTTTGAAAATCAGGCTCTTGTTCTTTCTAAAAACCTATGTTTAAAGCCAGCTGGCATATGATAAAACAAAAGAGAAAAGAACTACCTTTCTTATGAAGATGTGCATGTAGTCAAAATTCTCAGTGAATGAAAATGTTTGAGTTCTTTAGAACTACTACTTCTGGAACATTTTTACTGACATGTAGTTGTCTCCATCGGTAGAGAACCATCTTATTTTAGAGAAGAAGGGAATGGACCAGATGACCTCCTGAGGGCAGGGGTTTTTTGTCCCTTCTGACTGTAAGATGATGCTTTGCAGCTTGAGCTAATGCCTAATTTAGTGTCAATAGAAAAGAAAAGCAACATTGATAATAAAATATCAGGAAATCAAGTTAGGGTGATAGAAAAGACTTGGCTGGCCATCCAGTCTGTCTCATGTGTACCAATTCTATTATGGTGCAAAGTTAAAGAATAGAAGTGCCTCATAAACATATACATTCCTGCATAGAATAACCATTTGCTGTCAATTGCAGCTTAGGGAAAAATGTAATTCTTCTTTTTTCCTAGGTAAAATACCATGAAGATTTTGAGAAGACAAAGGGCAGAGGCTTCACCCCAGTGGTAGATGATCCTATAACAGAGCGTGTACGGAAAAACACCCAAATTGTGAGTGATGCAGCATATAAAGGTGTGCATCCACATATTGTTGAAATGGATAGAAGACCTGGAATAATTGTTGGTAAGTTGTTAAATAGTGTTGCTATTGTAAAAGCCTCTGCTTGTGTTCTCCAGATTTCTTTTTCACTCTTTTCTCAGCATGAAACTTGTGGTTCAACTACTGGTTCCATGTCAGCTTCTAGCGAAGTAATAATGGGAATGGATGGGAGATACATTATCATTTGCTCTGTATTTTTTTTTAATATGGATAGTCTGCTATTACTTTAAATTTGAATTTTGACTCTATAAGGAAAGCAAAAATATATGTAATAATCTTAATTTTGCACAGAAGAAAGATTATTAAAATTGTGATTCTCCAAGATTTCAATGTTTAAATGTTGCAGGCCTGTCTGAAATTTCCCCTTCTGTCAGTCAATAATTTCTGCAGAGCTGTATGTATTCATTTACCTCTTCTTTTAGAATTTCACACAGCTTTAAAAATATCTCAAGGTGTAATTCATCAATAACTCATTAGGTCTCTGGTAAGCCAAGAAGCAGTGTTCAGAAGTGATGTTTTAAAAGGTGGTGCAAGATATGATCAGTTGTTCAAGGGTAGAATACAGATTAGATTTGTATGTAAAGACAAGATATTGCATTAAGATGTTATTTGGGATATTCATAATGAATATGAACTCTATTTAAAAATTAAAGTGGATATTTGGAATGGATTAAAAGTTAGCAGGCCTGCTATGGCAAAGGAAATGGCAGCCTGACTTTCTTTTTCTCATTTCCTTTTCTTTTAGTGTGTCTCTTTTCTCTTTTTCTTTGCTTTACAACCATGTAGACCCCAGAGGATCTATGTACAAAAACACATGCTGAGATAACACTTTAAAATCCTTCATACATAGTAATAACAGCAAAGTTGACTTTACCTTGCAAAACCCAGAGAAACTGCAGGTGAAATGGACTAATTGGCGGGTCATATAGTCCATTCTCCCGCCTAAAGCAAGGTTAGCTGTATCATTCCTGGCAAACACTTTTTGGTCTTTTCCTTAAAGTCTCCAAATACTCTCCCCCATAGCTAGAAGTGGTGCAGCCAAAGAGAGAAGATCTCCTGCAAAACTGCAGTGTAATATGCAGTTTGCAATATGCTGTTTAGTGCACGCTTCAAACCTCCTACTCTATCCTGCATTACAGGTGTGCTGTAGCCCTGTGTAAGAATTGTGTGCAATCCAATGCTCAACAGTTGAAGGCTTGCTAACACAAGTATATTGGGATTAAGAACATCCCTGGGATAAATTCTTGAGCTGTAACTGAAATACTAGTACTATTTATCACCTTAAAATACTCCAGTATCAAAACACACAGAAATTCTTAATCCCCCATGCCTGCCAAACAGCAAAAATAGTACAATTATTTAAAGGAAAAAGTCTGTGACAAACCTGTGATGTTTCAGCTAATGCTTTTTCAGAGAACTGCAATTATTATATCTACTTGTTTAAAAAGAAGCAGTGAGCTCCTTGCTCATGGAATGTCCTTGGCAGCTCAAAAAACCTGCAAACAGAAAAACACAACTATGACTCTTGTGAGTTTTCTTCCTGGCTGATAATTGTTCATCCTGTTAGTTAGTACCTCTGTACCTAGAGTACCTCTGATTGATTTTTAATGTATTATTGGTGAAGCTGTAACAATTTTCCAAATGCCTGATTGCTGAAGTTAATGTCTTGGCTTCAGCAAATAGGCACTAGTTTTTAACCATGCTAAAGCTGTTCTAAGTCCATCAAGATAAACTGATGTAGCTGAGCTTTGGATCTGTTACTATAGAGGATCCACAATTCTCACATGAATATTAAGACATTTTAAAATGGCAAAAGTAACCAGGGAGTTAAAATTGATTTGTGTTATAAATTGCCAAGATTCTGATTCTATGCATGTTATTTCAGGTTACAGAGATGGATCAAATCAATCCAAATCAATGGCTGTTGCACTGGTGCTGCCATGAAGCCATACTTATTACATTTTTTACTTACTAAGGCATGCAAACAGGAAAAGTTGGGCATTCACCAATTCCCCCAGCCCTCCCATACCTGTCAGTGCTTTATGTAGTTGCGTAATTTATCACCATTAGGACTAACACATAGTTTATCAAAAGATTTTGTGTTGGCTTTAATTCATCTTGGCAGGAAGGAGTTAGCACTACACCTCACCTTATGGGAGTTGCAGTAGATAACATAATGTACATACACTGAATGTATTCTAAAGCTGTGGGATTTATTTTATTAGCTCTGTCTGTTATTTCCATTGCATCTAGGCTATTAATCATTTGAAACATGACATATTTGGGGTCCTCACAGTCCTACTTTACCTATCAACCCATTATTTATCTTGCTACCACTCAAACCAGCAAAAGAACAAAGTTGGAATGACAATTTTTTTCCTGCTCCAAATGCATTGAGTAAATGTTTCAGACAGATCTGCCCAAGAAGAAAACCCCAGTAAAAAGGTGTGATCTTGTAGATTTGTGCTTTGACTGATTTTGTGTTTTACATCAAAGTTTTATTTGAAACTGGTGTGAAGAGATAAATAATTATTTTACTTTAGAATAGCAGATATCATAGAATCATTTAGATTGGAAAAGAACTTTAGGATCATCAATTCCAACAATTAACCCAGCACTGCCAAGCCCACAACTAAACCATGTTCCCAAGCATCATGTCAGCACATTTTTAAATATCTCCAGAGATGGTAACTCAACCACTTCCCTGGGCAGCCTGTTCCTATGCTTGATAACCCTTTCAGTGAAGAATTTTTTTCTAATATCCAATCTAAAGCTCCCATGGAACAACTTGAGGCCATTTTCTCTCATGCTGTCACTTGTTACATGGGAGAAGCGACCTACTCCCACCTTGCTACAGTCTCCTTTCAGGTAGTTGTAGAGAGTGGTAAGGTCTCCCTTGAGCCTCCGTTTCTCTAGGTTGAACACCCCCAGCTTCCTCAGCTGTTTCTCATCAGACTTGTGCTCCAGACCCTTCATTGACTTTGTTGCCCTTCTCTGCACCTCCATGTCCTTCTTGTAGTGAGGGGCCCAAACCTGAACATGGTTCTCAAGGTGTGGCCTCATCAGTGCCCAGTACAGAGGGACAATCACTGCCCTGGTCCTGCTGGCCACACTACTTTTGATACAGACCGAGATGCCACTGGCCTTCTTGGCTACCTGGGCACTGCTGGCTCATGTTCAGCCATTGTTGATCAGCACCTCCAGATCTTTTTCCACTGGGCAGCTTTCCAGCCACTCTTCCCCCAGCCTGTAGCGCTGCACGGAGATACTGTGACTCAAGGGCAGGACCCAGCACTTGGCCTTGTTGAACCTCTTATCACTGGCCTTGGCTCATCAATCCAGCCTGTCCAGATCCCTCTGTAGAGACTTTCTACCCTTAAGCATATGAACACTTCTGCCCATATGAATTATATACATTAAATTGATGTGAGTAGATCAGGAATTTACACTGTACCTGCCTCTGCATTTATTATAAGCCTCCTCTTAAGTTGTACAATGCTGTAATTATTTGTTAAAAGTTTATTAAAATGTAGTTAAATCTATATTTGCTTTTCTGCTTTGATTTTAACTTAAAGTCTAATATGAAGTTAATTATTTCCTATGGACTGTTTTTTCTTTTGATACCCTGTTGAGATCTGATTTTGGGAGATCTTAATAACTTGCATATATGAATTAAACCTGAAGATCTTATGAGTAGCACCGTCATTGAACTCATACATTGAATTCCAGAAATGCTTTTCAGTAGTGGGGTAATGGATCAACTCTAAGTCCGTGTCCCAGGAAACAGATATTTGGAAGACAGAGGAAATTACTAATTATGATCAAGAGTGGGCTTCATTTTACCGATCTGTAGATGTCTGCAAGGTAGATTTCTACAGCTGAATTTGTCACATTAGACCATTTTTTCTATTAAGAAAGGTGGATACTTTTGAATTTATATAAATTGAGCAATTAGTAGAAATTTATTTTGGATAAGATGAACTGTGCCTCTGATTCCGCTTGTTAGGCTGACATGATCTCTCCTGTATACAAAGGAGGGTCTGTAGTGTCTCTGTCAACTGTATACTGCCAGCTCTCAGTTTTAGAGATATATACTGCAGCATCTCCATGGAGTAAGGGTGCTGTTGGTGAACTGTGAAAATATCCTTGTAGCTCTGATTCTTTTGGTTCTGCTACTGGAAAAGAGCTCTGGTATGTGATACTTAACTTGTTTCCATTTATTTAGACTTAAGAAAATACTATGGTCATGTTTAGAAAATGGAAATAAATTGGGAGCAAAAATCTCCTTAAAGTAGTGTCAAAGCTTAAAATGCACTAAGTTCTTTTAAGCAGTAAATGAATGCTTTCTGATATTTTCATGTGAATATCTAGATATTTTGGTTAATTTCTAGATGAAGAAAATTGATTGCTGATTGTTAAAGATCATTCCTTTCATGCTTGTTGTTTGTCTGTCTTATAATTTCTGTGCTTTTGAAAAAGATCTTAAAGTTTGGCGCACAGATCCTGGCTCCATCTTCGACATTGATCCTCTGGAGGACAATATTCAGTCTAGGAGTCTGCATATGCTTTCTGGTATTGCTTATATCCTGACTTTTCCACGCTCTTTATGTTTTTGAAACTAAGTGATACAGTGAATTTTCAGGTCAATGTGCCAGCCATATGTTTTATAAGTATGCTTTCATATATATTTATAACTGCAGTAGTTTAAAAGCAGTGTTTTATAGGAACTTCAGCTGTAATCACATGTGCAGATAAGAAATAGTGAAATAAATCTTATCCTAAACAAGTTATTCATGTCACTTACAAGTAGCCACTTAAAAAGCATTGACCTACTTTGTCCTCACTATAAGCAGAATTTTCAAATAGTTGGACCTTATAAAATTTCAGAGTTATGGAAAGTGGCCTATTTATGAAATTCGTTTTTTATGCATGTTTTGCCTATATGGAATACGATATTATGCTTTGTGCTATTATTCGCATCTCCAAGGCATTCATAATTTAAGGATAGATGGAAAAGGAGAGAAAGTAATATAATAACAGGTATCAGTGTTTTGCCTTTGCAAGTTTATGGATTTTTTCCACCCTGTAAGTGTTTCTTTTGAATGTTTAATTTTGCACATGTGTTTTCTTTGCTACTGATAGCGGAACTTTAAATATTCCTTTGAATAATATACAGAGGTATTTCCACATGCACTTGTATGCATGCTGGAATAAAGCAACATTTGGATTTTCCACTGGAAATTTTTTTTGCTTCATCCCTTTTCTTGTATCTCAATCCTACCTTCCATTTCCGCTATTGTTTTAAAGCAGAAAACAAGCTTAGTTGTATTAGATTCTGAAGCAAGCTTTGGAACTAGTGGTGCTCAAAATGGATACAAAATTGTGAAGAATTTACTTTTCTTTGATTTTAATAGAATCAGTGTATGAAAAGCACTGTTAGCAGTGGTGAGGTTTATGTTGTTGCTTGTCTTTGCTCTTCTGTGATTTACTGTGATATTCTTTATTTCTTTCTACCTTTGTAGAAAGAGCAAGCCGTTACAGTAAGCAGTATTTACGTTCTACCAGTTTGGGAGATTATAAATCAGATGGCTCTGACACGAACCCTACCTTTTCTTACTGCAGTGAAATAACAAGGCCATCTGAGGAAGGAGGTACCCCTTATTCCCACCTTTTCTACTAATGACACTATTGCAGTGTGTTGAGACCACACGGGCCTATATTAACTCCATCACCTTGCAAAGTTGCAAATAGAAATTGTGTAAGCTATTGCCTGATTGATGAAAAAAGCAAAGCAAGGTCTCAAAACTGCACAGTTTCTTGCATGCTATATTACTTTATTGTGAATTCTCTTTCACCTTTTTGGTAATGCTTTTGGTCCAAAAGCTCTGTTAATTCCTAATTGCAGTACTTAAAAGAAGATGTGTTCTGTTTTTGCAAAACATACCTGAATCTGTTTTTTTTTTTCCTCTTGAACGACACAGTGTAACTGAATGAAATACACCTCTAACCTGAAAAAAAAAAATTACCATGTACTTTTCAGTGGGCAAATCAAATGTATCATAGTATTTTAGTGACTAAAGTACTTGTACTTCTTCCCATATGCAAATATGCAAGTGCTTGTGGCTCTCTGTTTCCTTCCTAAAAAAAAAACAAACCCAACAAATTTTATCAACTGTCCTCTTTCTCACACATGAAAGTTTTCTGCTCATCTCAGTGATCTGAGAATCAGGGTTAACATTCAGCTGCAAAGCTTATATAGTCTGTTATTGTTTAACATGGATTAGTATTAGAATACTTTGACAAACTGCATTGTTAGGTACAAAACCACATTGTGCATCTGGTTGATGCCATAAATTAGAAGAAAATTTATGAAAATGATGAATAGGGTCTAGTCATCTTAGAGACATTACAGTATGTATTAGACTTGACTGATGAATTGTAACTATTTGGAAACATTGCATTCTAAACAGATAATTTTTAAAAATAGTGATTTCTACTTCTCAGTTGTGAAACAGAGTCCATTGAGAAGGTTATCCAAAGGGTTACTAATATTTTTTTTAAGAAGGTGTTAGAGAAAAGATATTACTACCATTTAGTTGCCTGGCATCTTTACCCATGCTTTTAGAAAATTTTAAGGCATCTTAATTGTAGAGTGCAGCTGTTTATGTTCTTCCACTCACTGGAGTAATATATTATTGTAGTGGCTAGTGTTTATGGAGTCTGCATTATGTTGGGTGCCATGTAAATACATACAAGCAGACCTGATTAAGAATGGGCGAGGAGGAAGGTGTTCAGACTAAAGAACTGACTCTGAACAAAGAAAGAAACACACATCTGTGACAGAAATGTATTGCCTTGTATCATGTCTGACCATCTTTATTTGATATTTTAACTATATTCCCAGCTCTTTTAATAGATGATAACAATTATCCACATTATGCTGTTTTTTATGTCTCTTCCTGTAATGATGCAAAGTGGGCTTCACAGTCCAGTGCATATTGCCTGTCTGTAGCTGTTCTGATCATTTTTGTCACTACTCCAAGCCATTTTAACATTGCTTGGCCAGCTTGATTTGATTTTTACCATGTATTTTTTATTACTTGCCATATTGAGAATGGGAAATGGGCTTTATTTTCCCACTTGTTTTGGCACTAGTAAGCTTGTTTTTTGTGACTCTACTTAAATCTGTTGTTGTGGTGATGTGTTGAATAGATCCTTGCCAAGATCACCATATTTTAGCAAGAGATTGTTTCCATTTTGACCCAGCTGGCTAGCCAGGGTTCAAACACTTGTAGACAGTTCCCATTGCCGGGGAGAAATAAATGCCAAAGCTAAGTAATTTGACATAATCCTAATGATTTAAAAGGAAATGCCATTTCTGTGAATGCAATAAGAAATAAACAGCAGAAAATAGCATCTTTGGTTGAAAATACCAACCTTTTTCATGGCAGTATCCCATCCAAAATGTCATTTAGCACACAGCTACAGGACGAGTTTGCCCATGACCTTTATACAGTGTCTCTTATGGCATACCACAGTAAATGAGAATCAAATGCATTTTGCTGAAATTTCATGACTGTTTCTCATGGAGTTTGTACTTTTAGATCTAGCAGGGTTTCTCAATGACAATTGTTCAATCTGATGGTGTGCCAACATGAACGACGGTTGGAGATCTGTGACCAATTTTACAGTCTCTGAGTGTCTCATCATCTTTCAGATATTTCCATGTTGTACAATTGCTAGTTTATTCTAGATACCTTTACCCACATTTGACCCACAATTCAGGTCTTCCACTGCCACTGCTGATGGAATTGTTCCTTAACTACCTCTTCCCAGCCCTTAGCTGGGTCCCTGACTTTATACCAGATGTTAAAGGCTTATTCAGGTCTAAATAACTCTCTCTTGTCTTTGGGGAATTTCGGTAACAATATCACAGGGAGGCTACTAACCTTGTTCATTGGAATTACGTCTTTCTCCTTGATTCCCTGACCATTATTTTGGATCACGATGTTGAGCTGAGCCAAGTGCACCTCCCAGGGAGCTTTCTCTACAAAATCAGTAGATTTTTGCATGATGTAAGTCCAGGAAAGTCCCTGTTCTCCCTTTTAGAGTATTGCAGGTAAAACTGATTAGGAAACAATAGTTAACACTTTCCAGCAAGCCTGATTCAGGTCACGAACTTTCATTTTAATATTATTTTAAAAATTACTTTTCAACTTTGTGTGTCCTTTTTACAGCTTCTTCCTGTGAGTGTTTTTCAAGGTTGAACCTGACTGTATTACTTCATGGTATCACTGAGTTTTTTTTCCCTAGTGGGCAGAAGGTGTTGCTCTAGAGTTTCTCAGTCTGCCTAAATCCTTTGTAATTAGTTACTGCAGGCAAAGATTACCTTTTTACCTGCAAGCCATTCTGTAGGACTTTGCAGAAACACTAGAGTGCCATATTTTTTTCAAAATTCTCACCTGTAGTGAGTAGTTGTTTTCAACTTTGCTAGAGAGGAACAGAAGATAATGATTTCTCTCATTAAGTTCTGCTTTTAACCCTCATGTCACAATTTGTCAGACACAGAACTATTCACTTTTGGGAAAGTTTTTCAGATTATTTTCTTCAGAAAGAGAAGTTGAGATATATGGATGTCAGATTTATTTTTCTTTATAAAGACAGGCCAGGCAGATTTTTTTCACAGAACACTACAAAAGAACAGCAAAGTTCCTTTGCTTTCAATTCAGGTCTTTCTAGACAGCATTGTGTCTGGCAAATGTCTCAACTGTGGTGTTTTGAGGTGGTTTTTTTTAAGTTTCTTTATAAAGTCCTGATTTTTCATGCAGTCTTATACGCTGGTTTTCTCCCAGTTCTCTTCACACTCTCTTGCTCCCCTTCCTTCCCTACCAGTAAAGTTCCATCCTACTGATTCACATTCAGCCCCCAGGAGAGAATGATTTGGTTCATATGGCTCAACACCTCTTCTAGTCTTGCACTTTGGACATTTGTATTTGTATTTCAACCACCTATTCAGGAAGAAGATGAATTCGTTTTACATGTAACTCCCATTTACATATAGTTATGGAGTTTTTGGTGTTTGATGACAGAAAGGAACAGAGTTACCACCTGATTGAACTTCTTGTATTTATGGTCTCTGCAGTGTTTCTCAGAAGTCGTACTAAAACATGTATTTTTATAAAGATTTCTTCTCCTTTTTTAAGGTCTCCATGTCATATTAATCTACTCTCTTTTGCTAGAAACTTACCTCAGAAAGTGAAAATAGCTTTTAGCTCACACCCTCATAGGTTAAGACTGTTTTGTTTAGTTCCTCCAAAGTCAAGACTAAAAGTGCTTGAAAGTAGCACAAGTTTGTAATATTGGAGACTATTTTGTAAAGGTTTGTTAATTTGGAACACTTTCTAAAAATATTCTTCACAGTAGTTCTGTCTGTGGAGACTGAGGAGGGAAAAGGACTTTTTAAAACTAGAATGTTAATATGTGGGATGATGTAAGATAAGGAAATGAATTTGTGGTGTATGATGTACTGGCAGTGACAGAAACCAAACTTACTTGCCATGTGTGTGCATATGTAGACAAAGGATGGCAAGATAAAGTGAAGGCTGCAAGTAAAACCTTTAGGGTTGATTAGTATTTTTCTTCAGACCCATTGTTTGTAGTAAGCAAAGAAATAAAATACTACAGCCAGAAGAAATTCTGTTTCTTTGTCAAGCAATTTAAGTCTTTGGGAGTGCAGAAATTTGTCCTTAACGGAGTTGACCTCGTGTCTGTGGGGATCACTCAACTACTATTCAAACAAATTCCAGGCTTTGCCATGGTGGCAGGGAAGTGTACACATTTGTCTACTGCTGGAACAGAGAGTCCTGATAACTGACCAGATGGTAGCAGAGGAGCCCTGGCACTGCTACCAGATCTACCATTTTTATCATTCACTTTTGCATCGATCTTTAACACATTTTGAGATGAAGAATTCCTCTTAGTGTGTTGGAATGAGGAGACCCATCTGCACTAAAGAGTATCACTGTTATTCTCATTTCACTGTTATTTATTAATTCCTCCCCACCTTTCTTACCCTCCCTCTCTCTCTCTCTCATTATGCAACAATTCTATTTCATTATATTTCAGTGAAAGTGTTTTCCTTAGCGCTCCTCCTTTTACTTTAGTCATCAAAGTCCTTTTATGCTGCTTTCCTTCAATCCTGTTTCAACTGCATAATGTTTTCATTTAACTTCCTAGTATTTTTCATTCTCTCTGTTTTTATTTTAATTATATATTAATGTATTATATCTCTGTGAGACTTTCTGTTTAGCTTTCTCATGTTTTTCTTGGACTTAAATAACAAGGATTTTATTTAATATTACCAAGTTCTCCTTTCAGTCCGAAATGATCTTAGTGAACATCCTGCAATAGCTGAATTTAACTTCTTTTTGTCCCTGATACACCCTTTTTTTCTTTCTAATTGAAACTTGCAAGGCTGATTTTCTCCCCTTTTGCATTTGACCTTTCCCTTTTTTGTCTTTTATTTCCTCTTAATTTCTAGTTTAAATGGTGTGCATCAGCATATAGATATGAATGTAAATTTTTTCCTTACCATATGTTCAGAATTATTCAGTGTAATAAAGTGACCCTTTATTCTCATTTTACATTGCGTGTAGTCTGTAGATGGAGAAAAATAAGAGGTATCAGTTCATTTTCAGTTATGGGTATGTTGTTACTCTGATGGGAAAAAACCACATGATTCCTTGCTTATTTTCTAAGTCATCATCATATTGTCTTAAAAGCTATATAGAAATTGGTCTGTAGGAGACAGAAATCAGGTTTACTGTACTCTCAAAAGCACATGTTATGTAGGAAACCGTAGTGGATATTAGGACAGAATTTTCAAGTGCCTTTTGTTGCATTTAAAATACGAATGCTGAAATTTCTTGTATTTGGTTGGAGCCAGTGTGTTCCTGATTGGCTGCATGTATGCTATTTACACTTGTCTCCTTCAGCCTAAGTTCTTCAGTTTGAGTTTGCTTGCTGCCACCAGACGAGTAGTGTGAATTAGCATAAAGATGCCTTGATCTGAGGTTTAAGGCCTTCCTTCCTTTATTTTAATGAAAAGGGTCTGCTGCTAACACTCAGGTCTCTCACTTTACCTTTGCATGGGAAGTGACATTCTTTTATTCATACTGACAATCCAAATACACAAATGTCAAGAAACCATGAAATTCCACTTATATCTTCCTAGTCTCTTAATTTTGGTTATCAGCCTTAAAAGCAACCTGCAGATCGCTATGAGAAAACTGAAAATTTGTGTTAGATACTTCATTGATGCTACGTAACAAAAAAGAAATCCAGAAAAGATTGGTGTAAACAACCTCCGAGGAATAAACTTGACAAATGGACATTGCTGGCAATTTGACTCCAAAGTCTATGAAGACTGCAGAAAACACAATGGTCTAGTATCTTCCTTTAAGTTTTGAAGTCTTTATATAGCTTGGAGTGGAAGTTTAATCAATAAGAAACAGTAAATCCTTTCATCTCTCTCCCTAGTGGCATGTCCTTCTTGTGTGATATGAGCCTTTTGAAGAAGAAAGGCTCCAGAGCAGCTGAGCCTGCTCCCCTCCCTTCCTCCAAACTCTGGGGGTTATCTTTCTCCTTTCCTCACCGAGGCAGGAGCGTGTTGTAGGCCATTAGAAGAACTGCTCTTTGAACTGCAGTGTGGACACAGCCCTGCAAAAAGCAAACATAGACTTTGTGTATTAATGTGTATCACTGTCAGCAGCCTTACACTGGGTACCAGCTCATGGAAAGGGCTTTTATTCTTCAGCCCAACATCGTCATTTTAAAGCATTAATTTCAGGGATGTCTCCTTCTTTCCCCCTAGCACGCACCAATATCGACTCTTTTTGTAACATGGTTGTTTGTAGGATTTGCCTGAGGCTTTGACACCTACGGATGCGTATCGCAGAAAATCCTAGAACAAGGAACTTTGCTGCTGCTTCTGCTCCTGGTTAGTCTAGTCAGAAGACAAACTACTGAGATGAAATGAAGAAAAAACCTCTTCTTTTCACATGCTGAAACTGTAGAGATGTTCCCTAGTATGTGGGCCAAGGAGTCTCCTTGCATTGGGATAGTGCTAATAATCTTCTCCTGTGCAAACAGATGGAAGAAGAACAGGAGAGGAAACCGGATTTGCTTTCCTTCCTTGCTCTGTCCTTTCCATGAAGAAAATCCCTCAGGTTTTGAGGTCAGGACAAATAACCATTAGTAAAAGACAAGTCAAAGGGAAAAAGAAGGAATAATACCTGAATGCTCTTTATATTGGAATAGAGAGATCTGTCTTCCATCTTTAGGTGCAGCTGGCAGGAATACTTAGAAATGCCAGGTCAAGCAGAATGACACAGCAGTTATATTTCCTTCTCTGGCAGGCAAGGAAAAATGGTTCTGTTCTGCTAGGGAGCTGAATTCTGTTCCTGTTATGTTGTTCCCTCAAGTTTGGTAATCAAACATGGCATTCGGAGGGAGAAGAATTGTTCAGTTCACGGGAAGAACTATAGGCTTTTGTGGGTTTCTTGTCCTCTTTCAAGTGTGTCAGCAGGCTGCCCTGGCACTGAAAGCTGAACACATCAAAACAGCTCTCTGTCTATTCTAGATACCTCATGGTGAGGGTCACATCCACACTTCTCTTAGCCACCAGACTCTCACATCTGTTTCTGAATTTTTTGTATTTCAGACTAGGTGGTACTTTGGTTTTTCTTCTTCTACATACCAGCCCCCAGCAGGTTTGCCAACCTGAAAACTAATGTGTGGGAAAAAAATAGTCTTCTTCCACTCAACAGCAGCATAGTAAAAGTGTGCATTTCCATCTTGGTAATTAGGTGATTTTTTTGTTTTTAAGCGTATAATGTACTACAAATACTTGCAGTCAAATAATAAATACCTCACCACAAACTTCTGTGATACTTTTGAACTTAGCTAAATGTTGGTTATACAGGCTGCAGTGCATGCCTATGTTTGTAACCTCTCTGATGCCACAAATTATTTAGCATGAAGAATTTTCTTTGTTAGAGGGCTTATATTCCAGAACTGGTGTCTCTTGATCTTCCATTCTCAAATAGATTTTTGCTGAACTTATATAGTTTCCTTTGTAAAGGTTTGCTGTAACTACATTGTACCTGAAAAGGACATGCTTTTTCACGCAGTAAGACAGAGTTCTCTCCCTTCTGAAAATTGCATCTTTCATTTTGAAGGAGTTGTGTTCTGCTGTTTCAGCTTCTGCCTCCTGTTTTACAGTGATTCCTAATGTTCAAAGGGAATTTTTTTCCCTGATTAAAAATAATGACATTGCAGTTGGAGGAGTTTTTGAAAACAGTGGGAGGCTTCCTGGTTTTAAAAAGATGAAACTTTTTCAGCTGTAGATTTGAGGTAAGAAGGAAAAATAAAGGTAAGCTTAGTTGTGAGAGTTTAGATTTCAGTTAGAAACAGGTTGAGTGTGTTCCTTACACTTGTGCTGATTTCTATAGAAGATTATATGGTAAGAGGATTTCTTGATGCTTAATATGTGATTTTGTCTCTGAGTAATCCATTTCAGCCTTTTAAGCCATGTAAGTATAGGAATTCAGAAAGGCAATGGGACTACATTTATGCACTGTCTTGAACATTAACAATTTTCCATCCTAGTCTGGACTATTGGACTTTTAGTGTCTTCTACTGAGTGCTTTGTTAATGCAGAATATGAGAGAAATTAGTCTAGAAGATTAAATTTCATTCTCTTCTACCACAGAGGTACAAAATATCTGTGAAACCTTTTTTTTAACATAAAACTTGAAACTTCATGTTGTACTCCAAGCTTAGTTAAATTTTGATTAAGGTTTAATTTAGGGTTCTACGAGTAAAACTAAATATTCCACACTAGTTGTAATACATTAAGAAATAAATTGTGATTCGTCTGAAAGCACATTTTCATTCACTGTATGTTCACTGAGGATGAGTTAACGTTCCAAGGAGAGCTTTACTTTTCACACTTCCAAAATATTTTTGCTTATATTCCTGATATGGTTTGAAGCTGGCTCCCTGCCAAGTCTCCAAACCTTACCACAAGAAGTCGTCCCCCCCCAAACCTCAGGGAGAAGAGGGAAAGAAAAAAACAACCAAGAAAACTGAAACGAGAGAGAGAGAGGTAAAGCAGTATATATATAAATATATTTACACTTATGTTACAGTTATATACAATTGAAATATATATACAATTTCACAAGGGAAAGGGAAGGGGGAAGGGAAAAGGAACAAAACCAAAATAAAATATATATATACCAATCAGTAGCCCGAGATCTAGCAACTAAAAGAATTGGCAAAAAAACTATCTTACTACTCTCCTTGGGACAACAGAAAGTCACGCTGGAACGGTCGCCAGCAACCTCAGTCTCCCAAGGTCGACAAGGCCTTCCCAGACCTCGCTCCCCAACACGGCAGACTCAACAGCAGGGAACCTGCACCTCCAAAGCCGCCGGAAGGAAAGAGAGCGAAGGCCTCTCCTCCTTTCTTCTTATAGCCCGGCTTACGTAAAAATCGTAGGGAATACTGGGTAAATCTGGGCCCTTCCTTGGTTACAAACTGGTCACCAAGGAAGGCCTAGACCAAACTACCACAATTCCTTATGCCTATCTTTGATTCCCTTGCTTCTCTCCCACATCCTTGACATCTGGCATCATCAAAAGGCAATACCTGCCCATCCAGGTGGAGGAGAATCTGGAAGAGATCCTGTTTTCAATTTCTGTAGAGTAGCAGCAGTTCCAGGGATCCTTCTGTTTGATCTGCTGGCTGTCTGAGTTTGATGGTCCCTTTTTCATTAAACAGTTGGTGAGCAGAAAGTGGAAAGGAAATTTCCAAGTGACTCAACGGTTGGAAGTGTTAATGGTTCCCTTGGCAAGCAGTTGTTTCAGTTGTTCAGTGTAGAGCAGCTTTTGATACACTTCAGAGGATTTTATATCCAGCAGACAGTAAATATAATTAGTAAAATTATGTGCAGTGACGTACATGATCCTGGTCCATGCTATCTTTCCACCATTGTTCAGACTGGTTATACACACTATGCAAATAAATGCACAGAAATCAAAGCACAGCTTCTGTGAGAACTTACAGGCTTCTCTTTCTAAGGCACAAGAGCTACAGTAGATGTTCAGTAAATGTAAGAGAATTCAAATTATAATTGAAGGCGTGTGGGTAATGTAACATGTAAACATGACCTTTATTTTACTCTTTCCTTTTGTGAGGAAGCCTAGAGCAAAACCCTGCCTATTCACAATTTAAGTAGGAATTGCAGCTTCCTGTGGTACACCATGGCCCCACTAGGACTGAGGATGCCTCGGGCTGGCTTTAAGACATTGTGTGCCTTCATAAATAAAATAATGTGGTCTGGTGCGCGAGGAAAGAAAAGGCATATTGTACTGTTTTCTCAGCTGAGATGTGCTACAGCTTAGATTGAATGTCAGGCAAAAAAGTCAGCTGGTGGTAAGGTTTGTTTGTCAGTGACACCAAATCCTGACTGCAATTCATATTCAGAGCAGGATGCCCTGCAATTTGGTTATGTCCCAGGTACAATACCGGAAGGGTAAATGAGGATACATATGAGTGTTATGGTATACCAGCTGTTTATAGATGCATAGGCTAAACTCTTTGGTCTGTACAGCTACCATTGATGACTAATTCCAAAGTAATATTCATAGTGGTGTCTGACTAAAATGAGTGGGGGTAGTCCTTTTATATTTGAATGGTTGGAACAATTCCTAAGACACAATGTAGTCTATATAGTCCCTGTTATTAATTCTTTTCTCCTCAAGTTACGATAGAGTATTTAATGTATTAAATCTGGTTTTGTGAGGAAAATGAGTGAATTGAACATCTAGAAAAGATTTGTAGTTGAATATTCAAAACGGAATATTTTGTTAGTTGCACTACATTTGACTGGTCTAAAATGTTCTGTGTTCTTCATAATAACCCTAAAATGACATTTTAGGATTCAAACCTGGGAATAAATAGGACTCCACTTTTAGGGTTAGAAGCCAAATAGTTGAAGTAGTTTTTACAGTGCTGTAGTAAGAAATTGTCAGTGGGATCTGGAAGGGGGGATAAATGGTTTGTATTTTAAGTGAAATAAATTGTAAGTAAAGTAGATTGTTGTAACTACCCATAGAGTCCTAAATGTTAGATATAGAATTCATACATTTTTAAAATTCCCAAAACAACTGTTCATAGAAGTTGGATGAAGATAATAATTATTATCATTCATTCTAAATTGTAATTTTGTATTGTGTTCATTTCCATTTTACCATTTTTTTAGCAAAAGCCACAAAAACATGTGAGTATGAATAAACACTACAAACAGCCTTTTCCTATATTTTTAAAGGCTGATAACACTTAAAATATTTTACTTACTGTATTTCCAGGGAGATCATTTAACACCCTATTTTATAACAAACACCTTTAGCTTTCATGTGAAAAAGCTTTTGTTTGAAGGGTCTGCTATGGAATTACATTTATCAAATCAGTTCTTCTGAGTGTTTATGGTCTTACAGTCCTAAATGGCCATTGCAAAGGCAGACTGGGGAAGCTGATGGCATTTTCTGATCATCAAAACTGTCTGCTCTGCCAGATCAGGACTGGCTTTTGCTCTTTGCAGGCTGTGAGACAGCCACTCACCACCTCACTGCTCCACAGTCAGACACAGACAGAGACTCCGTGGGTCGTTCGAGATTTGGCTTCTTTTCCTCTCCTGTTGGCAGAGCACTAGATTACATGTATTTAATACTTTACAACTCTGTGATGCTTTACTATGACAGTAATGTATTAACGATCATAAAAGCTTTTGAGATGTGACTCAATATCCTCCAATCCCTATTCCTCAGTAAAAATGATGCTCTAAGGAGCATCCACAACCACTTCCTGGCAAAAATATTCCCTGTGTTATTGTCTTTTAATGAAGAGAGTGGATGTTCGGCTTACTGTCCTCTTTCTTTTAAGGTTGACTGTAGAAAACAGGACATCCTGGGTTCATTTCATTTTTCTCTAGACTGTGACATTTAATAACTGCTCGCAGACAAGGCTCCTGGAGACTGTGCTAGCGTGGCTTTCTCTGAATATATCGCTTTTGTGCAGTGCCTCTGAAGGAAAATGAAAGCCATACTACTTTTGTTTAAAGGAAGAAATTGTCCATGAGAGACTGGCTTTTTGCAGTACAGAGACTTAGAACCCTCAGAGAGGCCAAAATGAACCTTGGGAAATAGCTTGCCCTGAAAAAGAATATAAAGGAATTGACCCACCATTCCTCAAAATGTGAAGAATTAAGGAGAAGGTCTGAATGACCAGACACGTAGGCCATGAGGTACTAGAGAGACAGTTTGCCAACTGTTCTTTCACTATCCTAGTTAGTACCTCTCAAATTCCCACTCCATCTGCTATTGGATTTATGATGGACTTATACCATAAAGACCAGTGTAACTATTATTAGTGATATTGCCTGTTCATACAAATCAGGGACTTTGGACTGACGTATGAAATAGTCCCTGCCTAAAAGGGAACCTCAAACAAAACACAGAATTCTATATGTCATGAGCACATTAGACATTCTTTTTGTTGTTCCTTTTAAAATTTCTTAGCTTTCTTTGATGTATGCTAAACAGCTATGTGAGATCTGTGGTAATTTCATTCAAAATCAGATTTAAATTTCTTATGTTGAAATTGCTTTTAAGAGTTGTAATTGCATGATTCTGCATTTCCCATAATGATCTACTTCAGCTTGTATGGTGGATACATATAGTTAGTCTCAGTTATTGCTGGCTGATAAAATAATGTTCTAAAATAATGATACTTAAAACAATCGTCATCTAATCATGACACTAATGAATTTTAAAATATTTATTTTATACATTGTAGTATGTCTAAGTAATCTTGAGAGGAGAGACATTTTGATTTTTTGCATCATGAATAATTAACGTTAGTTAGAGATTAGTAATTTTGTTGACCTTCTCTCCATCATTTTTTAAGTATTTGAATATTGCATGGCGCGTATCATATATCTTTAGAATTTAGGTTATGGAAACTTCCTAAGTTTGTTATGCTCTGAATTTGCCTCTGACTCCAAGTAGTTCAGAGCTTCAATTCTAATGAGGTCAGTGAGCATGGCAGATATTTATTAACAGTCTGTGTGAATTAGGCCATCCTTTCAGGTTGTTATTTCAACAACCTAATTATATCTGGGTTTGATATTCCAATTTACTAAGTATTACTGACTCCTGTAATGGATAGTATGCCGACAAACTGCTGCTTCTGACAGCACAACTGAGAACAACCATTCTGGTAGCTTAGACATCTGTGAAAGCAAGCTCACTGACGAGTAAAGGGCAAGGAAAAGAAGGAAAAAAAAGGAAATAAAAGCAATGAAGAGAAAGTTACTTTTACAAGAAAAAATGCCAAGATGCCTTACCATGATGTTTTCTACTGTTCTAAAAACAGCACTGTTCTGTATCAGGTCTCAGCATCTGCAGTCTTCAGGTTAGTATTTTTTGTGTGCTTACACAGTCTGAACTATTCTCAGTAAATGTGACTCTGCTGTGCTACTCTTTTTGATTAGAAAATAACAAAACTGTGTAATAGATAAAAGTTATAATCAGTTTAGAGTGTGTTTTTCAATTTTCTAGCTTGTTTGAAAAGTTAGTGCAGAGCAATTTAACTTTAGACATGACAGGGAAATTTTCAGTGTTGTTCATCTGAAGATAGCAGTTTAATGCCAAACATTTTGTAGCAATGGATCACTTGTGATTAATATCTTATTGCCAAAATAACCCTATTTATTTCAGTTTGAGATTGTTGAAATATGTTTAATTTTGAAGAGCCACATAAATTATAATAAAGATTGAAAAGTGTAGATATTTTTATATGATTAGCAAAAAATTGTTTCTTTACCTAATTTTTAAAATTTCTTTTTGCATGAACCTTTGGGATTTTTTTTAAATTTGCATCCTAGTTTGGGACAGGAGCATTCTTGGCCATCATTTCTGCACTGTAAAATTATTTATGGGGTTTTCCTAACGTTGTCTGTATCTAACATACCTGTACTCTTCTGTTTGTTTTCTCTGCTCCTGTGACTGCTTTACTATGTCCTTTGGAGACCATCTCCTTGCTCAGTACCATGGGGGTGCTGCAGAGTTCTGCAGCTCGTATCAGCCTCTCTAGGCAATCCTTGCACGCGCCTTGAAGTCTGTTAAGTTCTCTGATACCTGTTTTTAGCTGGCTGCATTAGGCTTAATCCTCTCTAAGCTTCCACTATGACTTTTTTCAAATACTGTGGAGACATAGGATGCAAGTAGTTGAGCAGTGCGGGCCACATGTAAGCATACAGGAGCATCTGCATTATATGGGGTGCTTTGTTTGGATTTGGATGCTGGGATATCTGGAGGGAAGCATCCTATGAGAGGCTCAGCTCTTTTGCTGTTTGAACTCAGATGTAGCTTGCAGAAAAGTGAAGTGCTTAGGGGGACATACCTCGGGACAACTGAGCTCATCCAGCAGTTTGCTGCCTTCTGCTGTCTGTGGCCTTGGGCACTTGGTCCTGCTTCCATCCTTGCACTGAATCTATCACTGTCCTGATCCCTTGCTGAGCTGACTTAGCTCACCAAGCCAGCAGAAAAACAACCTAGATGAGAGGAAGGAAAAGGTGGTAGGAGTGTTAGGTTGTCTCAACCACCTCATGGGACATAACCAGCAGCCAATATCTGGGGAAAGTGATAGAAAACAAAAAAATAAACCAGAGCTTGTAAGCAAAGTTACATCAGTGACACTTTCCGGAGAAGGCTTTGAAAGCTATCAGTTGTTATTATCCAGCAGCTTCAACACAGCAGTAGCAGTTGTATTTCCTATATTTCCTAGGGTTGTATTTCCTTAGCTATGTATTCTTGTAACTTGCACTGGGAAGTGGTGAAGGGGGTTGTGCAGTTAGGGCACAGTGACCTGTCCACGTGAACAGCACATGGGGTGTACCCAAGTACCGCAGGAACTGTAGACCTACATGTCCCCACATGTGGTTGCATCACTATGACTGTGTCTTCTGTTGCATGGGACATGGCTGAGTAATTTCTAAGGAAAGGATAAAAGAAAGAAGGAACTGAAAACTAAGGGGGAGGCTTTCTAAAGAAAGGCTCTGAGGCCTGTACTAAATGTTGCAACCTATGGAAAATAAGGCAGCAGCAACAAGGCAAAACAGGGGAAGGACTTCAGTATATGTGGAACAGCATGATTCCCATAAGCAGCTTGATCTATTTTGGGTGAGCTGGTCGTAATGGCGGTAACACAGTATGATGATACTCTATTCTGGCTCTGTTGCAACTTTTATGCTGCTCAGAAAATCTACAGCTTATTATCTAGTGTCTTGCAGACACTAGACTTGAGCACATGCTAATCATAATCTTTCTTTTTACTTTGTACTCTCTCGTGTAGTTACTACAAAATGTTGAACTATTCTTTGTGAGTTCTCTGAAGTCTTAGGAGTGAAATGATGAATTAAGGTAATATCAAAATAGCAAGTGAAATAAATGCTTAAAACTGCATGATGTATGTGGGAGTAAATTAAGTGATTGTTATTTTCCATCTGATGGTGTAAATGGCATGTGTTGCGGTAAAAGGCAAAAATGCAGTAGTTAGCAGTGGGGATATGTTGTTTTACCATGGATTATCAAGGTTCTGCTGTACAAAAGAGTGAAAGAGCTTAAGTATGGTTTTAATAACATGTATCTTGGAACCTAACCTTTAAGTGATTTTTCTTTTTTGCGTAATCTTTTTTTTTAACCTTGTAGTTGTACAATTATACCTTGTAGTTATACAATTTAACCTTGTAGTATACAATGCTCTCTAAATGATTCCTTTCCGGTTTCCACAGTCTGACGTTTTTCTGTCCCTGTTCTTCTCAAAGCATATCCTGATTGGTACACATTCTGCAGACCCCATTGTCTGTGGCAGCAATTTGATACTTGCTATCATTCTTTCAGCTGCTTCTTTCTCTTGAAGGCTTCCTCTCTGCTTGCCTTATCATGTTCATTCATTTTTCTCTCTCTTTTCTCTGAGGAAGCCTATAAAGAGATATATGATAAATTTCTTCAAGTAGATAATTTAAAATGAATATCTGGCTTTCTTGGTAAGTGGGACAAGGAAAATAAAGTTTTGATACACTAGAATACATCTGGTAAAGTCTTAATGCAGCAAGAAAAAACATCCACCTGTATTTCTGGGAGAAATGGTCAGCCCTCAGCTCCCTCACCAATAAATCTGGCTTCAGCTAAATGAATTTCATGTTCCATCACTGTATTTTATTGTTCCCTTAGGTTATCTAAAACCATTGCTTTTGCTGTTGCTTCAGTCAATGATGTTATAGAACTTTATACTTCAGTCTGACCAAAAGACTGCAGTTAACTATAGGTGATGATGATGAAGACAATTCTAACTCTTTCTCTGCATCATTTAATCTCACCTTGAATCATCTGTATGTCACCAGAAATACAGCTCAGATATGTTGTCTCTTCACTATACAGCTTATTTATGTGATTCCCAAATTGTCTTCCAAATAGACAACCATCTGGATGTTTCTTAATTATTTTTGTAAAGACTTGTTAAAAAATAATGATTGTTTTTTGCAGCCCTACTACAGTATTGTTTTAATGAAAAAAAACCACAAAAAACCAACCCATGTGTAATTATTCAATCAAGCGTCTTCAACACTAAAAAGTACTGATATATATGCTCACATATATGATACCTAAATAAATTACTAGGAGATAATCAACACAGCAAATCCTAGAATTTCCTTCTTTTTTTTGGTATAGAATCTTTTTCTAATATTCAGCTTCTAGCACTTCCCAAAATTTCTAATGCTTTGGAAGAAATACTTTGTTTTCATGGATCTGTGGTTTCCACCACTGCAGATAAAGTAGCAAACAGGTTTGCTGAGACAGTTTGACAGAATTCTCTTAGCTTGCAAGAGACTGATTGCTAAAGAGGAGAGCACATCTCAGATCTCCTGCTGTCACTTGTCACAGAGGCAGGAGGCACAGATTATTGTCCCCAGAATGAGCCAGTTGATTTGGAGGCTATAATGAAGCTGACCATCAGTAGGCTTGCTGTCTTACACTGACAAGGGATGCTTGATAGAAATGGAGAAAGATCTGTTTTGGGAAGAAGGAATCCAGTTCCTACCAGCATTTTTACTTTTCTAAAGAAGAAAAGAAGAAAGGGACTCTGGGGTGTCTGCCCCTACCAGGGACCAGGGAAGAGCTACCAGCCCGTTGTTGCTGCAGAGCAGGCTGGGTGCTGACTGATCAGCAGCCAGTGTTGGCTGAAGATATTCCTCCTGTTAAGTTAAGAAGTTCAAGCTGTGCTCAGTTTTCAACTCACAGAACCAGTTTATGGGTGGTATGAGGAGATAAGGCTTCGTTGGCTTCTATGAACTGACCTACATTTATGCTGGTGGTGAATCAGGCAAAATATATTCATTCCAGCTTGATCTCAGAACCTTTGATTAAATTATGTTTTTCTCTATTGTCTCATGAAGGGCTACATCTGGTCATGTAGAAATAGCTTGTAACAACATTGAAACATAAATTATTTGATGAACTACTTAGGACTATTCACTTAATGCATGATAATCCTGTGAACATGTTAATGAGCAGCAATTCTCTGATGATTGAACTGCTTTAAAATGTCTTTCTACTTATATGTCATTAGAGTGAACTTGGCACTTCTAAAACATCCATTATTCATCATGTTCCAGTGTTGCATCTGACTGTGTATCACTAATTTCACTCACTTAACAAAACAATCTATTCATTACAATAGTTTGAAGCATGTTTTCTACATCAGAAAAATTCTAGTTAAATATACAATGTTACTTATCTTTACAAATATCATAGAGCAAAAAGTAGCATCCCAAATTGTAATTACACACTTAGCGCATTTGGATATGCTAACCTTCAGTTGAAATAAATGATTTTGTTAGCTGGAGGAGCAGGATTGGTAAAGCAGCTCACCAAAAGCAAAAGGTTGACTTTTCTTTCTGAAATAGTTCAGCAAACATTTTCTCAGTAATGCCTTTTCACGTGTATTTATTGTCCCAATAATTTAAGAAACAGAGAAAGAGAATTTTTAGTGCAAATATGAATACTTCTATATATATATATTTTCAATGGTTTTTCCTGCTACTCCCATGTATTTTTTCATTTTACAAGTCCTGGATCATTCCAGACATTGTGAACCCCATTAAATCCTACATTAGCTTTGGTCATTTTTGAATCTGTGTGTGATGGCTACTTCAGAAGAGTTTCTTCCCAGCAGGCCCAAGAGATCTATCTCAGAAGGTGTTGGACTGCTGTATGACTCCATGGTTGAAGATTTTTTACTCATGTCCTGCAAGGACTCTTCTGCTTAAAGCAGCAGACAGCTTTTGGTAGAGGAGTTAGATAGAATATCAGCTAAATGGACCACTTGAAGTAGTATCAACAGAAATGCATTTTCTTTTCAGTGTAGCTAAATGAATTTCCAGCTGAATTAGCAAAATTCTGGTAAATAACTGTGGAGATGGGCTAATAACCTCCAAACAAGCCAGAAGACTTTTTTCTCAGAGTGAATGAGAGTCTTATAAAACACACAAATATATGGTGATGAAACTTTCAGTCTTTAGATGTTGAAAACCACTTCAGTCTCTTAATTTTACTTTAAAAATGCTTATTTGCCTGGCTAGGAAAACAGTCAGTAGTCACTTATGCTGGGCTTACTTCTCAGAGTTTTTTGATCAACCATGTTTTTAACACACTCTGTTTTGGTCTGTTGCTGAAGTAGGATGTTTGGGCAGATATGAGAGGTTTATGAATGCTTTCCTAGTAACCAATGGAGTTAGAGAGTCTCTGTTGGTTGTATTAATGCTTTCAGCAGCTCTTGGTAAAATAGAAGTCAATGTATTAACGATTAACATAAAAAATTGTTAAAATAATGTGAATAAAATATGTGTTAAAGAAATGGAACAATTGTGTGATAAGAGGAAGATACTAAAAAAGGTGGAGTTTGAAACATTTAAGGAAGCATGGATCTCTTTGTGCTTGGCTAAGAATGTTGATAGCATCAGACTGAACTAAGAAACTCAACTCTGTGTTCACTTTTTAACATTTCTGTCTCTTCCTGTGAATCACAATCCTTCTTTGCTCATAACACAATAAATAAGAGTTAGTTTGCAATGAGTTAAGAATTGCAGTGAATTTCTACTGAAGCATTTAAAAACTATTAATATAGCTCTTTTTCATGAATCTTTCCTTAAAAATGTCAGTTTATGGGACATATATGTGATGCTTCATCTATGATAGTATCAAAATTGAATTAGTGGTGTCTCAAGCTTTCATACACCTTTTTATGGTTAGACTTCTAATGGTAAGTTAAACTTTTCCTTCCAACTAAGCTTGATAGTGTTTGTGGACTAAATATAGCTTTGGCTATATTTATATGTAATTCAACCTATAAAAAGCCTTATGTTGTATATAGAAATAATTCTGACTGTTTTATATGGAGGAATTGATGTTAACAATGCAAATAGTTTCTACAAAATGCTAGAATAAGGACCATTTTTAAATCTTAATTAAGGTGTCTGTATTTCTTTAATGCAGCCCCTGTTCTCCCTGGGGCATATCAGCAAAGCCAGACTCAAGGATATGGATACATGCACCAGACCAGTATGTCGTCCATGAGGTCCATGCATTCACAGCCTCATTCAGCAAGTCTGGTGAGTATTGGATTTAAAGGAGAATTTTATTTGGTAAGCAACATCATCAGCAATTGGGAAATCTCTTAAATATGATTGAATTGATCCCCTTGAGTTCTACAGCTAAACTATTTGCCTGTCCTAGTCCTAAATGTAAGTGACAGTCCTCATGTATAAAAAAGATTTAAGAGACTATAGGCAGTGGTAAGAACTCTTGCATCAGAATGCATAAAAAAATAATTTATGATATCCAGAAAAATAACTGAATCTTTTACCTACTTAAAACAAATAGTAAATGCTTGGACAATATTTCACAGGCTGAACTTTATATTATACTCTGTGATGAATTCATGCTCCTAGCACTGGATGAAACTCACTGATCTCTTAAGATCACCCTGTTGATTTAAATTAGTTTCGATTTTCTTTGACTCGCTGATTTTGTACTACAGGCTTTGTGCCTATCTGCATTACTTATTTCTTCTTGTATAAAGCTGGCTCAGTCTCTGTATTGGTGCGCCCTTTCTAATTCAACTGAAGAGTCATGCACCAACTTGTGCCTGATCCAAACTGAGTTATACTGGTGGGCAACTGAGAAGAACCTTTATCATGAAACTGTGGCCACGTCACGAAGTTCTTAATTGTGGTGGATGGGAATGTAAAGCTGGAGTGAATATTTCATTTTAGAAGTAACTGGTCCTGGTAGGAGAGCTGAATGGGTATTCAGGTGGGATTTTTAGGAAATTGAGCTTCTTTTTTCCTTTTGAACTCTTTATATATAAAGTTCATTTTTAATGGTTATCATATTTTTTAAATTATATTGCTGCCTAGAGATTCCATACTTCAGATCCAATCACCTTTTACCTTAAAAATATTGACTTGCAATTTTGAAGTTTAAACTATTTTGAATGGGTGTATATTTACTACATCTGTCACATATTAGAGATGAATAAATATTTAATTATGAACCAAACTTAGAGCTTGCTGAGCTTGAAAATGTTTGTTTTCCAGGTTACTGAAACTTGTATTTTTTTTGTAAGAGTGAAACTCTGTGACATTTTGTATTGTAAAGATCATGATGTTCTGTGAGGTGTGAGTGGTTTCAGGCTTCCCAGAGTCTTATCTGCCTGGGGCTGAGGGGGCTAACTTGCTGGAAAATCTGGGATTCAGATACCTGCATCTTTGAGTGAATCAATAACCTGAGAATCTCTTTGGACAGCTGCATGACAGCTGTGAGACGGCTGATGCTGGAATCAACCATTAATTTCCAAGGATATCACAAGGCACTTGGGGAACTGGCTGTTTTCCAAAAGGGCCAGAGTACGAAAAGTAGGAGACCGGAAAGCCTCGACTTTGCCAGGAGATTTCTAGTAGTTGGGGAGTAAAGCAAACAGCTTTTAAATCCAGCAGATAGAGAATGGAGATGCCTGCAAATCTTGAAATGCACTTACCAGCCTTTGCAGCCATGTGGGCAGGTAGATGACTACTATTGCCCTTCTATCTCTATGTCCCAGCGACTTATGTGGCAGACTGTTGAAACAGCATAGTTTCAGTCATCATGAGAATCAACATCTGCTTCTCCTTCCAGAACTGGAAATGTAAAGGTAGTAGGAAAAGGAAGGGAGTGACATTAAAGGATTTTAAAAATAAAGGATTGACTTATTTCGACAGGATTTCTTATCCCTTTTGTGCAACTGTTGTCACTTGACATCCTTTTAAGTGATAATAGCTGCTTATCATGGGAAAACAGCAAACATCATGATTTGAACAGATCTTCCTGCTGTTAAAAACTTAGTGGGCTTTCTTGTAGACAGTAAACCCCAAACATTTCCAGAAATTAAGGACTGCTGCCTGGTGCTGACTGCTAACTTGCCAGTCTGGTGAGGAAGACATGAGCATGATGTTGTCACCTCAGGGTGTTGATTCTGCTCCAAAAGAGGCATCTCAGATGCATCTAGAAACCTGCTGTGCTCCTTTGCCTTTCCACCTTCATGCCAGAAGACTGCATTTTCATTACCCTGTGAAGCTTATCCAGGGTGCTGGACATGCTACTCTCAGCTATTGGGATGATACAGAGGATTCTCTGCATGTGCTTGGGGGAAACCCCTGATTGAGGATGTGTTTAAATGTAGTAATTAGCGCAGACTGAAAATATCTAGTCTTGGAGTGCTTTTAAAATGTGATATGGACATGGTGTAGGAGATCTGACAAACACAATGTTTAGGTTCATTGTTTTCAGCTGCTTGTTCAGTTCTGGGCTTGGAGCAGTACTATCAGAGATGTGGTGTTGTCTGGCTAGTAACAGAGGGAAGAAAGAAGTAAGAGAAGAAAGTAACAGCAGGAGGAGATTGAAGGAAAGAAATCCTAGACTGAATAGTGACCTCAAAGCACAAACAGTTTTTGAGACTTAAGTAGAAGCAGCGAAGGTGCCTGAGTATGGCCAGGACATCTCTAGGGTGAGAGTGATTAAGTTCCCATGGGTTATATCAGAGTGAGCATAATTGAAGAGTTAGCTACTGTCGTAAAACTACTCCTTTCAGCTGATTTGTTGTATTGTTATCAAATCAGTGTCCCCAAAAGATATAAATTCATTTTATAATCATGCCCACCAATCTTCTATACTGAGAAACCGAATTTTTCTAATTTCTACAGTTTCAAAATTTGGTTTATTTCATTGTGAGCTGTGTTTTGTGTGAGGAATGATCCTAATGCAATCTTTTGATAGATTTTTTTTTCCTCAGATAAATAGCATTATTTTCTGATTCTTAACTTTTGCTCACTTTCTGTGAGCAGTTCTGCATAATGGGCTGAATTAAATTGTTGCTCAGATTACAAAGTGTTTTATAACAGATGCCTGCAGGCTGTTTACCTCTTTGGAAAATAAAACACCTTCAGATATCTAAAAGTGATAGGAAAACAAAACCCTTGTTGCAAGTTAGCTGCTGTATGTGAAAGGATGTTCCAACAGGTACTGCTCCTTGCAAGGAGCCATCCATAGAATGAGTATAAACTAGTGGATAAAGTGGAAAAATGTATCTGTCAGTTCAGATCTAGCTAGGGAGCTGAGAATATAAATTGGTCTTCAGTTCTTTATGTGCAGAGGACTTAACTGTTCTGTCTAAGCAGTAGCTGTGAGATAGACCTTTGAGGAAGTGAGAAATAAGTGAGTATTTGACTGTTTTAAAAAACTCCAAACTTTTCTTGCAACCTGTTGTACTCAGTACCTGCTAAACTCACTACTGACAGAGGAATAATTCACTAAAATACATTTTAAAAATCCCTTCTTTGAGTCCTTTAGGCATTGTAATTCTCAATTATATAGCACAGACTACACTCTGCAGTGATAATTAGGCATTAAATGCTAACAGGATTATTATGGAGATTTCTCCTGACAGCCATTTAGCACCTAATTAGGTGTTAAGGCCATAAATTTAGGTTTCTCAGCAGCATTTAGGGCCCTAATAAATTCTTTTGAAGTTTGAAATTACCAGCTTGTCTTCACAACTGTGCCACCACAGTGATGTAAACAAGCTGCCTTTAAGGAGACAGCAGTAGTATGTCCTTTGCCATCGTGCTCTAAGGATGAGTGAGCATCCTTCTGAGTGAGCAAGAACTCTCTATTTTTCCAATTTTGTGTTGGTTTAATAAAACATCTAATCTCTTCTCCCAGCCTTTGCCCATTTAAGGGAGACATATAGGCATGGCTCAGAGTGAAATCCATTTGCTGTCTTATGCCAGATATAGATTTATTACCATTTTTCTTAAATGGACCCTCTTTTGAAATAAATTTTTCAAAGGGCTAACTGCTGCTGAACTTGTTGTAATAGCATGTTTTTCACTGCTTTTTCGGAGTTAGTTTAGAGAAAGTTAGTTAGTTGAAAAAGTTGGAAAAAATAAGATTCCAAAAGGCAGAGGGTCTTCTGACCGCTAGTTCTCTTTAAGGAATTTTTGGTGATGATAGAACCCACCCAATTACTTGCTGTGATGTAGTGCATAAACAATGATGCTTTTTTTCATCAACTCCCATGAACACCTGGAAGACTTTTAGGAACCTTTGGTTGAAAATTAGTCTTGGTCACAGCCTGTAGGGCAGCAAAATTACGAGGCACTGCAGAGAACAATTATACAGAGCAAGACTGAAATACAGTTCAGAGTAGGCTTGTCAGGAAAGGTGGTCTCTAGTGGTCTCCATTGTTTGAACAGGAGCTGATTCTCCATACTGTTTAATCTGCACTACCAATTATAAAGGCAAATCAAAACAAGAAGTGTATTTCTGGCATGGGAACAGAAATGATAAATTACCTTATAGTGTTTGGATTAAATAATTCCACGTTTCCAACATGTAACAAATGACCTCCTCGCTCTGTATGGAGAAGTCTCCACCTTTTCAGAAAAGAGTTTTACTAAAAACCCTCAAAACCCCATATATGATATATACTAAAACTAATCCAGAACTGTTTTCCTGATCTGGGTAGCAGAATGAAGTTAGCTGTCTATTAAAAGGTTCAGACAATAATACTAGGCATAACTCAAACATTGACTGTTTTTACCTTTTTTTCCTCTTCAAATCATTCTACCAGAAAATTTCAGCTACTTATGATAATATAGCAAAAATTACCGAAAGGGAAATTGAATATTGTCAGTGATGCTTGAACTGCTCTTGACTTCTCTCAAGAGCCAGGGTAAAAAAAAGAAAGCATTCCTGGAAATTTTAAAATGAGCTATTTTTTTCTTCTGTTAAGGTACAAGAGGAGATTGTTCCCCCTGAGTTTGAAAATCCACTTTGAATTCCAGTATAAAATCATAGCATGTTATTGGTTATGAGTGAAAACAAATACTCTATGTAGAAAAATAGAGAAAAAAATTTGATATCATGGCTTAGCTAATGATGGGACTTTAAGTGCTAAAGAGAACGTTTTATCTGATATGAAAAAATGAGTATTCATAAAAATTATTTTTACAGACTTTTAGAAATCTTGTTTTTTCTTTAGATAATAATGCATCATAATTCTTAATTCAGGGTAGAATCCTAATGAAATGAAAGACATTCCGTGAGATGGCAAAGTTAATGACCTGGATGAAGACTATGTTTCTTTTTGTAGTGAAGACATAGGAGAAGCTATTTGGGAATCATGCAAATAGGAAGAAGAAGCACAGCTAGCCATGGCTGGATGTATTGAACTGTTACTAGTGAATAAATGAAACAACAATTGGAATATTTCAAGATGCAGTGAATGGCTTGAAATCTGTTTGTATGAGGTCTTTGGACAATGTAGGTTAACAAAAATAATTATTTTGCTACTCAGTATTCACTATATTTTTGACAGGGTGGAGAGAGTACCGTTCCTTTTCAACAGGTAACTTGTGATTTTACTCTCTGCCTTGCTCCCTCTATTCTTTTTTCCTTCTCTTTTCATCTTTGTGCAAAGAGAAGGAATCTATCTCTGTTTAGACTTGAGACTTGACAGCCTTGTTTTCTTTCCTTCAACAGAGAACGTATAGAGCTATGTATGACTACAGCGCTCAAGATGAAGATGAAGTTTCCTTCAGGGATGGTGATTATATCATCAATGTGCAACCAATAGATGATGGCTGGATGTATGGTACTGTTCAGAGAACTGGGAAAACAGGAATGCTTCCAGCAAATTATATTGAGTTTGTTAACTAATTTTTGTCTCTAGTCCTTTGAGCTTTATTATGATTTACTCAAAATCTAACCTTTTAGAAAAAAAGTCAGAAGAATCTTTTAAGAGTACATGATCATTACGTTATCACTGCTATAACAGTTTGCATTCTTACTCGGAATCCAATTTAGAAGCTCAGAGCTTTGAAAATAGCATGGCTTATAATCATGCTCTCTCAAAATGAAAAACATATATGGAAGCCTGGTGCTGCCTATCCTATAAAGATTTTAGTCAATTACCTGTAAAGGGAAAATACCTTTTCCCTACATATCAAAGAGGTTATTTCTCTTTGTAAAACCAACCATAAAATCGATGCACTTCTGGCACTCTGAAGTCACAGGAAGTTAACACACTGAGTTTGAACACATCTTCAAATTATTAGGGAGGTGTTTAACGTTTGAGCAGTTAGCATCCTAATAAAAAATAAAATGTTGAGTAGATAATTCAGTCATTTGATATAATGACAAGTAATATGCCAGTAAAAAAACCAATAAAATCCCCTACTGCCCAGCAGCCTTACAATAAACAGGTCCATTTTAACAGCAAAATTTTCCTGACTCTTGCATACCCACATTTATTTCTGCATTACCCATTTTTTCTTATTTACAAGTGACCTATCAGCTTTGCTTGCATCCCAATCCATCAGTTAGATCCATATCTAGATCCATGATTCTTCAGTATCTTTTCCACAGAAGATTCCTTGCAAAGACTATCTAAAGTATAAAACCTGTCAAGTCTTCTGTTTCCTTCTAATAATAACTAGCATTTAAATAGAAACTTAATTAGGGCAACGTACAACCAGTACTTCATGTTAGTTCCTTTACCTTCACTTGTACTGCTGTAAATAAATATCCTGTGTGAGGCCCCGGTGCTGTGCAGTCACACAAAGCCTGCAGTCATACCCCTCCTTCTTACCTACCACAGGTAACTCGCTTAATGGCTGCTTTGCTGATGAGCTAATGTACCTACCCCTGCTTCAGAAATACTTATGCCTCCATTGAGGAGTGGAGGAGAGCTCTGTTTATTGTAGTGCATTTCAGATAAAAAAATCTTGGTGATCCAGCAGTGGGTTGTACGCTTGCCAAATGTTTAATGATGGAGAAATATGTTTTCTTTTACTGACTTGATCTTTCTCATAACTGACACTGAAGGGAAAGCTAACTAAACAAAAGTCCAACATACTCTATGCCATTATGTTTCAGTTTAGCCATCTGTAGAAAACAGTAAAAATATTCTGCTGACAAACCTTCACATATGCTATTTGGTGTCTGTTAACATTATGGTCAGAACTGAGAGATCCAGGTCTCAGTCTGTGAGGCTGAGGAGAGGATCAAACAACTGGTGACACAGTGGACCTGTAAGAGGGACTGTGTCAGCAGGCTTGGGTCACAGGGAACTTGCTTTTGCTTTGACTGGATGCTGCATTCCCTCCCAGGGAGAAATTCTGGGAGGAAGGACAAAAGAGTTAAAGATTCATGTGGGAACTTATTTGTGCGGATGCAGACGCAGAAAATGTTTTTACTGATAATATAATTTGTGGGGTTCAGCCATATGCTAGAGAAGTTAGAGACGCTTGTAGTAACCCTCAGAATGTTGAGTCTGCACTGGCTTTCTTCCACTTCTAAAATTTTTAAAGTAGAATTAAATATAGAGCTTATAGACAATTTTGTATTTCTCATTTCACAAAGTAGGCAACTTTGCAATATCTATTTAAAGAATAAGGAAGGCAGTATGGATTTGTTATGTCAACTGAAAGTTGTCAATGCAAATCACCTGCACGTTCTATTTTTGCATACAATTAGGAATTGGAAAGCTTATGCAATTTTATTTTGGGTTTTGCTAACTCGGGGCTGATTCCAGCTGCCAAACAGAATAGAATGACTGCATTAAAAAAAAATAAAAAATAAAAAATGCCCATGACTGTGGAATTGCCTGGGCTTTCTTGTCAGTGGCCTAATTCCAAGGCTAAAGCTGTCCAGGAGCATCTAACTTCAAAAAGTATTGTTTAAAACCAGAGATTCACTACTGTAAGTATCCAATCTCTATGGGTGACTGCTGTCATTTAAAATTCTTGAAAGTTTTGCATAAGGAGCTGCTGCTGCAGCAGAACCTTATGCATTGCTGGTGACATCCACGTGAAATAGCAAACTTTGCAAGTGAAATGGCTTTTTCAAAAGGCTGCTGTGATATGCTGAGCTAGAAGCTCTGAAAAAAGCAGTCTGCTTCTGTGTTGGTTTTCATCACCAGCCGTCAACAGCAAGGAGAGGAATTTCATCTTATGCTGGGTAGCAAATTTTTCAGATGATGCCTGAGGCACAATTGGCTGTCACTTGCTGCTTGCTGCTCTATTAGCTGTGTAATGCTGACAACAATAAAAACAAGTTGTCAGTTTGTTAACCCAATAAAATTTAGAGAATAGATATATTGAATCAAGTTACAGATTTCAGTGATTTATAAAAAAGAATCTCAACCTATAAATAGATGATCATTCTTCCTAAATGAGGAGACGACTTGCAGTGTTGAACACTTTATGCATAGAAGTAAATGAGAAAATGGGCATTTGATGACATTAAAGAACTATGTTGTAATAAACAATCAAAATAAAATTTCCTTTATGAATTTTGAAAATTCATTAGCTTGGTAGAGCAGCTAAAGCAATATGCAAAAAAATAAAAGGTCAAGAAAACAAAACAGTATGAGAATTGTATTTCTCTTGAGAATGGTATATCAGCAAAATTATTAAGATCTGGTTTACATTACTCATTCATGTAATCAAGTTTTTTATGTCATATATGCTTAGGAATTTGTGTTTATGTGGAACAGTTCCTGCTTTTTGATATAAAACAAACTTTAATGTCATTATGCAGCTTTTTTCTAAGCAAAGCAATCAAAGGCCCAAAATTATCAGAGTGCAATTAAAAAAATGTTTTTATAAGATCTAAAATTTGTAAGGTGGGGAAAGTAAGTCATAAACTAAATTGTGCCAGCATAGGTTTTAAAAGGCATATGTTGGAGCCTGTTACATGCAGTGTGATATAGAGGTGAAAAGATGTTATATGCTGCCTTGTCACCTTTAAAATACGTATTCCTTTTTAGCACGGCATGTTCCCCTCACTGTTCTTTCTTCCCGTAGTCAGTTTTTCCGGGGAAAGGAAAGGACTTTTACAGAGGTGAATTTCCCAAGCTGTTCCAAAGTTCAGATTGGAAGTTCACATGTTCTCCTTTTAGAAATAAAGAATTCTGTAAAGAATGCTTTAATTCTTGCTAACACGAGTATAAATGTAGAAAACAACATAGAGCATATTCATACATACATACAAGAACAAATGGGTGCCTTGCTTTTCATTACTCTTTCTTGCCTGGCTAATCTTCATTTTCTAAACAAAGCTACGTACAGATACTGCAGTTGTAATTTTTCATTATGGAACATTAGCATTTAATCTTGATGAAACAGGGTTTTCTTGATTACATTTGACATACAATAAACTACTTCAGCAGATTGGGATTTGACGGAGAATCACCTCCCATGGATTATGTTTTTGACAAAAGTGTCCCTCCCGAGTGTTCCTCAGGGATATGGAAGGTCTCCAATACTTGGGAAGGTAATAATTCTAGTTTTTATTGTACAGTGACTGCATGTCATCTTGTACAATGGAAAAGAAATGACAAATACCAAGGTCTTTGGCAGAAGGTGGTACAGGGTATAAAATTTTAGATTTTAATTAAGTTGATTAATACTCCATTTAAACTATAGAATATGCTTTAGTTAGTAAATGTTTAAATAATATACTGAAACAGACAAAAGATGCTGTTGAAAGAAGTTCTCCAAACTGGTGTGCTGGCAAATGCGAAGTACTGGTGAGCAGTATAAAGAATAAACCATTTCGCAATGCTTTAGTGATTTTCTCCAGCTTTATGCCATAGGAACCCCATCTCTCCTTTGGAAAGAAAACCTGAAAGCTCTATTTCCTATACTGCCTGCACTACAACAGTATATTCAAAGGAATTTCATATGCTTCTTGTGTCTGATAAATAGAATTTGCATATTGTACTTAAGTTGTAATCCAGTTGTTGTTGACATTTGTTTAATTATTATTATTTTGGGGGGGAAATAAGCTATACTGTAGCATTTAAATCGTGTATTTAATATTACTATTAGAAATTGCTAGACCATTGGAAGACAGCAATGACTGTGTTGACATTGATTAGCATGATGTGGAAACTCGGCTGTTGGTTTTTGCAGTGTGATATAAAAAGCAAAAATGAACCGCTGTGCAGTTTGGCTTATGTTTGCTTTAAAGTGTGTAAAGTTTTAGTTATTTTGCAAAACTGTACTGTATTTGGGGGTATACAGTTATGGAGGTAACAACTGTTTTTCAAAGGACAGATAAACTTTCTCTTGGATCATATGATGTATCATCTTAATTTGGCTTTTGTTATGCAGAAAGTTAACACCAGCTATTAAAATATATTTTAGTAGAAATGCTTTAATTCCTGTTTCTTCCTCTACACTGTGAATATTTAAGCTTTGGTGGACTAGAGCAACATCATGCTGCCCAAAGTACTAACCTATGCAAACTAGTTCACATTTTAGTTGATGTCACAGTGGATGTAACATAGCAATTTTGCAGAACATTAACCGTCATTCAAATAAAATATTAAACCCAGCATGATGTATGTATTATATTCATAAACAATACTCTGTAAAGCTACCATTCCCATTCATATAAGCTATCAAAGATGTATATCGTTTTAATTAAGGAAGCTTTGAGTTTTCAAACTTAAGTAGAATATTTAGCACTATTATTTGTCAAGCTTGATCTCAGAATATAGTTTCCTAAACCACTGTTTTATTTCAGACATGCCCTCTCCTTAGAGGGTTAACTTGCTTTTTCAGTCTGTATTTGTAACTCTTCAACTGAACACCAAGTTACATTCCATGCCCCTTGATTTGTTTAAATAAGCAAAGATAGTAAGTGAAGGAGATCTGCTGATTTAATTGATCCTGGTTTGCTGGACTTTGAATGGGCATTTGGCTAGGCATGCTCTCAGTGCAACACTAATGAAAAGAAATTGATTTGCTGGCTTCTTTAAGACAATTTTATATACAAATGTCATTCTTGGGTTATCTTTATTCATTTACACAAGTCAATTATTTTTACAACATTGTAAGAAAGTTTAAGTTAAAATAAAATCCAGAAGTATTTTGGAACTGCTCTGCCTGTAGTTGAAGAAGATTATTATGCTTAGGGACATGTTTTATTTATTTGAGTGTTAACTGTACGGTATAATGGACTGCATTAGAATATTTTTATCAAGTGTTAGTTTGAAGAAGGCTGTTAACAATGAATGAGGACAAATGGCCGCTACAGATGGAGCTGGTTAGCGCCTTTTAGGTAAGTGATATACCATTGCTACCACACTAATTTCTCCTCAAGAAATACATGTTAGCATTTCCTATGAAGTTTCGTTAGTTACAGAGCTTTGATTCCATGGTCTGAAATGCTGCCAGAATAGCAAAATCCAATCTTTATATATACTGTAGCAAACAGCAGTTTTCAATAAGAAAAAGATTTAAGACCTGCCAAAATGGACCTCAAGCCCTTGGAATGTGTTTTATTTGAAAATCTCTCCATAATCTGCTAGTGCTACTGAAGTATTTGATTTTTGTTTCTATCCTAAATCTATATTTCAGGTGAAGGTCCTCCTGGCAGCCACCGATGTGAACTTGGTAGGAGTCATGTGTTCAGCATCTGAGGGATTAGGTCCTTATTCAATAGCAGTGTCAAATCTAACAAATGACTGAAATGAAGAAGGCTCTTCTGTCTTTACTGGCCCCATAGAATGTAATTATCAACTTGATAAACACTTGAAAGTCTTGTGGAAACTGGCCATGCTGTGTATTGGATAGGTTGAGAGTTTCCAGCTATCACTGCTTTTAGGATGCCCTTATGTCTGCTCTGTCACAGAACTGGGCCTTTGATTTTCTCTGTTGTGTTAATTGGCAAGAGTAAGCTAATATACCATAGAGTTCCCTGTACAGAGCAAATAGTTGCCCAGTGCATTGGCTGTGACAAGTACTGCCTCCCTGCCCTTCTCCCACTCACACTAACAAGCCCAACCATGTTTCTAATCCTGTCCTGCAGTGACTATGTCTCTCGTCTTTCTGTGAAGCTACCTGTGGGACACAGTAAAATGTTATCAACAAATGATCCAGATTTGTTTTTTTTCTTCCAAATGATTCCTTTTATCATCATTCTTTCAATGACTCTGTTTATTGCACAACCTCAAAACCAGTAATATTGACATAAGGAAAGAGGTAGCATGACCTGGGTGGGAAGGCGTGCTGAAGTGAAAAGCCACAGACTTCTTACTCAGATTTTGCTACAGAGGTTATTACAAGTCAAGCATATGTCTGAGGGTACCATCTGAATAACTAACCTGTAAGCTGAGCAGTACTGTGTAGATTTGCTTGACCTGTCTGAGTGTATGTCTGTGCTGTAGTGTCAGAAGTGACTCTGGGGTAGTGTGCAGATACCTCCTTCAGCTTTTGAACAATTATTTGGAATCCCAAGAGCAGGCCATCCACTGGCATATGGCATTCATAAAGGCAAATTTATCCTTCAAGAAAAGGAGATCTCAGATAGTACAGAGGAAACAAAATGTCAATAGGTTTAAAGTGCATGTTCTTGTGCCCTGTGGGAAGGAAATCCTTTGTGTACAGTCAGAAGACTGAGCCCCATGACACTACAGCAAGCTCCTATCTCTGAACTGTATTTAGAACTATAGTGACAGAGCTCACCAGCTCCACAAATTTGATACCATGTAATGTGCTATGTGCTGGGCAAGTATTAACAATGACAGCAGAAACTGGAGATTCATATTTATGCACTATGTCCTAAACAGAGTCTAAACAGTCCTTGATTTTATATATTTTAGCTTTGTTTTCTTTCCCACCTGCCTGCTGTTGACAAAATCTGCATAAGAACATGCCTGTTCTCATGCAGAAGACTACTGGCTTGTGGATTTGACCACTTGTGTCTACAAGGAGAGATCCCCAGATATTAACATCTGGCTCTTAAAATACTGCTTGGCATATAAATATCCATTTTCAATGATTCACAAACAGCTGTCAACTTTCGTGATTGTTCTTCAATTCAAGCCATATTTTTTCCATATTTTTGCTCCTCCTCCATCTTTCTTCTTGTGACATACTTATGACCTGTGTTGCTTGAACAGCAGCTTTTCCAGGACTCAAAGGAGATACTTTTAAGAGGCTTCTCAAAGCACTGAGAAGAATTTAAATTGCTTGAAAAATGGTAGTGTTGTCTCTTCATTAAGGTCTCCCTCCCCCAGCAGTTGTCCACTGGCTTCACTGTACATTCTGGTCTTTTGCTTCCTCTTCTTTCTGTTAAGTTCTGACATCTCTGTCACCAAACCTGATGGGCTTGGGACCCCTTCAGTCAGGCCTTTACACCACTCTTTGGCCTCCATAGTTTCTGTATTCAGATTTGGAACGTAAAAGTGGCTCACCTGTCTGTTCTCCTGTCAAGATCTTTGAGCAGAACTCAAAGAATATTAGCATGTACCCATTTACCCCAAGGGGTATTACATTTCTGTTGTGTCAGCTTTGAACAATTCTTTGTGAAGAGTCCTCTTGACTGTGCTTTCCCTGGCCTGCCTTGCCGGTGGGTGCTTCTGGCAGCTTCTGAGCCATGCTACTGATTTCAGAAAAGAGGGAGACCACAGTTTTTTCTCTCTGATCAATACCTAAATCACTTCTTGTTCATTCTCTTCTTCAGAGGATTAACATCTTCATTATGTTATCCCTAATTCTGGGCTGAACTCTTTATTCAGGAGTCATTCTCTCTCCATCAGTGAAGGGCTCATGCCATGTAAATGTAGTCTGTTGCTCACTGTGGAAGGTGTGTTGATAGGCACTGTCCTGCTTAACGGAACATTTCAGTTCCTGGCACTGCTTGTCCTGTGTTCATCAGGTAGGATCTCTGTGAAACATGATTATCTGTACCAAATCCCAGCCTTTCTATAAATAAATGTGTCTTTATAAAGTAAACACTTTTTCCTTACTTATAGTTCCTCTGACTCAAGATGACATTGACATCCTCCAATCTCATAGATAGTAGTGATATTAGCAAGCATGCATCTAAAATGTGTTAGATGAATTATGCTCTAAGGTGCTGTTTAGGCAGACCTTGATGACTGCAGCTATTTTACAGTATGGATATATCAAGTTAAATGGGATAAGTGGCATATCAGGTCTTGCTGGCAAGTGGTTCAACTGAGAACTGAGTTTATGTATTTATCTGAGTGACCCAGCTATTCAAGAGACTGTTGTTTTCATTTCTACTCCAGCAGTCCAAAACAAATACAAGAATTAGGTGACAGTTATTCATAATGAACTAGTTAGCTATGCAGCTTAAACAATTCCTCCATCAATATGGAAGTGAATAAAATCAATCATAGTTTTGGCAAGCCATGTGCAGGGTGGATCTAGGCATTTGAATTGACATTCAGCATGCTTGCACTTCCAACCTTTATCTTTCCTTCTTCTAACTTTATTAAAAGTTATTAGTGTGCTTTTAGAGAAATTAATTTTCAGTAGAAGAATAGATTCAAGGGTCTTGTAAGGTCTTGGAAGACAACATTTTACAATTATGCTTTCAAACCTTTAAATTACTTAAACTTTTAATTTGGTCCCTTGCATTTTTGCCTGGCCCCTAAAACCCACTAAAATGGTTTTGCTCTGCTCTATGTTCAATGTTTCATTTCCTGTGGCAATTAACTTTGTGAGAAGGGAGAAAGACCATAGACATTGGAGTACGTCAAGTAACTTTCTCTTCCTACAATTTTTCATTGCTATGCTAAATAACATCTGTGAAATATCCTTCATTTCAAGGCTCTTCATTCCACTCTCCTGAAACATATTGCACAAGTGCCGTACCCCCTGTTCAGTTGCCGCCGGCCACAATGCTCTGTTGCACAGCTGTGATTATTATGAAAGGGGGGACATTTGTTACAATGGCAACAGCTACAGTCTTGATGTCAGAGCAAGGACTCCTGTGAGAACTTTCTCAGCTTGTCCTTACTTTGAAAATGGTAGTCATCACTGCACTGTACCAGTGCTCTGTGAGATTAGTAAAGTTGTAACTTTGCAACTTGGTTTGTTTTCTGGATGCTATAAAGTCAACACAGCTGCAGCTGCTTTTGAGCAGATTGATTTTAGATGCTGTTTTGACTAGTCACTGCTTATGTTTTTGTTGGTATGCTACTGCTTTCTATTTTGACTTCTTACAGTATGGTGGCTAAGCCAGAAGAATACATCAGATCTGCTCATTTGAGGGCCTTCTGCCAGTCTAGAGATGTATGTTTTCTTATTTTAAGCCTTTCTTCTTTTTCCAGCACTGCCAAACTGTTTCTCAATGATCAAGGATGTGAACAGGATTGTACTCACCCTCTTGCAAGAAGGCCAGAACTGTGGTCTGAATTGGTACAAAATGATCCAAAACAAGGGCATAGTCACTGGTCACAATCAAACTAATTTGTCCTCTAAGTGGAACACATGGTGCGTGAAAAACACACACTCCTTTGCCCCCCCCCCTCCCCCCCCGATTTTTTTTCTATAAATATTGCTGGTCTAGTGAGTGTATATTTTAAGGTTACGTGAATCCTGTCCAAGAAACACACTTTTTTGGGGGTAAAATAACAACAGACTTTTCATGTGTAATTGCAACATGCATTAACCTGATCGCTGTCATGAGGAACCTACAACTGGACCAGAACTCCACATTTAAATAAGGTGAGTATAACAAGATTATCTAGTCTGTGCTTTAGATTATTTTAAAAAGCTTTTTCTCATTTGAATTCTCTACAGATAAGTAGTGAAGGGTTTTGTACAGGATTGATCAGCTTTATCTAATTTCAGAAAGCAATGTTGTGAAACCATGGATCATATCAGAGTAAATGGACCTTGTTTCTTAGTCCAGACCAAGGTTTCTTAATCTGCTGTATTTCTTGTTTGTATTATGTTGTGTGTTCAGCTGAGGCAAAACAGGGTCGAAGAGACATATTTTAAAATACATCTAGATTCAGAACCAAGAAGGTGAGAGACAAGTGGGTTTTTCAAATCACATCTGAAATCTGAATCTGGTTACAGAGTGATGGAAATTTTACTCAACATTTTAACACTTGAGTGTGC